TAGGTCCCCACTCTTTGATACTTTTGGCCCCCACCCGCCACTCATGAGTGGTGGCCGGGGTAGAAAATAGCTGTTACTTTTGGCCCCGTTCAGTTTAATAGTCCCCACTCGCACAGCACTGGTGGGGGCTTGGGAGGGGGGACACTATGTACTAGCCCCCTGCCCCCACTTCATTATTTACATAGGGGTGGGGGGCTTTTTTTTTTTTAACACAACAGTGAGCAGCCACTGTTTAGTAGACATGCCCCTACTCGCTGTATAGCATTCTGTTAGAATAATGAATCATTATAAATCTCCATGTATATAGTACATCACAAAAATCAGCACACTCAACAAGTAAGATCATTTTTTTTAAACTGCTTTAGTGATCACTAAAGTCATCATAGAAAACTGCCAATTAAAAAAAAAAATTAATAAAATAAAATACCAAACATACTATAGACACCTATAATATATTGTCACATTAGTCATCAGAAAGCATAAATAGAGGAATAGTGACAAGTATATTAGCATTCTGTTAATTGTAACAACAACAAAAAATAGCAGTGCCCTGTTCTAATGGAACAAAAAATATTTTTTTGGCCTATTTTTAAAACGCTTAGTAAAGCTCCGGAGTACAACTAAACTCAGAAAGGTTCAGCAAGTAAGGGGTTAATTGAACACTGACGTGCAGATACAGATTCTTCCAATGATAAGTTGTACAGCGCTGCAAAATTTGCTGGTGCTATATAAATAATAAAACAATAATAATAAATTCACAATTATTTATTTGTCTGCATATGCCATCATGTCTTTGTGGTTTGTTTTGTTTTAGTGGTGTGAATTCTACCTTAAGAGATGTTAAGACATGAATACACTTATTGTCATGTAAATGATAGGAGAGGTCTGAAAGGGGTTATTATTATTATTATTATTATTATTATTATTATTATTGCCATTTATATAGCGCCAACAGATTCCGTAGCGCTTTACAATATTATGAGAGGGGGGATGTAACAATAAATAGGACAATTACAAGAAAACTTACAGGAACAATAGGTTGAAGAGGACCCTGCTCAAACGAGCTTACAGACTATAGGAGGTGGGGTATTAGAAACATTAGGACAAGAAATATCAAGTAGGAGTGAAGCAGAGCTGGAGGAGAGAGCAAAGCACTGTCCCATAGGAGAGAGCAGGAGACAGGTATGTAAGGTAGAGATTACTCTGGGAGGCCATAAGCTTTCCTGAAGAGATGGGTTTTAAGGCCCTTCTTAAATGATTGAAGACTAGGGGAGAGTCTGATGGCAGTAGGCAAGCTATTCCATAGGAGAGGAGCCGCCCGCGAGAGGTCCTGCAAGCGCGAGTTGGCCGTACGGGTGCGAGCAGCGGTCAGGAGGTGGTCACGGGCAGAGCGGAGGGTACGAGGAGGGGCATATCTATGGATTAGTGAAGAGATATAAGTGGGGCTAGAATTGTTCAGTGCTTTAAATGTATGGGTTAGCACTTTGAATTGACTCCTATAGCATACAGGGAGCCAATGTAAGGACTGGCAGAGGGGTGAGGTGTGAGAGGACCGACTAGAGAGGAAAATCAGTCTAGCTGCAGCATTCATTACAGACTGCATTAGGGCTTTTGGGGAGCAATAGGGCTTTTGGGGAGACCAATCAGGAGAGGGTTACAGTAATCCATGCGGGAAATTACTAGAGCATGGACAAGCTCCTTGGTAGCATCTTGCGTAAGAAAGGGGCGAATGCGGGCTATGTTTTTGAGTTGGAACCTACAGGACTTGGCAACAAACTGGATGTGAGACTCAAAGGTGAGACCAGAGTCAAGTATGACGCCAAGACAGCGCGCTTGCAGGGATGGACTTATGTGGATATCACTGACTTGAAGGGAGAGCGAGAGAGGAGGATCAGTATTAGGAGGAGGAAAGACAAGGAGTTCAGTTTTAGAGAGGTTAAGTTTCAGAATGTGTGAGGACATCCAGTCAGAGATGGAAGAAAGGCAAGCAGTGACATGTAGCAGGACGGCAGGGGAGAGGTCCGGGGAGGAGAGGTATATCTGAGTGTCATCAGTGTACAGGTGGTAGTGGAATCCAAAAGAGGCAATAAGTTTACCAAGAGAGGCAGTATAAAGAGAAAATAGAAGGGGACCAAGGACAGACCCTTGGGGAACTCCAACCGAGACAGGACGAGGGGAGGAGGTATCCTTGGAAAAGGAGACACTGAATGAGCGTTGGGAGAGATAGGAGGAAAACCAAGAGAGGACAGAGTCACAGAGACCGAGCGATTGAAGAGTTTGAAGGAGGAGAGCATGATCAATGGTGTCAAAGGCAGCAGAGAGGTCAAGGAGAATTAATATGGAGTAGTGACCTTTGGATTTAGCCGAGATTAGGTCATTAGTCACTTTGATAAGAGCAGTCTCAGTAGAGTGGAGAGGGCGGAAGCCAGTCTGAAGAGGGTCAAGGAGAGAGTTGGAATTAAGGAAGCAGGACACAGGGGTAAAGACAAGTCTTTCCAAAAGCTTTGATGAGAAAGGGAGCAGGGATATGGGACGATAGTTAGAAGGGGAGGATGGGTCAAGAGATGTTTTTTTCAGGAAAGGTATTACAGTGGCATGTTTAAGGTCAGCAGGAACAGTGCCAGAAGAGAGAGAGCAGTTAAAGATGTGTGTTAGGGTAGGCACAAGACAAGGGGAGAGAGATCTGATGAGGTGAGATGGGACAGGATCGAGTGGGCAAGTGGTGGGGTGAGAGGAATGGAGAAGCACAGCCACCTCTTGTTCAGTAGCCGGGGAAAGCAAGATTTACATGTGGTTGAGAAAGAGAACGGCAAGGAGGGGAGAATTGTTTCCTTAGCTGTTCAATCTTGTCGGTAAAGTAGCATGCAAAGCTATCAGCTGTAAGGTTAGTTTGGGGGGTGGCCACAGCAGGGCGGAGAAGGGAATTAAAGGTGTCAAAGAGACGTCTGGGATTGCGGGATCATGAACTAATGAGAGAGGAAAAGTATGACTGTTTGGCGAGAGCGAGGGCTGTGCTGTATGAAAGCAACATGAATCTATAATGGAGAAAGTCTGCCTGGGTGCGGGACTTCCTCCAGGAGCGTTCAGCACAACGGGAGCAACTCTGCAGATAGCGTGTTGATTTATTATGCCAAGGTTGGGGTCGTGTCCTCCTCGAGGTGCAGCTTTGGAGCGGGGCTGCAGCGTTCAAGGCAGATGTGAGGGTAGTGTTATATGTGGAGATGGCCAGTGAGGGACAGGAGAGGGAAGGGATGGATAGCAGTTGTGAATCAATGTCAGCTGACAGCTGCTGGAGGTTAATAGAGTTAAGGTTCCTCCTGAGCTGAGGTGGGTTAGGCTGAGATTGTTGGGTGAGGGGGTAATTGAGAGCAAACGATAAGAGGTGGTGATCAGAGAGAGGATAGGGAGTGTTGCAGATATTAGATATTGTACATGAATAAGAGAAAATAAGGTCGAGGGTATTGCCAGCTACATGAGTGGGAGAATTAGCCCACTGCAAAAGTCCAAGGGAGGAAGTGATTGAAAGTAGTTTAGAGGCTGCTGGGGTTAAAGGTGGGTTAATGGGAATATTGAAGTCTCCAAGAATTAGGGATGGGATGTTGGAAGAGAGGAAGTAGGGTAGCCAGGCAGCAAAGTGGTCAAGGAAGAGGAGAGGGGAACCAGGGGGACGATAGATTACGGCAATGTTAGCAGAGAAGGGTTTGAAAAGGCGAATTGAATGAATTTCAAATGATGGGAAAGAGAGGGAAGGGGGGGTGGACAGGGTTTTAAAGGAGCAGTGGGGTGAGAGAAGAAAACCTACACCTGCCACCTTTAATCTCTGCTTGTCTTGGATTGTGGGTAAAGTGAAGACCACCAAAGGACAGTGAGGCAGGTGTAGCAGTATCAGAGGGAGAGAGCCATGTTTCTGTTAGTGCAAGTAGGTTTAGGGAGTGTGAGATAAATAGGTCATGGATGGAAGTAGATTTAAAGGTGCTGCACACAGAGCGTGCATTCGAGAGGGCAGCTTTAAAAGAGGAATTATAGTGAGAATTACATGGAATGGGTATTAGGTTGTTGTGGTTTCTGGTGTTTGTACCAGGCGGCAGAGTAGTGGAGGGACCAGGGTTTGGAGAGACATCTGACATTGCCTGCTGCTAGAAGTAGTAGGATGGAAAGGAAAAGAAGGTGGGAGTAAGATTTAAATGTTGGGGATGAGAGCTTGTATTTAGGGTATTTAGGAGGGGTGTGTTGAGAAAGGCTGGATAGATATGAATAAAGTGCGTGTGATGAATACAGAGATGAGGGGAGCAGAGAGGGAGCAATGAAGATGGTGTTAGCAGGAACAGGTAAGTAAAATGATAGAGAGATTTTAATGATGAGGGAAGTGAGAGAGAAAGTGAAAAATAGAAGTGAGAACATTAGTAGGAGAGTAACTGCTGTATTTTTAAGAGCTGTGGTTAGGAGGGCTAAAGGTTAAAGAGGTATTGTGTGAGTATAGCTATTTTGGGTGTGGAGGGCTTGATGGACAGAGGCTAACATAATTGGTTTAACAGGAAAGGTAGGTAATTTGAGCAATCTATAAATGTAGTGATTACCATGGGTAGGGTGGGTGGGAAGTGATCATCCAGTAAATGCTACCTCTGCTTATGGCAAGTCCTGCAGGGTTGTGTGCTGGGAGTCCTGGGTGTAGCTGATTCAATATTGTATGAACTATGACCTCTTGAGAACTGCAGGTCCAGCAATGGGCATGTGAGCAAACATAGCTGCAGTCACAAGGAAGACACACTTAAAGGCAAAGTCCCCTTAAAGGCAAACTCTTAAAAATGTACGTTTAATTGTTGCAACTAATTAAGCATGTTTCCCTACAGCTCAAATGACTGGAATGTAACGCGACTGGACTTTTAGAGTGAAAGCATCTTCTGTTAAATGAGTTGTGCATGATTCATTTTAACATGCATGGTTTATCTCAGTTTTATAAGACAGGATATTGTTTGTAATGGATAAAATGATCTGTAACAGGGTAGCAACACTTCAGTCCTGACAGAACAGCGCTCTCACTGGCATGGCTGGAGGACCGGAATACCAACCTCTGCTGAGAAAGATACCAGGAAGCAAGGTAAGTGAGCTGCATGTATGTTGTATGCTGGGAGTTTTTTTAAACTGACCTCATTTTGGGATCACAAGATATCACTTAGTGTTAATGATAGAATTCAATGTCCTGGCGTTTTCTGCAGAACATGCCTTACTTTACTCGAGTTATAAACAGTAGGTTAACTGTTTGAGAATCTTTCAGCGGCAGACAGATAAATAGGCAGAGTAAAGAGTAAGTACTTGTTTTGGATTCTAGTCACAGAATGTAAACATGCTCTGTACAGATAGGAAACTGCAAATCACCTAATAAAACCAACACTGTAGAAGTGATTAGGCCACTTTTTTAAACAATGTTTATTGTTGCATAAAAGGGTATAATATAGAACTAAAAAAATGGATTCTATATCATTTATGAGCTAAAACCAGCTTGAGTTCTGAGCGGGGACCCACCGAAGGGCAGGCTATTTTAGCTGCTGTCCGTTCTCAGAATACTCTTGCGACCCGTTTTTTGCTCTATAATATAGAACTGTAGGAAAAACACTGAAATAGGGAGCATATGTTAATGTGTAATTGTGAGATAGTATAGCTGTAACACAAGTTAAGTCCCTCCTTTATATAAAGTTCTACATAAAGGCGTTAGTAGTATAAAGGGTTATTTACTAAAGTGAGAATTTAAAGTGAATTTCAAATTTAAGTCCAGAGTAGCCAAACTGAAAGCATTGCTGACTCAGACAACTTTTCCGGCTCAGCTATTTGTACCTTAAATTCGAAATCCAATTAGAATTCTCAGTTTAGTGAATAACCCTCTCTATGTTTTGGTATTAGCCTGATCGTGTATAAGGTGTTCAGCATTGTTTTCTGTGAGGTATAATTTATTGTGCTTAACTAAAAATAAAACTAAATAAAAACTAATTTTGGAGTCAAATGTCATGCTTCAAGCCACTAGCACTGTTATTATTATTTTTATTTTTTATTTTTTTATTGGTATTTTTGTAGCGCCAACTTATTCCACAGCATTAACTACTGTCTGTCTCCCTACCTAGTATATAAACCGGGAACTGAAATTGTCTATTTTAGTTGGAAATAGCTGGAAGAACAGCTAAGCTGCAGTTGTTTTGCATTTTGGGATGCAATTTCCTTGTACCAAACTATTACCATTGTTATTATGTGATGTGTATAGGCATAGCACAGCAGTCACTATTGGATAGCCCGAGGTGTACTTTTAATGAAAGAGTATATAAAAGACACGAAGAGTTAAATGGATTCTCTAAAAAGCTTTGAAGTTATGCTTTTTAACCAGGGAAAGGTAATAAGAGGATAAGCATCCTGCTAAAACATCTGCTTAGATGAGAAGTCTTGAAGAAACTTCATTGTTTGATATACACAGACTGTGTAGATGTCATAAATCCATTATCTATCTGTTATGTTGTCATTGCTTTGAAGAACTTCTACTTTCTTTTCAAATGTTTTTATTTTTGCACATTTTAATCATATACATAATATGTTACATGGGTTATATCTTATGTTATCACATTCTATGTTTCTATGGAAAACTACCACAACAAGAGGATATAGTCTAAAACTAGATGGGCAAAGGTTTAAAATTTTTATCATGAAGTATTACATTACTGAGAGGGTAGTGGACTCATGGAATAGCCTTCCAACTGAAGTGTTAGAGGTTAACACAGTGAGGAAGTTCAAGCATTTGTGGGATAGGCATAAGGCTATCCTAGATATACGAGACTAAAGCAAGTATTAAGAAAATTAGGCAGACTAGATAGGCCGAATGCTGTCACATTCTATGATTCTAATTAATAAAAGTACACTGTGGCAAACTTTGCCACTTGTAGCATGCTGGACTATATATAAAAAGGTTGTCTGTAATAACCGCTGTACTATATGTATAACCTTGTGTGATAATGTTATGTGTATGGAATTCGTATGCTAGCAGCCGAAAGCCGCTAGGCATTCATGTGTTTCGTTTCACGAACAGCGACTTTACTGGCTGTTCGTGAACCGAATGAGCTACCCCCTAATAGCCCACACATAGAGGGATGTGTGGCGTTCATTAACCGATTGCAACAATGTTGCAATCGGTAAATAGAGACTTTCCTAGGTGGCCGTCGTTCGGCTACCGACCACACGGTGGTCGTCTATCTTAGATCCTTTGTCTCACCAGCAGTGTTTGGTCGTCGAGTGCGCGGAACTGAAAACGGCTGCTCGACGGCGCGAACACCGCTGGACTTCCAGGCCGTTCGGGAGCTCCGGTCTTTCGTTATTGTGGTTCCCCATCGGTGTTCGGTACGTCTAGGCGAACTCGATGGCAAAGTGTATTTCGTGCGGCGTTCAGTTGTTTTAGCTGGGATCTGAGCGGTATTCCCACGAAATGTGCGCTCAGACCCCAGCTATCTACTGAACGCCCATTCGTGTAAATAAACCGAATAGTGTAAAAGTTATGTATTTAAATGTGAAATGCCGGTTCTGCTGCAAGGGGGGATAATCCACTTAACGGTATATTCCAGTGGGAGTATCCCTCTCGTCCAGCAGTGCCTGATGGGAGAAATGCTTAGAATGTTAAGTCCCCCATGTAGTCCCCTACTGTGTTACCCCTGCTATGTCAGTAGGGAAACCCCTTGCATGGGGACTTGCATAAATACTGGAGCTGTGAATAAAGACTTCAGTTGACTCCCAGAACTGTGTTTCGTCCGGTTACTGGGGGATTTGGGATATTGCCTTACTTTTCAGCGCTTGACTGTGGATTACCCACTTTACCAGCGGAGATCGTGGGATTTAATATTGCTGCTCTGCTACATACACAATATAAACATAACGGGATAACAGGATAAAGAAAAGGAAAACAGGGAAATAAATGGAAACATTTTTTAAAAATGCACAAGTTTCTGACCAATATGTCGTTAAACACAATAAAAGAAAAAATTCGACTATCAATTTCATTGACCTGTACATACAATTTGTTTACTAACTAGTAGTAGTTACAAATTAGTATTATAACTGGTATGCAATGACTTTATACTGGAAGATCATAAAATATTTGACCAACTAATTTACTCTTTTTAACTTTATTCTCCCAAGCCTCTGATGTTTGGCCTAACTGTATCTGGGGTGAAGAAGATTTCATAGTCCTTTTTTTCCCAAGGGCTAAATAAATAATTTAGTTTTTAGTGGGAATCATCAGAAATTTTCAGTATCTTGGTAGAGCAATAATCTTTACAGGGGGTTCTTCTTTCTGTGATCATTTCAAATGTGCTATGTCATATTTCCCCATAGAGATTCTGAACTTTCCTCAAAAACACTGCAGCATCTCACATCCATATTGCATGCTTTATCCTAGGTGCATTATTCTATTCCCTATATACGTATCTCTAATAGTGCCTGATGTAACCCTGCATTAATCTTGTTCTACAAGATAAATTCTTCACTTAGAGTTAAAAAAGTAGCTTCTCCCTATTATCAGCACAACTTAGAAAATAAAACTCTTACTGATGTTTGCATTGGCACCTGGATATCCTGTACTTAATAAAGGACCATTAAAGTCATGAGACTAGATTATCTCAAAGAAGTGGTTATACTAGTTTATCTCAATGAAGTGGTCTAGGTGCAGTGGTCCTGTCATTTTAACCCTGCAATATAAAACATTCCTGTTTTACAGGCTTAAAGGAACACTCTAGGCACCAAAACAACATCATCTAAATTAAGTTGTTATGATGTCAGGAAGCCCCTGAAGACACCCTTACCTCTTACCATTTAGATGCAGTTGTATTTGATCCTGGAGTGTCCCTTAAATACACCTCTAGTGTATCACTTGGATGTCTTTATGATAGCCATCAGAGATGGCACTTCCTCTAGAATCTAATGGAACTCAGTCCTGGAATCAAATGCTGCTGATAGGAGCATTTGATTGGAGGAGCACAGCTTTTGGCCGTGCATGCGTATCTGCAATCTGTTCCTTCTCTAACAAAAGCAATGGATTGATGGAGATTGCGGAAGACGTCAAGACATGCTAATGTGCTTGTGTGTATGATGCTTATGTGTTTACAATCATAATTTTTCAGTAGTTTGAATTCTTTGTTCTTTCTTTCCTTTTTCTTTACGCATGCTTTATATTAATTTCATATGTCAGTCTTCATTATAAAATGCATGTCAACTGTGTCCTACCATTTGTGTTTTCAGACTATTATTATTCTTTATGATACGTGTTCCTTTGATAAAACTTTAAATTAAATGAGATTTGAATACAATATGTGGAATGTTTTTTTAATCGGTATATAATAAAAAAAAAAGTTCTAAAAAAGGCAGATTTCTCCTTTTAAAATGTAGCATTTCCCAACACCCTCATTTTATTATTAATACATTTCTACTTTTATTACAACCTTTGATTTTGGCTCAGCATTTTGCTGCCAGATTTAATCACCAACCTGGGTTTGAGCAAGAAGATTCATTCTTTTCCATTAAGTAGTACTGTTGTCTTGCACACTATAACAATCATCTAGAATAGATTAAAGCATTTGGGTTTATGAAACCATGATTTATGTAGAACTGACAAGAGAGTTGTAAGCCTTAGACTAAAATGACATACAAAATCTTTAATGATCAAAAAAGCACTTAAAGGACCACCCTCAGGGTCCCACTCCCGCCGGGCTCTAGGGGGAGTTAGGGGTTAAACAATGAGACAGCCACTAGAGGCTGGATTAACCCATAGGTAAACAAAGCCGTTTCTCTGAAACTGCTATGTTTACAGAAAAAAGGGTTAATCCTAGCTGGACCTGGCACCCAGACCACTTCATTAAGCTGGGTGCCTATAGTGGTCCTTTAATCTACAAAAACATTTTTATTTTTTACAACAAACATGCTCTTTTAATTTTATATATAAAGCTGTTCAAAACACCAATGTGTGCCTTTTTCAAACACAATGTTTCTATAAGAATTTAAATCCAAAAAGGATAGCATGTTATACCATCTCTTTACAAGAGAACTGCAAATTGTAAGCCAAAATAGCTTAGTTGGAGCACCATATTTACACCAGCTCTTTTATCTTTATGTGCAAAAAACCTACTTTTTGTATTGTGCAATGAATAAAATGCATTAGTGTTAAATGCTTGCCAACCAAATTCACATTTTTGGGAACAAAATACCGCAAAGTACTTTTAATATACTTAAGATTCACAGCTATGTTCTTCTTTCTTCTTCACAGTACAAATAACTTGAACAGAAAACAATAATAAAACACAAAAGAGTAACCTTTTAATGTGTTAACCACTGCACTCATAATTAACAGAGCCTCCAAAAGTGAACTCTGATCCACAAAAGCCACTGATCTTGTTAGAAAGACCTTTTCCACATAATTGTCTCTTATATCTGTAAATAGTATTACAGAAATACAGATAGTGTTTTTTAGTTTAAATCATTTAGATGTACACAAGATAAACTAGCATTACTCACATTGTTCTGAGCCTCCACTTAAGCTCAATTTCAAACACAATGGTGCATATTTGTCAAGTGATATACCTCCTTTGTAGTGGTAGCTTCAAATATCTCTTTTTTTTTTTTTTTTTTAAAGGAAACTCCAAATATCCAGAAGTTGTGATCAGTCAATATTTATTTACTTATTAATAATATATTAAATTAGAAAATATATTGTACAAAATAGGGTGTAAAATAACAACATGTTTCACCTTTAAAAATGTAGGCTTCCTTAGCCACCTAACAGCATCCACTAAATGTCTACTTTAAATATCCTCAGTTCAACAACCAAAGTCAATGATTGACTGCTCCTTCCAGAATCATTCTATCTACATATTGGTTTGCAGTCCATGAGTTTTACTTTTTTCCAAAATAGCTTTCCACATTCCTTTTTTTTTTTTATTCAAGTTTTCATGAGGCTGCACTTGGTTTGTGTTCTATTTCTATTAAACACGTTTCATTAGAACTCCATGGCTCCATTTCTATACTAGATTTAGTACATTTCAAACAATCTAAAAAATATCACTTTTTAATTATGCTCTCTCAGCATTAAGTTATGAAGATAACGAAGAGCGAATTTGGACAAATATCCAAATGGGAGGAGTAATTATGAAAGTATTATGTTGTGAAAAGAGAGAAAATTTAAAGTATAGTATAACATAAAATAATGAAAAAATACTTTTTGTTTGTGTATACATTAGTTAGAAAAAAAGAGCAACATGTATTATAAATAGATGTTGGAATTTATGGTCACAACTTCTGGGTGCTTGGTGTGTACTTGGAAAAAGTAATCTTTGAAGCTACCACCAACACAATGGGGTATTAACGGACAAATAGACACCACTATGTTTGAAAGTGAGCATAAAGTAGCAGCTCAGAACTGTGTGAGTAATGCTGGTTTGTCCAATGTGTACAACTAAATGTATTCACTAAATTCAGAATCTTTATAAAGTAATTCTAAATGTCAAAACTGAACTGTTTTATTGTTCAAATATAATTTGGAATAATATTAAGTGATTTAAGGATTATGCATTAGATCTGTAACTCAGTGATGGAAGGATAATGCATTATATATGTAACTCAGTGTTTACAGATGGTGACATCGGCTGTGCAACCATTTCTCGTAATGTTACCCAGTTCACCTCCATGCAGTTCAGGGTAGCCTGTTATTGATGGTAGTTACACTCCTATGAAGGAGTCGACTTTAATGACATCAGTTGAAATCGATGAAACCCTGAACTGCAAATCTCACTGAACTACAGTTTTGTCCTCCCATTAACATTTACATCACACTATGTGTAAGATTAACCCCTACATTACATTACACTATCACTAAACCTTAACCACTACCCCACATGTACTAACCATTAACACCTATACCTCCCGAAAGTTAATCCTTATCCCCTACAATAACCACTAACCCTAGTCTAAAAGAATTGTGTATGGCATCAGGTTATGTAAATGCAATCACCGAATTCTGGATACATTTATCAACCACATGAAAAAAATGTATGTCTCCCTAACTCTTTTATGGCATGATTTTTCCATAACACATTTCACAGTTTTGTATTGTCTCTCTCTAAGCTTATTGTCTAATGTAATATAGTGTGAACTGCATGCTATATCTGCCTTCCTTCTCAAACTTCTGGGGGAACTGCTACGCTTTCATAAAATGATTCCTGTATACCACCTAACATTCTATTGTACACCTATAATTTTCCCCTGCTAAAAAAGTGAATCAGGTCATCTGACACAGCCAGCATTCGTTGCATTCATCAAGCCAGTTTCTTCTGCCTTGTTTTTATTCATTGTGATTGTGGAGGAAATCATGAAAATCAGTTCACTTCCATGTTATCCATCCAACTTTGAACTACAGTAAAAGGTTTCGAGTACTTGACTATTCCACTGTAGTTGTTCTGGTGCAAGGAGTGCATGACGCTGCACGCTGGGAGACCGCCCATTTTAACAAACGCCGGGGTCAGTCACCTGACCCGGCGTTAAAGTCACAGTGCCTCAATCACAGTGGTAGGTTTAGATATCTCCCACGTGTGATTGTTAATTCTGATTGGAAATTATCCAATCAGAATTTACCTATGGATTTAAATACTTACCTTTCCTGTTCCGTTCCGCCCTGTTGTGGTCTTTACTTGCTAGTATTACTACTGAACTTGTGTTTCTGGTTACATACTCTCTGGCTTGTTTATCCGACTTTGTGACTTTCTCCTACCCTTTGACCTCGGCTTGTCTATCATTATTGTCTTCTGGTTCCCCTTTACTCGGCTTGTTTCCTGACTATTCTTTGTGTGCTTAGCCCGGCCACTCTAAGGTCTGGTACTGCACTTTGTGTGTGTGTTGGCGTGTTTGGTTCCCCCCGAATCGTGACACCGACAGTGCTTAGATTTTACTTTTTAGTTTTTTTATAATGGGAACAATAAAAATAATGGGAAATATTTAAACATGCATCAGTCACTATGGGGGTCAGTGGAGTGTTTCTTCCTCTTGTCCCACTTTGAGCTTATTCCTTTTTTAAGAATAATGCACCAATGTTCATTTGGAGTTTAGTTTAACTACACAATTCCTAGTTAACAAGAGAATTGTTGGGAATTGATCAGGGAACTACAAATTTGAAGCATAGATGAAGTCAAATTTATCCTTTTTATTTTGGCCTAAAATGTTAAAATCTGCAGTAAATTTATACAATTTTTCACTTTAGTGAGTAACCCTGCTATAGTCTCAATAATGTGGCTGCTGTAAAGCTGCCAGTTCCTACCATAGTGCTGTGTAAGCAAGTTCATGACTTCTTTATTCTTTGTGGATTCCACTAGCAAGTAATTTTTATGTTCTTCTGATTTACTGTGTATTTAGAAGCAGTTTAGTTCCAGTGTCTGTTGACATTATCATGTTATCTGCTTGTGATGATTTATGCAACTTGTGTTTGAATCATCACCTTTCGCATCATATTTCTGTGATCTGTAAATGTTAATATAATTGTGATTATAACTATTATTAATATTTTCTTAGTCTGAGAACTGTCATATTTTGCAATTTTTGATAATCTTATAAGGTATTCTATCTGAATATCATTAGATTATTGCATGGCAAAAAGATTTGGCTTGTCCAAATCTATTCGTCTCAAATATGTTTGTTTCAGATTAACCAAATTTCGTCCATGTGATGTTTAAATTCAGATAACTGTAGTCTGTCAGTTTCGGGAAAAACAATTTGGGTAATCCAAACTGATGTGAAAATGCACCTATCGGTGTACCGCAATACAAAAATAAAAACAAGAAAATAAATCAGCTTCTTCTCCACTCCATTAATATTAGAGCTCACACCTGACTCTCATGGGTGTTTTTTTCCCCCCAATAACTGCCCAGTTGCCTTTAAGAAAACAACAAAAAAAGACATTTAGAAGACATGCCAACACCTGTCATATCAGTTAGGGGTATTGGAGGCAATTGGAGGTTTTTGGAGGGGGCCTGTTTGCCAGCCTCCTACCCTGTGACTATGGCCCCTGTGTTAAACCCTGATTAAAATCAACTGTGTGTGCCTTTTTGGCCTTGTATGGCCACATTTCGAACTTTCGAAGCGGCACTTCCAATTACCGAACAACCGCACAAACCAGAGACCACCCTGGAGCTTGTTAACACCTATTAACAACTTGGAACGTTTCTCACCGCAGTGTTCTAATTGTTCGTCTGGGTGGCCACAATTCCAATGGACAACCACAAGGTGGCGGCCATCTTGTTCACATGAACGCAGGCAGCAGTGTGTGGGCATGAATCTCATGGAACTAAAAATCGGATACAGAAACTCCCGAACACCGCTGGACTGCCATCATCGCCTGCATTCGGTTCCATTCAACTTCAAGGAGGGCACTGTTCGGTGAGATTATTCATCTGGATGAGGGGAACAAGCTCCAGGGTAAGACTTTAGAATCTGTTCAGTAGTTTGTCCATTTTCAAATGGTCTTACTGCCCCCCCCCTTACCCCCTAAAGAATTTTGTTTATTTAAATCTACTTCAATTCTATTTTAGGGTAGAATAAATGTTATGTAGACAGCTTCTATGAAAATAACACAGAACAGAACTATTTTTTTTTTAAATGAGAAAGATTAACTAATAAACAAACAAAAATTAGATTTTTATTTTTGAATACCACATTTAAAGGAATACTAGAGTGTTAGGAATACAAAGCTGTATTTGTATTTGCTTCTGTGTCTGGCTGCTAATGCTTGTCTCTTTCTTTGTCTGTTTGTAAATGTCTAAATCTGAATGTGTGTTCAGGAGGGAATATCCTTGCATAAGAATGTTTGGGATTTTGCCTTAATGACTAAAATCACTTTATTAAATGATAATCACAAATCCACATTAAAACAAAACAGTGAGGTGAATAAAAAAAGTGAGAGCACTATAAGAGAATTTAGCATTTTGATATTATGCTAAATTAACTGATGAAAGATTATTTTTAGATAGGACAGTCAAAACATACAGAGTGTATCATTAGCATGCTGTTGATGAATGCACACCCAGCAGATAGGCAGATATAGTTGCTTATTTACACAAGGCACAAAGTACCAAAAAATAGCCCACTGTATCAAATGTAACTACTTATCTGTTACACTGTTTCAAAAAAAGGACCAGCTACATAAAGATACTACAACTGATTTCAGAGTGACATATGCAATGTGTTACTATATAAAATGGAACAGTCAAGTTGTCCGACACCCACCAAAATGGAGTAAAAAAGGTAGTTTACTTACCTTTTCTCTATCGCTTCGCTGGTCATGCCATGGCTGGCCTCACCTCCAATTTTGATTATCCCAGCCAATCCAATGCTTTGCCATAGAAAAATCACTTTTGTTTCTGTTTATGCAGATCTAGCCACACCTCCCCTGGCTCTGACTAACACAGCCTGCATTAAAACAAAATAGATTCATTTAATTCATGAAATTCATTTCAATCAGATGTAACTTACTTTAACCCCTTAAGGACCAAACTTCTGCAATAAAATGGAATCGTGACATGTCACACATGTCATGTGTCCTTAAGGGGTTAAAGGACCACTATAGTGCCAGGAAAACATACTCATTTTCCTGGCACTATAGTGCCCTGAGGGTGCCCCCACCCTCAGGGTCCCCCTCCCGCCTGGCTCTGGAAGGGGGAAAGGGGTTAAAACTTACCTTTTTCCAGCGCTGGGCGGAGAGCTCTCCTCCTCCGATCCTCCTTCTCTCCTCCCCGTCGGCTGAATGCGCACGCGCGGCAAGAGCTGCGCGCGCATTCAGCCAGTCACATAGGAAAGCATTCATAATGCTTTCCTATGGACGCTGGCGTGCTCTCACTGTGAAAAATCACAGTGAGAAGCACGCAAGCGCCTCTAGCGGCTGTCAATGAGACAGCCGCTAGAGGAAATAGGGGAAGGCTTAACCCATTCATAAACATAGCAGTTTCTGTGAAACTACTATGTTTATGAAAAAATGGGTTAACCCTAGCTGGACCAGGCACCCAGACCACTTCATTAAGCTGAAGTGGTCTGGGTGCCTAGAGTGGTCCTTTAAAAGCATGTATCTCCTGCTCTGTAAATTAAACTTTAATTACATTACAGCGGGCTCCTTCATGGTCTAGCAAGCTATTAACAGAGCAGGAGGGAAGAAATTCTACATTAAACAGAACATGCAATAAAGGAAGTATAAACATTAGATGACTCTTTACAGGAAGTGTTTAGGAAGGCTGTGTAAGTCACATGCAGGTAGGTGTGACAGAGTGTATATACAAAGTGATTTAACTTCTAAATCGCCAAGAATTGAGCAGTGAGTCTGCAGGTACATGATCTATACACAGAGACTGCTTCATTAAGCTAAAGTTGTTTTGGTGACTATAGTGTCCCTTTAGGCTGTAGTGGTTCTGATGACTATAGTGTCCCATTAAAGCTGATTTAGTAAATAACAGAGTGCTAAATAAGTCATCTAACTGGATGGCAGTTTACCCACTTCACAATAAGCACTTTCTGGCAAGGGGATAGGATTACACTATAATTTGGTCTATTGACTAAATGGCATTGTGGTGGAAACGGTTTGGAAAAAGTATCAGGAAATAGACCACAGGTAAAGAACCAATAGGGTCAGATAGAAGTAGAGAAGACATTAACAATGGTGCTGATTCTAATCACCTGCATTCCTAAGTAAACTCAAATGTATTAAGTAGTCTCCTTGCTACCCTCCACCAAACTGGCATCATGTAACTCCCCCCTAGACTGCCAGAGAGTTGGCTAGCTATAGTGTAACATAGCTGGCGTAGGTACAATTCGCACTGAAACCACACAAGAGCTCCCCCCAGGTCTCCTCACAGCATTTGCTTGATATGAATTAAAAACAATAAAAGAACAGGTCAGTGTGCATTTAGGCGCAAACAGCATCTTCATCCGGTATAAAATTAACTAGATTGGATGGATGTATAGAGAGAGAGAGAGAGCTAAATACAGACTGATTGATTGTTTGGTCATAAGGGATACAGCATAAAAATGTATAAGTAACAAAAAAGAATAAACAGAATTGAAAACTACAAACTTTTTAGTTTAAACTTTATAGTTCACATGCAAAATTACAGTTTTGTCCCAGATTTGGGTCACAATACTATGGGACATTAACTGTGCATCTCATGCTTAAAATTAATGATATGCTTAATTTTTTTTATAATGAAGGCAACTATGCAGTGATAGAATTAAGGCATAACTGTAACAGCTCCTTCATTCTTCATCCAAGTAAATTATATTACAGTCTTTACTGGGGTGAATAATGCAGGGGAGATAAGTTAAAAACTTACCTCCTCTGCACGTTTGTTTGCTTGGGCATCTAATAGAGAAAAACATTTGTGTTTACATGTATGGCACAGAAAGTGTTAATTCACAGATATTGCTTGGTTTTGCCCAAAAAAGCATCTATATGAAAATAAAATAAACTAGAAGTAATTTCAAATTAACGTTAGCACAACCTATTGGAAATGTTTTCTTAGCTATTAGGGTATGCTAAAGTTACGGACTTGACAGTTTCTCTTTTTTGAAAAATATTAGTAGAGAAATGAGATTTGCTGTCCCAAGAATGCTTTAGTAATCATCACAGTGTTTCTCATCAAGAGGATGATTCCCACTCTCCTCTTGCTACATGTGATAATCATAAGATAAACTATAACAGTTACCATTTGTTATACTATATCAAAGCAAACAATATTGGAATGTTTTCTTTATGGTTCAGTTTTACTGTATTCTCAAATTCGGTGTTACTGTCTGTACATTTACAATTTTCTCTGCATATTAGTCACACACCAAAAAATACATTTGTGACTCAGTGATGAATATTTTCTGATTTAAAACTGAAATATGCAATATTACACATTTTCTTTTAATTATAATACATTTTTATATTATTTTACCAAACGGATAATTGAATATAATAGAATAGGCAAGGAAACATTATTTTAGGGCTGATGCAGTCAACATGTATAACTGACAGTCATATATAAGACAAACTCACAAAGGTACACATGTAGTGTATTGCCAAATAAACTTATTTTTATATTTTACCAAAATTAAGATGCAGATATTTGGATCCAGATGGATCTCTTGTATGTAATTTTTAGTTATAAAATTAAAACTAATAATCTATTAAAAAAAAAAAAGATAAAATATTAGATGCCCACTATGTAGAATGTAAAGGTGTAAAAATTGCATTCAGATTGAAATGTTCTGTAATAACAATTTATAGAACTCTCCTATGTGCAGTGGACTCAGGGCCCAGTTGAGTCGATGTAGTTTCTAATCAGGTTACAGATTTAAGCAGATTATTAGACACTGTGTCAAAGCTAGCTGGCTTTTGTTGCAATAGCCCCTTCATTAGTCTGGCCCTGCTAAACATGGTGGAAAAAGAAATGGTCCAAGATTAATGTAATTAGAGAGGTAAAATCTTTTGTTGTCACCTTGAGGGATGATAAGGAAGAGAATGATATAGCAAAGGGGGTGGAGAGCAATACATTAAGGGATACAGATTACTGTCACAATTATAACAGTTTGTAAATACAAGATTTGGTCATACAGCAACGGGTACCATATTTTTATGGCTTTATGTATTTTGACCTCAGCAAAATCAAGAACAAAAGGAATGCTTTTATTTACCAGTATAGATGCAAGTTAACCAAAAGCCAATTAATTCACTACCTGGTGTTTACCCAGTGCCAGATGTCAGATTATAAATCTATGGACTATTTAATGCCATTAGACTCTAACACAGTAGATGGGCTTGCCTAGGTTCAGGTGCAGGGTGCTGTTGCAGGGTTTTTACTGCATGCTGGGCTAGCTTGGATTTCATTGTTAGCAAAGACTGCCAATGACAACTTAAACCAGGAGGAATCCTGTGCACCACCTCAGAACTCACAGAACTACAGACTATCAGCATCTGACAGGAACATGTACCCACCAATGCTTCCCATTTGTCCCGCACTGCATCTGTAGGCACATGCCTACTGGGTATACATAGAATCTTGCTCACTTAAAAGAGAGAAAATTATACTATTAGAGCCTCACATCATACCGCTCCAATCCCCTTCCCCCCGCCTCCCTCCACATACCACAGCTATTTGCTCTCACACACTCCAGCCTCTATCCACCCACCCTACCTACCCTCTCCACTATTCACACTCAAACCCTAAACCTCCAAACCCAAATTATTCAGGAAGGACAACCCATATTTTAGGCCCAAAACACTCTATCCCTCTTTTCCATCTTAATGTTACTCTTTTCTAGGACCTTCAAATTGTTGGTATGTCTGAGTGTATAACAGAACTTCACAAAAATAATACGCCCTGTAATGTGTTTTTAAACAATAATAACTGTGTTTAGTAATCAGTCTGTGTAACTAAGATATATTGCTAATGTTCTAAATTACATTTTAGTTGCATAAATAGTTATTAGTATGTCACCTAAAATTTCTAAGAGCAGCCCTGTTCCTGGTCACATCCCACTCACCCATTTGAACTGTTTGAAGGTATGCAATCTACACACACTCTACAACCCATATACCCCACAAACGTCATCCTCTATCCCCCACATTCTACAGACCGTATCCTTAAACACAACAGTCCTTAAACACAAACACACTACACCACAAACAACCCCATCCACACACACACACACAACCCCACAAGGAGCCTTTTCCCCCAAAAGCAAGTAGAATGCCAGTTTCAGGCACCTATACAAGCAGAATCCCCCACATTCACATCCACACAAGCAGCCCCTCCATGCACACATAACAGCGCAGGTAGCTTACCACAAGCATCCACCATCCCACACATGCAACATCACAAGCAGCCTTCAAAAAAAGAAAACACCATAGACAGCCTCCCTCCACACATAAATACTGCAGCCTGTTCCAACCTCTTTTTCACTTGTGGAGACTACAGAGACAATAGGACAAGAAAACACAGAACAAACTTGCCATTGTGATAATTAAACTGCAATTTAAGTAGCTTAATATGGGGTACTAGAAGTAGTAGCTAATGTGTTTTGCTAATATAAGTAATGATTTACTATAAACAACTATTTTACATTATCTGCACAAACTTTATTGTAATAATTACTTTCAATGCACTTTTTTTTTTTTTTTTTTAGCTATAACGATATATTTAGTCTATAATGTTTCATCATTTTGGCGTTGAACACATATATCAAGATTGTTAGTGCAGAGCTTGAAGTGCTAGCTGCAGAAGTGGGTTTGGCTGCTGTAGATGCTGATGACGTGGTTCTTTTGTGACTGCAGTAGAGGAGAGAGATATCTGTTTCAATAGTTGCAGAGGATGGAGAGATGGTTGTATTGTATTTTCCAAGTCCCCAATACTCACTTCACTTCCTGCAAGTGATAAAGCTACTGGAATACTAGGTCATGGCAGTGAAGGCACTATAACAATTTCATTGAAATTAACTCTTCATTAGACCAGAATTGGGGTAGTGTGCTAATTTAAATATTACCATAGAAATTGGAAAATAGTTTTGGTGACACACTGTTGATGTAAGTAGAAATAGTGTATTATCCTAATTATGGGTATTTGTCAGGAACTTTATTTTTAGAAGTGCACCTTCCTAATAATGGAACTAGAATGTAAAAATACTGTCTGTCTGTAGGCATAGTGCTCACTTGCAGTAGATTTAGTTCCCTTACATATCTGTATCATAGCGGGCTTTGCAGTCTACATCCATGTGATGTAGAATAGCATTGCAGAAGAGGATTAGTAGGAGATGATAAATTGTGAATTCTAAGAAGGGTTAGCCATTTAGACATTACAGGTAGTTCCCGACTTTACAAACTAAGTGGTTCCGAGCCTAGTTCATAAAGTGAGAGTTCATAAAGTGAGAACTAATTTCCCATAGACCGCAATGTAATAAACATGGGTTCCGTTCCTGACCAAAAAAAAATTTACAATTGAAAACCTAAATTATGAAGTACAAATACAAAATGAAAGCATAGCAAATACCTACATGTTGTAGGAACATTAAAGGAATACATACCATATTGAAATCTTCATCAATCATCCTCAATAAAGAGACATGCTGCACATGTTGAATGGGGGCACTTCTCTTAAGCCCTCCTCCTTCTTCACTTTCTTCTTCATCAACTTCCCCTCTCCTTTATCACTTTTCTTTTACTCCTTTTATTTTTACAGTTCTCAAACTCTCTTCCTTCTCGCCTTTCTTTAGGCTCGGAAAGGCTACAGTACAGTCTAAACCAGTTTTTTAGACTTACCTTTATCTTCAGGAACTCTCTTCCTGATCCTTTTCTCTCTTCTTGTCTACTTCTGGCCACAAATTCTTCTTCTTCTCTTCTTGTTTGTGCTCCAAAGAATGCTCCTTGGTCCAGATCCACGGACCGCTGACACAAAATGACAGTAAATCAAAATGGCGACACGTCCAGGAAAAAGTTCATAAAGGCGGGAGTTCATAAAGTGAGAAATGCCTGTACATCGGTTAATAATGACATCTGGGGCAAGAGCAACCACTAGGCGAACAGGGCAGCAACCTAGGGCGCACTGGCCTCGGGGGGTGCAGTCTTCATTTGGGTGACTGGCAGGAGGGGAGCGCACTGCACAGCTCTCCACCTCCTGCCGGTCACTGCATGTAGCACGGTTGAGCAGACCACGGTAGAGGGTGTTCTGTATTCACTACCTGGTCTGACAGGAAGTGCTCCCAGTGAACACTTCCTGTCAGATCGAGTAGAGGATACTGAAGATTTTCCACTGCAGTCTGCTCAGCCACGCTACAAGGAGGTAAGCTGGCACTACAAAAGGGGAAGACAACAAAAAGGGACGGGGTTGGGGGATAGACAAAGTGACATTCATGGGGCTGAGGGGGTCAAACAGAAACACAGAAGGGAAGTGGTGGGCAAAGAGACACACACAGGGGCTGAGGGCAGACAAAGAGACAAACTAGAAAAATGTTCAGAGTTGTGGCAACTGACATTTAATGTGGATAAGTGCAAGATAATGCATATTGGACATAAAAACCCAAGGACAGAGTACAGAATATTTGATTGAGTCCTAACCTCAACATCTGAGGAAAGGGATTTAGGGGTGATTATTTCTGATGACTTAAAGGTAGACAGACAATGTAATAGGGCAGCAGGAAATGCTAGCAGAATGCTTGGTTGTATAGGGAGAGGTATTAGCAGTAGAAAGAGAGAAGTGCTCATGCCATTGTACAGAACACTGGTGAAACCTCACTTGGAGTATTGTACGCTGAACTGGAGACCGTATCTTCAGAAGGATATTGATACCTTAGAGAGAGTTCAGAGAAGGGCTACTAAACTGGTTCATGTATTTCAGGATAAAACTTACCAGGAAAGGTTAAAGGATCTTAACATGTATAGATTGGAGGAAAGACAAGACAGGGGGGATATGATAGAAACATTTAAATTCATAAAGGGAATCAATACAGTAAAGGAGGAGACCATATTTAAAAGAAGAAAAACTACCACAACAAGAGTACATAGTCTTAAATTAGAGGGGCAAAGGTTTTTAAAGTAATATCAGGAAGTATTACTTTACTGAGAGGGTAGTGGATGCATGGAATAGCCTTCCATCTGAAGTGGTAGAGGTTAACACAGTATAGGCATTTAAGCATGCGTGGGATAGGCATAAGGCTATCCTAACTATAAAGATAAGGCCAGGGACTAATGAAAGTATTTAGAAAATTGGGCAGACTAGATGGACCGAATGGTTCTTATCTGTCGTCACATTCTAGGTTTCTATATAAAGTTGGCAATTTTTGGGAGGGTAGAAGGGGGGGTGGGTTACAAGTAACTGGTTTTGCCTAAGGCGCGAAATAGTCTAGCTCCAGCCCTGATGACATCTAGAGATAGATTTAATGATACATAATGTTAAAAAGATGAGTTTTAAAATTATATATTTTATGTATGCTTTATGATTTTATATTTATAAGAAGTCATTTTATTTTTTAGCACCCAACACAGAAACTATTCTGGGCTGTCTGTGCTGTTGGCATTGGAGGAACATTTCAATATGGTTACAGTCTCTCTGTCATTAATGCACCTACAACAGTAAGTTTGTATATTTTGTACATTGTGTTTAATAAGGGAACAGATTTATGCTTATTTATTTATTACATTATAATTGTGTCCAATCATCTAATCCAAAGTTAAAAAAAAAATAGTTAAGTGAGCACTAATGATCAGTCTTACAAATTTCTCCATGTATCAGTAATATACCATTAAAATGTCGATCCTGCGCTGTGTATCCTATATTTTGATCATACATAATTTTTAATCGTATCTATGGATCTCTCATAGAAAACCAAATGTGAGGGATGGGTGTGAATAGAAACAAAAACAGAAATAAAAATAGTATAATCACTGGTTAATTATACACGTGTTTATGCTCACTATTCATTTCGTATATTGTACTACTAGTAGAGGTCTTGACAAAGGTTGAGCATAGAGCTGAAACGTTGCTGGTGTGAGGGATGGCTTCAACACAAATTCATTGAGCAAGTGTTTGAAGGTGTGCTGGACCATTATGTCTGTACTTGGCTATTGTCTGGGCACAGCTGGTGTCCCCATCAGTGACAACTGCCCCCTCCCCAGCTTTGCAAATGCTGGGCAATATTATAGAATAGTTTGCTTTTATTATCCACACAAAGCAACAGTAGGAATGTTGTTTGTTAATAGCCATAGGAAATTAAATTTAAATGATGGACATATGTAATGTGTTAGTGGTAAACATTTGTATTTAGTTATAGAGATATAAACTATTAATACAGAAACTTTATATTTGAAGTACAGTGCATTTTTTTTGTTTATTTTAAAATTAACTTTAGAAACACTTTTCAAATGTTGTTCTGCTTTAGCTATAGCTAATATCTTCTCATTATTTATATTAAGCATGTTGTATGTATCTTTGTATTTCTTCAGCATATTCTTAAATTTATTAACAACACTTGGCATGACCGCCGTCAGACTACTTTAGATGAAGGGTTACTGACGCTTATTTGGTCAACAATTGTTTCAATATTTACTCTTGGCGGGTTACTTGGCACGTATATTGGTGGAAATTTGGCTAATAAACTTGGCAGGTAAGAAAATTGTGTAAATCTGTGCTGCTTTATTATGCATTTCCTTTGATCTAGAAGGTCTATGGACTATAGCAGTGACAAAAGTCTGGATATTGCACAAATTCTTCAACACACTCCGGTAGCCTTCTTTATGATTTTGCAATTGTTACATTTATACATTAACATAGTATTACATCAGGGTCAGGTGAAGGACTTGGTGCCACTTTGCTATTTTTATCGACCATATCTAGAATAGATGTATAGCTACCAGTCTATCAGTTTTGGTCAAACTTCTAGCATTAGTGAAAGGGAGTAAACACTATTTGGCACTGGGTGATGGGAGTTGGAGACAGACTTTATTTAACTTTCCTTAGTTGGATACTAGGATCTTAGACTATCTTATCATGATTACCCCCATGCCACAGGTACTATAACTACTTTAGCAAGTAGTTTCCCCTTCTACTGAACATGTTTACAGAGCACTTTTTAGCAAAGATTTATTAAAAGTTATGTTTTAATAGATATCTATCTATAAGGGCTGCCTTTACCTAAAGATTAGGTCTGGAATTCGTTATACTTATGAATCTATGACCTAATCTTTTCTTGTTCGTTTTTTTTTTTTTTTACTAATGTTTCATATAGGGGTTACCCCACACCTACTTATGACAGCCTGACACACTCTCCCTACCTTTTGTATCTATCCAACCAGTCAGATTAAGATTATTTTATTAAAGGGCAACATATTAAAAAAACAAAACAAAAAAAACCCCATCTTCTACATGGCATGTAGCTAAGCTTTGAATTGTAGTGAATGTAAATTTAAATGGCCAAATTAAGGCAAACATTAATTTTAGAAATTCTCCAGTTCAGCTGTAGGTATAACTTTTTAGCATCCATTTTGCAGTTTGGATTTAAATTCACTGGAGTTTGGATTTGAGTAAATTACCCTGTGTGTTTCTCCCCTGCCTTTTGTGTCCCTCTCCTCATATCCTCCCCTTTCCCGGCCTGTTTACCTCTACCTATACCCCCCCTTTTGTGATTCTCTGCTAGTGCCTACCATTTGTGTAACTCTGCCCTGTCCTCTTTTGCATCCCTCTGTCCATGCCCCCCCCCCCCCAAAAAAACCAAACCGTATGCAAATAATTTTCCTTGCTTACATTTTCTTTGTTTTCATCCTGTAGAAAAAAAACGCTGCTAATAAATAATTTTTTTGCAATTGTTGCTGCTTTTTTCATGGGTCTTGCTGAACCCGCTGGATTGTTTGAACTTTTGATCATTGGGAGATTCTTTATAGGAATTAATGCAGGTAAGATTTTATCTATATGGAAATCTTCTTTTATTGTTGCGAATCTAAATCAGCATATTAGCTGATTTGTTTCTCTTTATAATTTTTTATTGTTCTTCCGAAGATCTTATATCTAAGCAATTCCTCCTTATTTGTGCCATTTGACTTTTAGGCATGTTGGTTAACCATAACTGATGGTGTAAGATGATACTTTTTATTGCCATGTTACAATCAGTAGGTTTGAAAAATGTTCTAGTACGTAATTGACCTTCCTCTATGTCTAAGGTAAAATTAAGAATGTCAATCTGTTCCCCGTGTATAGTAGAAGTGAATATATGTTATAAACAAGGCTGTCATGTTCACCTTCCCTATGATTAGAATGTCGTCTACGTAGCGTCGCCACAAGACAACTCCCCACCCCTGAAAAGCCCCTAGCATTTTCCAATGGGAAACATGAAGGTTGGCAAAACATGGAGCAAACCTCTTCCCTATGGCAACACTATTAGCTGCAAATAAAAACCTGAGAATCAAACCAGAAAAAAAATCCAAGTACAGTAAGATAGGCAAGACTGAGATAGGAAGCAGCTCTAGCAGCCATCTAAGGAGTGGCCAGTGGTGTTATCACTAGGCTGTAATGTAAACAATGCATTTTCTCTGAAAAGACAGTGTTTACAGCAAAAAGCCTGAAGGTAATGATTCTACTCACCACTGGTGACTATAGTGTCCCTTTAAGTTTCACACAGGCTTCTGAATGAGCAGTTGTGAGACTGCCTCGAAGCAGATTCAAAATGATCTTCATGTGTGAAAATATTTGCTCACAGATATATGGTGACCCAAAGGCTAAAAGCAATTCAAATGCAATTTCCTTCAAGCAGATACATTTTTCGGGTAGACTGGTCCAACATTGTACAATGGCAGCTGATCTATCTGTGCAATTTCCCTCCAGAGTTTTCCGCAGTTCTGTAAATTTTGTTCTCCATAATTCTGATTCCTTCAATTCAATAAGCTGGATTTCAAAAGCATCAACATCCATCCATTCACAAAGAGAGGTGGATTCAGTTAAGTCAGGCTTGATAAGGAATGAAAATGTTGGCTCATGGATCTTAAAATCTTGACAGTTCTGTAAACTCTTTTCTGAGCACCCCAATGTACTTCTGCAGTTCTACTGTGTCAAATGGATAATGAGCTGAATGTGCTTTTACATTGGGGAAAATAGTTGTATGTCTCAGTAGTGATATCACGACAATACACATTCAGTTTTTCCATGAATCCTTTCCAGTATTCATAAAGATGAATAACAGTTTGTCCTTCTCCCTGTAACTGTAAATTCAGGACATTCAGGTGTGCAGTTATATCAGCCAGGGACATAAGATTGCAAAGCCAGTTAATATCACTTAGTTCTGGGTTTTCACTGGTGAAACTCTTGATCTCCTTTCTTAGTTTTTCATTGGTGAAACTTTTGATCTCCTCCAAGCATGAGGGTCTGGGAGGGAGGATCTGCTGCTGATTGGCTGGAATGTGTCTGCTGACTGTGAGGTACAGGGTCAAAGTTTACTCAATGATGAGTCCGCGGCGAACCGTTCGTGGCGAACCGTTCGGGACATCACTATTCAAAGATTTTCTAAAGAGTAACAAATAATGACGACTATGATCATATTGTCTAATATTCAGTTACACAGCCAAAAATTCTTCACAAAATATTTGTTTATGTTTAGAAGTGAGTTGTAATGACTATTTATTTCTCTTTACAGGTATTGGTATTTGTGTTCAACCACTGTATCTTGGGGAAATTGCACCAAAGAGTATAAGAGGCCAGACAACAGTGGCCATCAATGTCTTTTTGACTTTTGGCATCCTGGCTGGACAGATTGTTGGCTTACGGTAGGGTCCCATTCAATTTTAAGTTGCTGAGCAATGTACTAGAGGTACTTGCATAGGAATGCATACAAATATCATTTACATGTGTTGGTTCAGTGCATTACAGTTAATACAACTACATTTATATTTTTTTACCTAAATCTTTATATGTGTGATGTAGTTTAGAGAATAATTTGGCTTCCTATAAGGGATACTCCTGTAATTCATGCACATGGATGGATAGGTTTGCTAGTTAGGATCTACCAGAAGGATACATTAGATATGGTTATTCACTAAAGTAAGAATTTTAGGGGAATTCAAAGTGAATTAAAAAATGTAAACCAAAATAGCCAAATTTCATTTCAACTATTTTGTACTTAAGTTTGAAATTCACTTTAAATTCTTACTTTACTTTTAGTAAATAAACTTGAAAATCCTTTTTTTCTCCATGTAATAGCTTTTATTAACAATACCTGCCCTGAATGCAACTCTTTTGTAAATTAGGACTGCAGTGAAATGCATTAATAAAATAAAAAGCCATTAATATTTCAACTCACTATAAAAAACACCCATAGTATAAGCTCTGGCAGGTAGCTTGTTGTTTGTTTACTCGATGAATCAGTTATGTGATATATTTATCATCAACAGGGAAATACTCGGTAGCGAGGATTCTTGGCCATTCTTGTTATCTACATGCTGCATTCCGGCATTTATACAGCTACTGGTACTTCCATTCTTTCCTGAAAGTCCCAGGTACCTTCTAATAGAAGAAAAAAATGAGTACGAATGTCAAAAAGGTAAGCAGCTGCTCTGGAAAAAAATATTGCATTCATTTAAGTAGAATAAATGTTCAAATGTCTCTGGATTTGAATGTGTTATTTTGTAGGGTGTCCACTAGGTGTACAAAGCAAGTACAAATTACATGGCTAATTGCTGAGTTTGAAGATGTCATGCTGAATGCCCTTTCCCTGACCCTGAAATTTAAAATAACTCACACCGCCTTGGTGACCAAATGTCCCCTTGTCCTTGATCTCCTACTTTATAATATGCCTCTATGCTAACCCACATCCACAATATTTACTCTATCCTTGCTGTCTAATTATTACAGAGGTGTGGTCTAACCTACCTAACAATACTTTAAACAATAATAATGTATTTATCTTTTACTTTACTTGATTTAAGTCCTCATCCTCAGCCCATAAAACAGGACCAAAAAGTATCAAGACGATGATGCAGGTAATGTGAAAAAATACTGAAAACAAAATCTTGGGAGGCCACCAGGAAATGCTTCCCTCTCCCCCAAACTATGTATGGTATTTAATTTGGGGATAAGAGCAAAGTGGTGAAAACAAAGCTAAGCACACCTCTCCATCTGCTGTCTGCCAAGGCCATATTTGTGACAGCGTGCTAACATATTTAATAAGAAAAAAACTATATATACTGTATATACTTTTCTTTTGACAGTATTAAAATCACTTTATGGTCCACAATTCTACCAGACTGAGATGGAGGATATACAAAAAGAATCGCTTGCTTTAAATGGTGAGAAACCAATGAAGGCGCTGGCATTGTTCTCAGACCGTACCATCAGATGGCAGCTTATTATTACAATAATTACAAATGTCGGGCAGCAGCTCTCTGGGATAAATGCAGTAAGTAGATTTATTATATACAGCATAGCCTTTAAAATGTGTCAGAAGTCTGTGTGCATTGACAAATGTTTTGGCACTTCACATAGAAGGCTAAATGGCTAAATAGTGTTTTAAGTTAATTATTTTTGTCTAATTATGTAGTATGATTATCGTTATGTCACAGAACCTTTTTGTCTATATATCCAAAATAAAGCTTTAACATTATGATTATTATTATTACTGGTATTTATATAGGGCCAACATATTCCGTAGCGCTTTACATTATCATCAAAGGGGGGAGATTTAACAATAAATGAAACAATTACAACAACTTACAGGAACAATAGGTTGAAGAGGGCCCTGCTCAAATGAGCTTACAGTCTATAGGCGTTGTGGCGTAAAAGAAATAGCTATGGGGACAGGAGGTAGCAATGAATCAAGGTGGAGTGAAGCAGAGCTGGAGGAGAGAATAGAGTGTTGCCCTTTAGGAGAGAGCTTTAGAGAGATCTCCCCACACTACTGAAGTTTAATAAACTATAAAAAAAAAATTGTTCTCAAAGATTGTCATAGAAATCCAATGCATTGCCCTATAAATGAATGGAAAAGCATATATGTTCACTGTTTGGCATGTGTACATGTATTGATTGTATGGGTAAACCAGTACAAAAAAGCACAAAAGAAACAAACATCTTAAAAAGATACTTATGAAATATAAATAGTATATATATATATATATATATATATATATATATATATATATATATATATATATTGGTTACATTTAATTTGTACATGTGCAATTATTGATCTGCATTATCCTATGTGTTACAGATTTACTTCTATGCAGAATATGTATTTACAAGAGCTGGGATTCCCACACAAAATATACCTTACGTGACGCTGGGCACTGGTATTTGTGAATGTGCCACTGCTCTGACATGTGTAAGTTAAGATGATTAGGTAGCCACATAATGCTTAACTGCTTTACATATCCCCCTCCTTGTTTCCACTGTTTTCCCACTTTACATTTTCCCACATTAATATCTGTTATTCTTTGATCTTAATTATGACCATAATTATATAATTTAAAATGCTCTAATATGTACCTGAAAGCCATGGTTGTATTTTTGAGAAAATTCTATGTGTCTACTTTCCTAGTATCATTAGTTTGACATATAGCTATTTCACTCTTAAAAGGAAATAGCTATGGGGTGTGGGGCTTGGACGTCATACTGGAAGGTCACAGGCAGTTTGGGCTCCTACCTAAACTTGATTTAAAAAATTGTTAGAGGGGGCAAATACCCTGATGCAGATCATTTCCACACTGACAACCTCGTCCTGCACTACTTGGGCAACTTTGAAGTAGACTTCAGCCTTACCATTCTTGTAAATCGGCAGCTGTGGCCTCCACCTTGTTGCAGCCTGGTGCTACCCTGATGGGAGAAACGGACATTCTCCATGTCTTGGGTGACCTAGGCTTTAACTCTTGCGGATAGTCTGAGCCCTGCACTCCCCCCTCCGGGCCGGGGTGGGTTTTCCAAGCGAGCTCTTACCTCCTAGGCAAATCCAGTGAAGGCGGCCTACACGCAGCCTACCCAAAATGTTCGACAGCAACGCTACACAAGCTTTACTGCAATCTTGAAGATGGGAAGCGGAATTCTTGCAAAGGTTTATAACCATGTGCCGGCAGTACTGGAGAAGCTGAAAGGATCGGCGAAAGCCACCTATGTCTGCACCTACGGCACAATCTCCAGTTGGAGCTCCGGTTAAACACCTCCTCCTGGGTGGGGAACACAGAAGGTTCACGTAACTGCCCTTAGTCCACACTCCTGGATATGACACCGTCGCCCAGGACTTCGAGGCCCTCTTCCAGGGACGGTGAGACAGGCCTATGGACGTCAGGAAATGGGTCCTAATAGCCCCTGTTGCTGTTGTGATGCTGCATGTCGCAGCACAATCAGAGGCGAGAATTCCCTGCTGTATCTGCCTGGCCACCACAGGGATAGACTGAGAGGACTACTTTCATCTGGTCTATGAATGCAACCAGGCTATTTACTTATGTGTTATTGTTGTTTTTGTCTTTCCCTAGCATCTTGATTTTAGTTTGCATTTTCTGTGCTACTTCACTTGAAACCAATGTTGAGGTTTGATATCTAAGCCCAGTTTGTACATTGCTTGGTGGTCTCACTCTCCAGTATGCTATATTTTGTTATTTTTCTAAAAATGTGCTGATATCTCAAGTGCCATGCATATATTTTCTGTATTCGACACATATGTGCTTGTCTATGCTGTTGTGGCATTGTGAGCGTCTTTGTTCCACCATGCACAATAACAAAAAAGATTAAAAATAAAGAAATAGCAGCTATTATATTATTTCTATAAATGTGCAAATGAATCAAACATTGTGAATGTGTAGAAATCCACACTAATAATGTTTTATTTTAACCATTTTCTATAGGGTCTGCTTATAGACACTGCTGGGAGAAGGGTTCTCATTATTGGAGGATATGCAGCAATGGCACTTTGGTGTGCTCTCTTGACAGTGACATTGACATTTCAGGTAACTATATCATTTTAATGCTGATAAATACTGTCTGCGCTGTCACAAACCAATCTAAAAAGAAGCAATTTCTCATGCCTATGGTAGTTTAATTAGTGCACACACGTATACAATGTTTCCCAACATTCCAACACACCACATTTCATAGGGCTTCCATCGACCTATGCCATAGCAAATGTGCTGCTGCCATCTTCGACATTTTGCATATGCTTTAGTGGATGTCAAATTTGCAATGGTTCTTCATAGTAGCTGTATATAAATCTAGAATCAAAAGCAAAATATCTTAGTGAGGTGTTTTATGAAAGAAATGAACTGGGGAGGAAAGCATTATTCCAGAAATGTAAAACACTGTAAGACCAAGGAATGGCAATGCAAGCTTCCAATTAACCATTGTAATTCAGACTACCAAACAGTAGCAAATGGAAGGGCTTTGTTTTTTCATTTGAACTGGAAACTAGGATTACAGAATGAATACAGAATGCAATGTACACTATAATTTCAAAGCTTGTGATTGATCCAAGGGGCTGCACATTTTATTTTCATATATACTTTTTAAGGGACACTCTACCTGCTTCTGCTTTTTGAAGTGGTTATCAATTCAATACCCTAGTGTTGCAGGCTTCTTATTTGACACATTTGTCAGATTGATAGAATAGGACATTAAAGTGGAGCTCACAGCTCTATCTTCAAGACATGTTAATCAAATAGCTGGATGCTAAATGACTTGCAGGTGCTACTCCTTCTAAATGAGCATTTGTGAGTACAAAGACTCCTCCTGTCTTGCTGATATTGGCGCTAGGTGTGCATATCCACAGTCTTTGTACTTGCTAATGCCCGCTGCCAGAAATCAGTGCATGCAGTGACAGTGCTGCATGCCAACTCATTAGTATGACATGGTATACATATGCGGGCTGTTGTGTGTAATTCCTGCCTCTGTCTGTTGGACTTTGAGTCGGCGCTCCACTTTCAAACCTTCACAATTTGAGAAATTTGTCAAACAAAAGCCACCAAAGGACAGGTTCCTGGCACCATAACCAATTCAATCAATTGAATAAATTATGTTGTGTAAAGTGTCCATAAGTAAATTATTCTCATTGTAGCCATATCATTTATGTTAGTGGTCATGTATAGTCTACACATCCTATTATTTTATCAGAAGCAAATAATGATTACTGCTATAAAGCCAGTAAGATATACTTTTCTGTTTCAGGATGCTTTTTCTTGGGTTCCATATTTAAGTATGGCTGCTATCCTTGCTTTCATATTGTGCTTTGGACTTGGACCAGGTAAGGATTTAAAGCATAATCTATACACATATTTGTTGTGCCAGTTGCATGGATTCCATCCGTTTAATAAAACAGAATAATTACAAAAATAAATAAAGTAAATAAAGGTTATTGATACATTTTCCCCATATGCCATTAACCCGCCGTTTATACTATAATCCCTCCAAACCATTTTCCAGAGTCTTATTCTCCACATATTACAATATGTCACATATATTGGCTAACACGTAGTCACTCCTACCTACATTAACAACCATATGATGTCACATTATCCCTTAAATGTTTTTTTTGTAAATCTCTTTATTTTGCAAGGGTTTAAGGTTACAGTATTACAACATTACAATAATTCACAGTTGTGCAATAAACTAGGTACTATACAAGTCAGAGCCAGTGACCCTGTACGGTGTTTCAAACATTAAAACTGCTATTTGTTGTTTTGTTTTTTTGTGTTTTTGTTTCTCAAAGCGTAGTTTTGTTAGTTGCGTAGGGTATCTGAGTGTAACATTGAGACTCGCAGGTCTCTGCAATCAAAGTGTTTATACAATTCAACAATATGCTGTGTGTACAGGTTGAAGGGATATCTAAGTGTTTACAAGTAAGGCGGCTTACTTAATTCTGACTCGTAGGTCCAAATTGGCGTTGTTGGGTATACATTGCCGTGCGGATATGGTGGTGGTCATTGGGTAATGTTTCGTTACTGGTAATAAACTTAGCAGAGATTCACCTGCTTATCTATACTTGTTTTTCAGGTCAGGATCCCTCTCTAGTCTATTGTGGTAAATAGTTCACGTGTGTTGGCTAATAGTTTGTGTGGGAGATGCACTAGTCTCTATTTCACTGATGTGCTTGGCTATGGGTATTGTCGCCAATCCTCGTGGCACAGCCTGCGGTTCGCATGGGTCCCTAGAACATGTTTCACATGTTATTGTTGTCGATAATGTTGAGTCTCGTGTTTAATTTTCCTCACTGCGTTATTGATGTGTGTATCAGTGAGTTTGTTGTAGGTCTAAGTGGTACCGGGCTCTTTGCTTTATATGTGCATTGTCCCCTCCATCTACTCTTTCCAGTGATGGTATGTGCTATAAGGTGTATCTCGTGTTTCCTAAGGGTCGGACTGCTTCCAACGTCACCTCAAGACTGGGTGCTTATCCTTTTGTTTTTCGGAGGTTAGCATATGTAGCGGAGATGCAAAAAGAACTGAAATCTTTTAATCCACACTGTCCCTTTAAAGCATGCTCCCATGCAAGGGAGGGATTTACAATCATTAGTACAGTAGCCAATCCTGTCCTGGTAACCTCCCACACATCTCCTCCCCTCAGCCTGCATCATAATCCCCTTATCCAGTCTAGCAATTCCCCCCGTTTCTGGATGTACCCCTAAACATAGGGGTACCCCTTTAAATCCTACATCCCCTGATAGCCCTGATCTGGGTGAACAACATATACAAAAATCACCCAGATCAGACCAGGGGTTCAGGAAATGTATGGAGGGAATAAAATGACCGACCGCACTGACTGAGACAGCCGAATGCGGTTCCATGCGAATGGGCCCTGCGGTCGGTCCTGGAATAAGGGAACAAACTGTACGAAAGCCTCTAGCTATAGAGGCTAGGGAGGGTTCACCTGAATTCCCTCGTTCGGTTCTTCCTGTCTACCGAACGAGGGGCCGTTCGGTAGTTAGGAACCGAACGGACCGGGCTTGTGGAGGTTTCAGCGGTGTTTGCCTAGTCGAGTGTCCGATTTGAGTTCCAGACACTCGACGGCAAAACACCGCTGTTCGGGAGTTTTAAAATGGCCGCCGCCACGTGTTTGTTTGTCGAATGGCGGCCACCCCCGAGAACAAAGGACGGCTACTTAACTTGTCAATTACCCGTTCGCAACAATGTTGCAATGGGTAATTGAGGACACACTTCACATAGGGGAGTCTACCGAACAATCAGAGGAATACAATTCTTTGAAACACATACAAAAACCCAGCAATTTACACGAATGCAGCTATTCACAAGACATTTGCAGGACAGCCCAGTGCCATCCGCTACAGCATATCTTATGGGTAGTGGTGTATCCCTCTGATCCCGTCTCCCCAAGCTCCAGGACTCGTCGGTTACCCCTTAAATGTTGTGACAACGACGCATTTCACTCCATTGAGAGACACACTAAGAGCTATTTTCAATACACATGCTTTGTCAAAGGAATATACATTGTGCATTTTGTATGAACTTTGATCATTTCAGTAGCAACACCATTAAATAACACCATTAAATAATACATTTTCAACAAGTGCATTATGAACGAATATTGTTTTTTGTGTGTGTGACCATTGTTTGGGTTAAGCTCTCCTCACTTTAACACACAGGATTTCAATGGCAATGGCAATGAGAGAATTGCTTATGGCATATTAGCAATAATTTATTTAAATGATGCAGAAACTGGTATTTATATTCTCTCATGTTAAAATTAAAACTTGTGTGCAGAGGCACTTATATTGGGTTAAATTGGTTAAAGAGATCTACTGGTGGGTTTAAAAAATATGGCCATATTATGTGACTAAACATATATATATTTTTATTAATTCTTTATTTTTGTTTTGCATGAGATAAACAACATATAAGCAGTCATAACATCGATTGTTAACATGTTGGATGATCTATATATCAGCATTGACATGATGAATGATCTGAACATTTTTGTATAATAATAAAAACATATATCTATCACTAGATGAAACTTCTGAATTCTAAGCCAGTACATCGCCGTATCCATCAGAGCATGATTTAGAATGAGAAGCCAGAAAAAAACAAATCATAAGGATAATTTGCAACTTTATATGGTTTTGTGTGAACCGAGGGGTAACGGCTGGGATCTTATGTATTGAGATTCACTTGTTGAGATATCTGGCTTTGGCTGGTTCTCAGATTTGGGAGCTATGATAAGTATAATGCTGATGAGAGGGAAAACAAAAATTAAAATAAAATTAAGAATAAAAATTAACTAAAATGAGAAGACCCAGGCGTAGTGGACGTGAACTATCACTTAGTTTATGCCTGTGCCCTTCCTAACCTTATCAGACCTCGGAAAACAAGAATTAGGGCTTCTCAGAGTGAGAGTATGCTATGAATCTCCCAGTGTGCGCTAAAGGACCAGCATGTTGGAAAATGAACTTCGCAAAGTGGAGATGTTGGTAACTAAGTGTGCATGTCTTTCCATAGTTTATTGTAAGTTGACCGGTTAGATAAATTCTTGGGACATAACTTCATGGTATGGGGTAACCTCGGCCACTTAAACTATACATTTTCCTCTAACCAATGAGGCAGCGGGGGTAGGGTGTGAATCCCTGTGGTGTAGGTTTGTAGTTGCTGTACTATGGTCATGAACTAAGGACCTGTGCACTAGCGATGTCTCAGCAGGTGTCAATGGTAGGAACTGCGCATGAGCCTTGGTACCAGAAAATGCAAACAATATACAACAGGTAATGCCAAGAAATAAGGTCAAACTTGCACTTGTAACAGACAGTGCCAACCGATTGCTTAAGGTCCATTTAGTCTGCATGAGGTAAAGAAGTTTCCAGTCCCAGTCAGGGGATTGGGCTTGTTGACTCCGTAGGTCGTGGGAAGAATGGTGCAGAATTGGCAGGGTCCTAGGCCATAGAAGGTACCCGTTTAGGTGTGTTGGTAGGTATATCTGTGAGCCCCATCTTAGCAAGCAGTGTGGGTACCTCTGCATCAGAAGATATCTTGTGAGTCAGTCCGTTGTGGGTGATCATCAGGGATCTTGGTGCACCCCAGTGGTAAGGCACCCCAGTGGTAAGGCACCCCAGCGGTGCACTGCCGGCTTGTGAAGTTGTTCAGGGACTTGCGCCATTGTAATATGGTTCTAATTAAGTCCTGGAAGAATGATAATTGGGCATTATCAAAGGTAAGAGGTGTTTTGCCTCGGGTTTCAGACATAAAGTGGTTCCAAACCTTAGAGATGGCACAACACAGGATGACATCCCTTTTGACTATAGTGGGTGAGTCTGGAATGGCTGGGAGTCGGTGCAGTCTATCCAGCATGACTTTCTGAGCAACTGCTGATGGCAAGATGGTGGCAAGGAGTCTCCTTATATAATGTGGTAGCTCATCTGCAAAACTTTCAGAGGGTATCACATGGATTTTAATGTGGTTGCGCTGGGCAAGGTCCTCATGGGCAGATATTTGCAGTGACAGTCTTTGCTGGGTGGTCTGCAGTTGTATCATATTTCTCATGTTGGTCTTGCCGCTTTGGATGTCCATAATGTACTCCTCTGTTGCCCACACGCAGTCAGTTACATTTTGCATGTTGTCTTTTAATATTCCCATGCAGTAGCATAGCAAGGGGAAGGCAGTCCGGCCCGGGCGGCACTTTTTTCGGGGAGGCAGTGACCCTCTGTAACGGCACCCCCAGGCATAAAAGGGTTAAACTGTCGTTTAGAAGATCTTCCCCTTCCAAAGACACAGGCAGCTACTGTAGACACCAATCCACCGGACCGGAGAAGCATATGAATGCCGTAAGCAGCTGAATAGGAAAAACCATACGAATAGGTTTACACTCCTAGCAGTCGAACTGGAACAGCATACAATAAATCCCCCCAAGAACGAGACAAAGCTCCGTGTTGAGGGTCAAGCAGTGAACAGACTGAGCTGTGGGTTTATTGTTCTTATATACACATTAGTACCACCCACAAGGTTTTGTAAAACCACCAATAAACACATACAATACACTCAGACACTCCCACACAAAATCCTCCCCTCTGCCTGTGATACAATTACCTTACACAATGGGTAATGTAATTAGCACAAGCAGAGAAATACAATTTTTCCACATTATTCATAACTTGAAAAGTATGCATCACATTCACATTCAGAATCAGCATACTCCAAATACAAACATATGTCAAAATCATCCACATTGGTCCAGTGGTTCAAAAGATAGATCGTAGTCCTTTGTGACCAAAGGAAGCATGGCTTTTCTGACCAAAACCAGTTCCACAGAGTCTTCTATCCTGGAGATAATTGGGAAGTAATCCAATTATCTCCAAGGACAGAGGCAAAACTCCATTGAACACGTGGCAGCAAAAGACAATAAAACTGTCAGGATTACTGTTTGATCCAGCACGTAGAACTGTACAGCACGGATGACAAATAAGTAATGTATTACCGGTCCTTAGAATGGCCGGATTTAACGTACAAAGAATAGTCAAAAATACTAGCCGAGGTCAGGGAACACAGAAAGGGACACAGCGATGAGGAAAGCCAGGAGTCAGGATACCAGAATATAGAGAAGTCCATAAACAAAGCCAAAGTCAAAGTCAAAAACCAGGTAGAAAACTATAAACAGGAATGCACTCTCGGACAACCACAAGGGAAACCACGACAGGGCACTGAGCAGGCTGAGAACTGGGCCTAAATACCCCTCCTTTAGTTCTGATAGGCTGTAACCGGCCTTTGACCCCAAAGTCAGTTACCAGGTTTAATTTGCATAATTGCTGCTCAGCATTAACCCTTCTGTGGATTAGGTTGCTGCTCGGCACAACTTTTCCTGTGTGGACAGTAAATGTCATTAACCACTTTTCTATAAGCGGATGAATACATGACACCAGATTTCATTTGCACAATTACTGCTCAGCATTAAACCTTCTGTGGATTAGGTTGCTGCTCGGCACAACTTTTCCTGTGTGGACAGTAAATGTCATTAACCACATTTCTATAAGCGGTTGAATACGTGACAAAAACAAAAAAAAGCCATTGCACAAAACAGGTACATTCAACATATCCCCAGATAGCTCAGATCTGAGCGCACATTATTACTGAATGGCGCTCAGAGCACACACATACAGTTCAATTGCCATGGAGCTAAAGTCTTTCCCATAGTCTTTCATTATACGAATAGGCTCCATGGCATAACTATCTGGGGTATCACCGCTCAAACAGGGCCAGCACCGTATGACCGGCTTTCGTGTCTCCGCAGGGGAAAATCAAGCGTTTCAACATGGGGCCATAGTCTAAAGGCAGCAGGCGTGCAACCAGGCTCCTCCAATGCACAGTGGCGAGATTGGTCTCGTCACACCCTCCTCCCATCCTCTGAGGGAGACCTGGCGGCGAACCTGTTCTGCTTGCCAGGTCTCTGTGCGGTGCGGTGCAGTGAGTGAGGGGAAGAGGCGTGCTCTCCTCCTGTCCTGCGGAATATTGAGGAAGAGCAGCCTGGCAGAGACATCAGGTAAGTTCTTCCCAGCACAGCTCCCCTACTCTCTCACTTTCTCAGAGCCCCTCTCCCCCTGCATCCCTTACACACAACCACTCTTCCCCCTCCCTTCCTTGCACAGATCCCCTTGCCTCCCTGACAGCCCCCCTCCCTGCACAGATCCATTCTCTCCCTCCCTCCCCTACACACATCCCCCTGTCCCCCTCCCTCCCTCTCATGCACAGATAATCTCTCCCCCAAGTCCCCCTCCTCACTGCACTTTCACAGATCCCCTGCACATATCTCCTCTCCCTCTGCCTCCTGGACAGTCCCCCTCCCTGCACATATCCCCTCTCCCCCTACCTCCCTGACAGCCCTTTCCCTCCCCTGCACAGATCCCCCTTTCCCCTGTCCCTGCCGTGCACAGATCCCCCTCCCTCTCCTGCACAGACCCCCTCTCTCCCTGCCTCCCTTGTACCCTGAAAGTCCCCCTCAGTCCCCATTCCTGCACAGATCCCCTCTCCCCCTGCCTCCCAGCCAGTCTCCCTCCTCTGCACAGCCACCCTCCCTGCACAGATCCCCGCTCTCTGCACATATCTCCTCTCCCCCTGCCTCCCTGAAAAGTTCACTTCCCTGTACAGATCGTCTCTCCCCCTGCCTCCCCAGCACCCGGACAGTCCCCATCCCTCCTCTGCACAGATCTCTTCTCCCCTGCACCGCCCCCCTCGTCCCTGCACCCTCCACACACATCCTCCCTCCCAAGAAATAAAAGTATATTTTTTTTAAAAAAGTAAAAAATTTCAATAAGCTGCGTTTCACTCCTAAGTGTTTATTTTCACACCAATAAAAAGTTAAATACACTAAAGCCTATCATTAACAATAATAATTTAAAGAAACACTGTGCCCAAACAGGCAAACCCACCCCACATAAAATCACTGTTTAGTAGATATGCCCCAATGTATTCATTGGGTGTATATCTTAATAAAGCTTGAAAAGGTTCTAAACTATGTTAGGCTTGAGTCGTTGAGTACTTAAAGGAGTTATGTCGGGCACAGCCACAGATGTCCGCGACTGCACCGGACATGACATGGGTAGAGATAAGGGTGGTAAAAGCTCTTGCTACCCACTGTTCCCACGTCAGTAGCGAGCATTTTCTGGATGTCCTGCACCCAGTTTTATAGTTCTTGCTTGGTAGCAAGTGTATTTTCATCTGGTACAGCAAGGGTTGGCGACATGGTGGTCTCTGTGTCCAGCTCTGCTTGGGTAGGTGAGTGGGCCTGGCGTCAGTGCAGTGGAGGCCATCTTAGGCTGCGCCTGCTGCTGCAATAGGGCTGCTGTGATGTTCTGCAGAAGGGCCAGGATGAGACTTTTGTGTGCATCTCCCTATGGCCGTAGGGGCATCAGTGTGGTTTGGGTAAAAGTTGCCTTCAGGCTCAGATTCACCATATGTGTAAGTTCCAACCTAAAAGATTCTCCAGGTTGTGGATGGTAAGTGGTAGGTAGGTCTGCGTTTCAGCTTTCCAGAGCATGGTGTGTAAAAGAAAGATGGGGTACACGATCCAGATATCGGTTCTGTGTAATATAATAAGTGTTTCATCGCTCTGTCTTATCACTTTTCTTTTGACAACATTTTGCATTAATCTTTTTCCTGCGCATGCATACTAAGCAGCTACAAAGAGACCATATCCCCCTGTCTGCAATCCACTGCCCTGGAACTAATGGGCCATGCTGTGCTGGTGTATTAGGCATATTAGGGAGTTTACCAAATATGTATATTTGTTCTCTTATGATATTAAGATCCACAATTTCAGCATTGTATGCTAATTACGATGTACCCGGCACCTGAACTCAAAGTGCTTTGTTCACATTAAAATAATCTCTAATGATGAAGATCTCTCTCTGAGTCTGGGCTACACATAGCTCAATAGATTCTTGATATTTCAAGATTTGTACCATGACAAAGTATTGTGTCTTCTCTTACGTATAAGAAGTTACCTAGGTATTTATTATTTTATAGTTAAAGCTTCCAAGTACAAGTCCCTTCGTGGTCGCCAATTGTAACTGCGGCTGGTTCCCTTATTTACCACTATAATGTCTTAAAGCATAGAACTTAGTAGGGCTAACCATACAGATATCTTAATTTACCATAATTTCATATAGTTAGTGTAAGAGATCCTCTATTTAAAATATATAAATAATTGAGAATACAATATAAAATAAGGATTGTCTTTGAAGCAATAGTTTTGTCTTTTAGATATTTATTATATAACAATATAAATATGGACATATAAAATCCATATAGCAGAGTTTATAAGATTAAATGCTTGCAAATATCATTAATAGGTTAACATACCCTTCTGAACATGTCATCATGTCAGCCTCTCTGTCATTTTAAGATGGAGCAGCGTCTGTCTCCAAGTCTCTCCTCTGTCTTAACAATTAAAAGTACACCTATTTATACCTTATGTGTCTCCATTTTAGGGTTACCGTAGTTCATATATGAAAAAGTAACACTTCTTTTACTTTATTCATTTTAGGACCTCCCTTAACTTGGCAAACATACAAGGCCATAACTAAAGGGTGTATACGTCATGGAAATTTTCCTGACTTAGTTCAAGATGGCATCTTAAAGTCTGGACATCCTTATCTACTTAAGGTTACCACAGTAGCATAGCCTTGAAGCTTGTTTATGCATTATTGTTATTGTAATTCGTCTGGGACAAAATGGCGCAAACATATTATGCACTGGGGTTATTGCCTAAAGAAACAGTTATGAAAAACAATATGTTCCATTTCTAACACCTTGTCAGTTTGCAATATCTCTTAAAGACAAAGTACACAGTTTAAGAAATACAACATTTCATTCTAAAACTTGTAATATTTGCATTTGCCCATAACAATGTGTGAATTTCTATTTACATTATAGTGGAAAATTGTTTAATACTTACCGTAATTTTCTTTTCCTGATAATGATTCATGGCAGCATTTACTCATGTGTTAGCTCCTCCCCTTACAGCAGAAAGGACAGGAAATAGAACTTTGAAACTGGTATAAATAGATCCTCCCCCTTCCCATCAGGCAGTCTTTGTAACTCCTGTAGTATAAATAGTGAGTAGCAGAATCATATTCAACACAGAGGAAGTGCTTAAATGAGCTAGTGCCCAGTGTCCATGATCAAAAAAATAATAAAAATGGGCGTTTTTCCTTTTTATTATTTTTTTGATCATGGGCACTGGGCACTAGCTCATTTAAGCACTTCTATGTTGAATATGATTCTGCTACTCACTATTTAATCTTTCTGCTTCTATGCATGTCTAGATAGCTTCAAAGGGAGAGAGGCTTTATAAAATTCTATTGTCAGTTTATTTGAAACTGACCTTTGATATAACACTGTCTACTCTCTATATTTGCTGTCTGACAGTATTTCTCCTCTGGAACCCTCTTTAGACCTATTGAGGTAATTTTTTGCTATAATGATTTCTAATATCAGATATATTGTATCACTCACTGTAATTATACTATTGTAGTAGATGATTTACTGCAAACCAATTAGTTTGAATGACTATCTGTTCCTGTCCAAATTAAAGATAATAAAGTTGCGTGCACGCAGAAGTAAATTCACACTGAGACACAGAGTTCAGGTTAATGAAAGAACTTCGGAGAAGTTTAATGGCTTCTGATTAAAAAGCAGGCTCGCAGGCCCTTTTAAAGGCATTATTACATCATTGAAGAAAATCAAGATATAGACAAATAGACATTGCTAATTGGCTTAGGTGCTAAGTAGTTAGTAAAATGCCCTCCCTACGGGGTGTACCATCTTAGGTCACTATCCTCGTCATGATTGTCTCCTCCAGGTTTTAGCGCCATTTTGTTAACATGAGGAGCTCACTCGACGGGAGGGGCCTTTTGGCAGCTATCCATTTAGAGTGTAGCCTGGCACTGTTAGTTTCTCAAGGTTAGGTTTCAAGGCTTTTAGTAAATACACATTTTATCAAAGCTATCATTGTAAGTGGGATGCTACAGTGTTTCACACTACAGATGCATATTATTTCTTGCTGACATGCAAATTCTATATTCTATAGACAAAGCTTTCTTGTAAAACTATGGTGCCTCTTAGAGGTATAGCAAGAGGATTTAAAGGGGCCTTACAGATTTATAGAGGCCTAATAATTCTACAACACTATAACTACTATAGAGATACTTACTCAGTGCAACAGTGTATTTGCTAGAATTGGGCAGTGCTACATTTCAGCGCAAAACAGACCTTAGATCATTTGTGTATATATTAAATCTACCAATGCCGTATATAAATTGGAGTTATATAATACTACCAATCTGCATACAGATTATATGAATCACGTACATTGTGGATGTTTGACAGCACCTTATATACAGATATATCAGTTACATATACTGAGTCTGTTTAAACAGTAATCATACATAGCCTACATCTGCAGTTGAAAAAGACCCTGGAGGGTTGAAACGCGTTGTGCTAGCTGCTGTGTCAGCCATTTCTGCTTTTATTATTTTATACCAAATAAATATTTATTTTAACACTTCACCTTACCTGGTTCCTGAGTTCCTGCTAAGAAAAACTTATTACAAACATCTAAGAGGAGGATCAGATCCAGTGTGTCCCTTGGTGGATGAAATACCTTTACAGTCCAGAGCCTAACTTATCTGGCTCTGGAAAGTGTGAGTGAACTTTTTTTATTCTCCACATATTGTAAATAGGTTTCAACAGTATACACTATGTTGTTTTCTTGTATATATTATATATAGAGTCCACAGTTACTGTCTGTTGCTGAAAATAGGACCTATACAAGATTTTAAAGGTAAAATATTCCACTGTTTGTGCGCTTTCACCTTTTTTTTCTGTTCACTGTGTCCTCACAGTAACTCATACATAGAGCATATAGTGGATACATATACTGAGGCTGTGTCCTCATAGTAACTCCTATAGAGAGCATATAGAGGATACTTATACTGAGGCGATGTCCTCACAGTAACTCTTACATAGAGCATATAGTGGAGACATAAAATATATATATATATATACTCAGGCCGTGTCCTCATAGTAACTTATTCCAAGAGCATATAGTGGGTACATATACTGAGGCCATGTCCTCATAGTAATTCATACATAGAGCATATACTGGACACACACTGAGACTTCATACCAATTCATACATTAGAGCATATAGTGGAAACATACCAATGCTGTACCACCACCAGATCATGTACAGATACTGAGGCCCAGTGGTCTCCTGTGCAGTATATTTCTCCACTGACTGCAAAGCCTGCTTATTTGTGATAATGTACAGATAACAGCAATCAATGCCACATACCTTGATAGAAACAAGGTGTGTGTGGACTTAGTTAGGTTTTTAAAACCTGTCATATACATGTGTGTACTTCAATCAGACACCCAAGAAGGTTCTCTTACCTTGGATATTTCTCTGACTTCAGGCTGTGGAATTCCAGCAGACTTTATACAGCCAGGATATCCATTATTAGCACTCTTTTTCATAGTGTCTCATTGTATTATCAGCACTCCTTTGCACAATGACTCCTTGCATTATCAGCACTACTTTGCCCAATGCATACTTGTATTATTAGCACTCTTTTGCACCAAACATGCTTGTATAAACTTACCTAAATGCTCACCACACAAATCTCCTAAAATGTGACCTATTTGTTAGAAGGAAGCCTAATGTAAGCAGCTGGAAGGGACTGAAAGAACAGAGACCCAGGTGCCTTTACTAGTTTTAATCTAAATTACTAATGCATTTACCTGAACCGTTGCAGGCCTGTGTTTCAGTGGCAAAATGGGGATTTGAACAACTGACAGCCTAAACTGTTTAAACTATAGGCTTCCATCTGTACCCCATATGCCGATCATCACCATACAAGGTGGAATACATAAAATAGGTATACCAGGGTAGTCACAACTCTGTTGGGCCGCAGGTATGCAGTGTACCGCTGTCATCCCCTCAGGGAGAGAGATAGGTTAGACTCCTGATTGCTGAAGGAGGTACCCAGGCTGGCAACTCTTACACATGTGCTGTTTGCTGGGTCTTCAGGGATAAGGGCTTAGACTCAACTGTGCCTCATGTATGCAGTGGACCGCTGTCATTACTTCCAAGAGAGATAAGTCAGACCCCTGGTTGCTGAAATAGGAACCCAGGCTGGCAACTCTTACACATGTGCTGTTTGCAGGGTCTTCAGGGGTAAGAGGCTGAACCCTGGCCTGGCTTCCTGTAGGCAGTATATCACATTCATCCCCTGAGGGGGTACCCAAGTTGGCCTGTTGCTGGGTCTTCAGGGATAAGAGGCTGAACCCTGGCATGCAGTGGACCATTTTCATCCCTTCAGAGAGAGGTTGGGTCCGACCCCCGGTCACTAAAGGAGGTACCCAGGCTAGCCACTTCATCTTAGTGCGTTTTGCTGGGTCTTCAGGGCTTAGAGGCTGAACCCTGGCAGGGCCTAAAAAATATTGCCTGGTGAGCATAAAAGAAAAAATCTAGGCCTGCATAAGCAGACTCCTTCCAAACTGCTGTGAAGGACAGAAAAAAAAAAAAGACTGCCTGATGGGAAGGGGGAGGATCTATTTATACCAGTTTCAAAGTTCTATTTCCTGTCCTTTCTGCTGTGAGGGGAGGAGTTAACCATGAGTAAATGCTAACATGAATAATGGTCAGGAAATATTTTTTTTAGAAGCATTGGTCATTTTATCATTACCTACATTAAATAATTACTTTTCTGCATGCTTACAAAAATATTTTTTTCCCACATAAATAAAATATTTATTCTGGGAATAAAGGGCACAGTTCTTTTTATTTATTTTTTCTGTTTTCCTAGGCAACATACTTTGAGTCCATTACTTGAATGTGCATTTAAATGTTGTGGATTAAAAAATACATAAAACTTTAATAAAATATTATATAATTGTTAAATCTATAGGAGGCGTTACAAATACCTTGACAGCAGAATTATTCACTCAGTCTGCGCGATCCGGAGCTTACATGATTGGAGGAGCAGTTAGCTGGATAAGCTTTTTTGCTGTAGGAATGATTTTCCCATTCATAGTGGTAAGCATAATGTGATTATGGGCTCACAATCCTTGCAAATATTGGATTATAAGGAAAGGAGTATTGTATTGCCAATCCGATGTTAATTGAATAAAACTCCCAGAAATCTTTGATATAATAGATGGCCAGAGAAACATGGGACTTGTAGTTCAGCAACATCTGGGGGGGCATAGTTTGACATAGCTGCTTTGGACACTCTCCATACATGATCCTACTACATACACTCAGAGACGTATTTGCAGCCCACCTTTTGGCTCCCCCAGGGCAGGCAGTAGTTTCCTGGGTGGCACTGGCGAGGAAGCACTTTCTCCTGAGCTCTCTCGCGCGAACCACACTGATGCCGTGAGCAGGAATATGACATCATAGTCCGGCTCCCGGCATCACTCTGCGGCGGGCGAGGGAGCTGAGCAGAGAGCTCCCTCGCCAGCGCCGCCAAGGAAACCACTGCCCGCCTGTACGTCTGGCCGCCTCCATGCCCAGCAGCCCCACTGGACCCCAGTTGAGAAATCCACCCAGCTATCCCAAACGTAGGGAGGCTGGGTGGATTTAAATTAAAAATAATTGTGAGTGTGGGGAAATGTGTGTGTCAGTGAATTTGAGTGTGTGTCAGTCAAAGTGCGGCCTGACAGGAAGGGGTGAGAAAAATTTAAATAAGGGGGGGATGGTCTGAGCACCGTCCTGCCTAGGGCAGCACAAAACCTACATACACCATTGCATACACTAGGAGAGGCTGTACTAACAATGTGTGAGGAATTTAGATATCTCCACTAAAATAGCCAATCCAAGAACAGAAGTGGTTCTTCTTACACTAATCCACAGTTTACTATGATGCAAAATAATTGGTAATTCAGCATTAGACAAGACAAAACTAGAACGACTGCTTAATAGGACAATTTGTCCAAAGCAGTTATATTGGCCTAAATTGGTCGGTTTAACTTACAATTCACTTGTAAAGGGCCATTAAAATCGCTTAGTCCAATTCATCTAAACAAAGTGGCCTGCTTGCAGTGTTCACCATGCAATGTGAAACATTGCCGTTTTGTAGAAACTGCAGTATTTACATTGCTAGGTTAAGTCCACCTCTAGTGAACATGTTCCTGACAGCTACTAGTGGTGCTTCCGTGGGACTCAGTAAAACTTTGTACAGAAGGCCTCCATAGGAAAGCAATGATTCAACTGTTACGACTTCCTGCTTTGATTGAAAATTGTTTAGAGTCCGGCAACCATTGATAATATAAATCGCATCGATGTAGGGAGGGGTATGGAACTGATCCAGATGGCAGAAACTTCTGAAGGAGGCAGGAAGTAGGATGGCTTACACTGCTTCCTCATAGGCTTTGTAATCAGCTGTTAAAAAATGGTAATTCTATTTTATGATTATTAGTATTAACGATTACATTTTCCTTTTTTTTTTTTTTTTTAGAATGGATTAAATCAATATTGCTTCCTGTTTTTCCTTGTGGAATGCGTACTAATAGCAGGTTTCATCTACATATTTGTCCCAGAGACCAAAAACAAATCATTTCTTGAAATTAAAGAGGATTTCCAAAAACTTAACTTTGGTCACATTAGTTCCATTCTAAGAGAAGATCGGAGCAAATACTCTACTTTTGCTATGGAAATGTGATCTCAATTATCAAATGTTGTTTCTACAAAAAATGCTAGCGTATATTTTTTTTTTAAGCATTAAAACAAATATTTAAAAAACTGTATGGGCAACAAACAATTTCAGACACATTTCAATATAGAAACCGGAATACATTAATACAATGTATTAATAATAATAGTACATTCTGATGACAAGGCCTGTGATAACCGTGCATTTGGCTAACCTTTGCCCTGCCCTGTAGGGTTTACAATAATCAGAGACAGGCTATAGACACCAGAAACACTACATTAAGCTATAGTGGTTCTGGTGACTATATAGTGTCCTTTTAAAGAGGTGGTCTTGGTGACAAGATGCAGTCCCTGCAGTTTGATAATGTTAGGAATGCTTCTAATAGCTTCAGACAGTCACCAGAGGTGATGATGCCAAATGCAGTATAAATCTCCGCTATAGAGTATTAGGACAATTCTTATCTATGAGGAGAATGTGATTGGCCAGTACATTTGTGGCTGCAATGCTTTTCTATGAGAAGCATTGTATTGGCCCAAGATCATCTATCTGGATGATTTCAGAAGACAGTGGAGCTGCTAAAAGGAGAGTTTACTTTTGTTTTTACAGTGGAACCGGAATCTAAACAACCAGATGAACAATCCATTATAAGTACACATATGAATTTATCACATTAGAGCAGGGGTTCTCAACGTTAGTCTTCAGGACCCCCTACCAGTCCAGGGTTTAGGGATTACCTGGGTGTGTCTAAGGTGATAAGAAAAAAAAAACACCTTAGAGTCAAAGGTGTTTTTTTTTTTTTCCCCTTTTTCTAAACACCTTAGACACACAGGTAATCCCCAAATCCTGGACTGGTAGGGGGTCCCGAGGACTGGGTTGAGAACCCCTGCATTAGAGTATACTTTTAAGGAATGTATCATTTTCACCAGTATCATAACTGCAGATGCAACTGGTTTATGTCCAGATTTTTATGGACATTTTCTACGTTTTCTTGGTAAACGTGGTAAAATTGTTTATAAGGCAACACAATTTTCACAATTATCGCCCCCTTATATTGATCATAAGAATTGCCAACCAAAGAAAGAAAACTGTGAAATCCAACTTACGCACACTTTATGTAGTTGGATTTCAACTATAGCTTTACATTTTACAAACTTACCTCTTTCTACAAAATATTAATGGCAGCTTTATTGAGAAAGAATTGCTTTGATGAACAGGAAGAAAACTTTAAAAATATTTATTCTTTAGGAGACAGTGAATATTCTGAACATACAAAACTCAAAAAACATGTTTTAGCTTTTCACTGCATTTACATGAATGTGCCATATTAATTTTTTTTTTTTATTAAATTATCCACCATAAATACATTTTACACAAAAGTATTAAAATGCATTCATCCACATAAAAAAACATACATAAAAAGACAAAAACGAAAAAAAAAAACTATCTACTACTTCCCAACTTTTTCAAATAGCAATCCTTTTACAATTGTAATAATTTTTTCTCCCAATTTTCCCATAGGCTCAATTCATCCTTCAGGAACTTGCAATAATCCTTCTCCATTTTGAGTTGGTAAACCAACTGAATTATTATTAATTTGATGTTAAGAGGGGTATCTCCCTTCCAATTTCTTGCTATTATTATTTTACAAGCCATTAAACAATGGATAATTAGAAATTGATTTATTTTTTTCAATTTTGGCCATTTATAATGTAATAACATTACTTCAGGTTTTAAAGGCATTTTGACATCACATAATGTATGAATGATGAATTGAGCCCACTGTCATACAACAATCACTTGCCTACATGACCACCACATGTGAATATAATTTTGCCATATTAATTTTTAACAATTATTTACATGTATACAAGTTTAACTGAAGTATTTTTTTGCACGGGAAAAAAGCTGACAAAATCAGATATCGTATACAAAAAGTATTAATTCTGAATTGCATCTCTAATTTTAAATTCAGGAGATAAACACTAACCATTTGTTCTGGTAATGGGAAATACCAAAACATTATAGAAAGTCATGCCTGTAGATCAAAAATACAGTCTCCTGCAGTTTAGAACTCAAATTATTAATTGAGAAATATAGCTGAGGAGTTTGTCTACTCTGTTCTCCAGAAATCTCAGCTTAGTGAGTTTTTTTTCTTGTTGAAACACAAGTGAAGGGTTTTCACCAATTTGACATTCGTCAAAATATATCTTTAAAAGTGCGCTAACTATGTGAAAATTATGATGTTGCAGTTTCATATAATTAAATGCCATCACTACATTGTTCTAAAAAATAAATTAAAAATGCATGTCTTACTGGCTCATATGTCATTGTTATATTTTCATAAAAAGTTTTCAGCACATAAAAGTCAAATATGTCTGTATAAGAACTCACAGAACTGTATGTGATCCCAGAATTCAATGCATTATTTTTGTATTTTTTTCTATTATGATGTAAAGCAAAGGTTCCCAAAAGGTAGATCCTCGGATGTTTTGAAACTATAGCTTCCACAATGTTTTGTCATTCTAAAGTCATACAAAGCACCATGGGAGCTGTAGTTCTATAACAACATCTGGGGATCTACCTTTTGGGCACCCCTGATGTAAAGTCTACTCACAAAAGCTTACTGTAATTATAATGTAATATATACAACTAATAGTGATTTGGCTAGGAAATCATGGTAATTGTGGACTATATCTAACAGGTTTCTTTTAAACAGCTATTCACAGATAGGAATATCGTATAGCATCATAGCCACTGCATATTAATGTAATGGTTTTGGTAAATAGACCATCCCTTTTCTCTGGCAATGTAAAACATTTCCATTGCTCAGAAATAGCAAGGTTTATATTTGACAGAGAACACACCTATAGTGGGTGTCAGCCCACCATTAAAGGCAACTTTCACTTTAAAGACCTTCAAAAGCAAATGATCTTCACTTTCGGTGTAATCAGGCAAAGAACGACGACTTAACAGAAGGTGGAGCAGTTACCAAGTGGTGTCTGTCCCCAGCCCTGGAATATAGGTAAGTTTTGGGGGAATTTATATATATTTAAGTTAATTATATTTTAAGTTAAAGCAAACATTCCCATTTCTCAGAAATATATTTAAAAATTATTTTAACATTGTCAAGGAAAAATGGCAGCATTTATGCACCAAGACCACTGCATTAACATCTATCGCCTTTGGTGCTTAGAGAGGATTTTAAAAATATAAGACATAATAATACACAAAGGGTTATTGACTAAAGCGAGAATTCAAAGTAAATTTCAAATTTAAGAAAAGTAGCCACACTGGAAGCATAGCTGGCTTAACAGATTTTTTTTTAAGTTTGGCTATTTTGACTTTACATTTGAATTACAGATTTAAGCTTCATTTCAAAAACTTGATCAATGCTGCATTTTCTTTTTGATTGAACACTGATCAGTATTTTTCTCTTATGGACTGAAATCTGATAATCAAACATTTTCAATAAATATGGTTACTCACAAAAGTCATTGTTTATATTCAAACGAGCTTACAACTAGTACTTCTCTCAGTGGTATGCACAAACATTTGAGTCTTTTCAAGAGAGATACTAATATAATACCAACTTCAATACTAATCAATATACGGAACACTTATACATGAAATGTTTGGATTATAAATGAACACACGTAAAACGGATATCCTCCTTTCGAAATGAATGAATGAATCTAAAATGGAATTATTAATTGATAATGTTCTCTAAACTGGGCAGTATATAATCCAGGTCACGTTTTAGATATTAGATTACATAATTAGTACAATTAGTTATTTGTTATGTCCCATAGAGCATTGGTTATAGAAATAAAGGGTTTTATTATCAGGGTTGTAGTAACCCTTTAATAACCATTCCATAGAAAACAGATCATCATGCTCTGTCCTTCCTATTTAACATGGGACTCTAAAATGTTCATACTTTTATTAACCCCCATATCACTGTGGTGTGGGATTAGAGATAGCGGAGTGACTGCCTCTGAATATAAGGGGTGTTTTGGGAACTCCCAATGTTTGTGGGGTTTTATTCATTTCATTTTCAAAAGTCAACATGTCATTTTTATGTAAGGTACTAGTTATTTAAGTCCACCTAAACTAATAAGCACATTATACGTTGGCATTAAAGATGACTTTGCAACTGACCTAGTATTAGTACATTTCCCAAATCAAGGCTTTTACATAATATTTTAAACAGGTTGCTGTAAAGTCAAATTATTTAATATTAAAGTTTTATTCTTAACACTAAGTGTAAGATCCGAAAGTAATGTTTCCATCAGAAACCTATGCAATGGATGCAGGTCCACTAAAATGAATGCAGCAAAATAATAGCTTTAGCTAGAGTTGAGTCAAAACAAGATTCCTCCACTTCCTCATGATACTCCCGAATCAGCAGACATGTATGTAAATATTTTGCCTTGGCAAATAAAGAGAGAGCACACTGGTAGGTTAAAAAAAGTTTATGAAATATTAGTAATAAATTGCTACTGAGAAAAACAGTCCACAAAAGCCACAGCCGCTTTGGTTGGTTGTATGAAAGTGGCAGTCCTTTACAACCAAATGTTCATATCAAACAATATAACTGGCACCTCTAATAGTAGTCTCAATGATACACAGTATCATTTACATTAACAGTAACCTTCTGTTCATCTCACAGACCCGTCCTCCACATAGCAATGATTAGATGGTCAGGTAAACATGTAATAAATACCATGAATACATGGAACTTCCTTACAAAATACCCGTAAAAGGCCTACAGCTACAGTAGTACTCACGTGATTTATTGAAATGTATAAATGTACAAACTAATTTACATACAAAACACTGATATTATATACATTAAACAAGGTATAGTTTAGATTAAAGTGTCACATTTTGGCCCTCTTTTCAGGTGTGGCTGTTAATGTCTCTGATTGTTTAGATGTACTTGCTTCATGTTCTTCATGTCCCCGTTTCCGACTTACGGATATCTGTAGATAAAACAATGCAAAAAAAAGTTAAATTAAAATCGGACATGGAGTGTTTGTATAGTGCCACAAGCATTAGATCCTTAAATCTCCTTTATACAAACAATAAGGTTCATATCTACACTGTTGACATCCATTCTAGAGGTGGCAATAGCAACAAACATACAAAAACATTACATTAACAAGCACGGATTGTCACAATGTCACGGATTTAGTTAATGATTTGCATGAGGTCAGAATAGAGTAGATAAAAGTAACTGGGCAGCCAATGTTTTTAGTTTTACACACAAACTATATTACTTTGTATACACAAAAATAAGCATATTAAATGTCTAAATGAAGTGTGATCAAAACTGGTCACAAGTAAAACAAAATGTATCAGATTAATAGATCAGCACTGTGTTTTAACTTTGCGTATAATTTCACATGACCCAACCCAAATATTTTCTTATTTTAAATATGACAAGGAAATTACTACAAAAGTGGAAGAGAAGAAATCACAAGGGATATATGCCGGTATGCCACTTCTCTCACATCATTGAATAAAACAGTACAAATTAGCTGGAATGTGTGTTGACCTTTTTATTTTATTTTTTCATGAGATGCTCTGCTTTCTTCTAAACCTATATTAAAAATTTACATTATTACATCATAATCCAGTTTAGATGAAGCCAAGTTGGGGCAAATATTGCATATGAAAAGGATGAATAGAAATGTTGCTTAAATTTCCTCTCTATGCTGACTGCCAGGTACAAGAGAGAGTTTATAACAATGCCTTACCGCCTGCTACAAGTGAACTTGGTTAGCGTAAGGTAGGGTTTCTCCAGCATACAGAAAGGTGAAAGAAAACTTTCATTGATAGATGAAAAAAAATGGTTATCCAAAAAGTATGAATAAAATAAAAATGTGTTTCAGTAAAGAAGTAGCAAAAGGAAGAGACAAATAAAAATAAACTCAAATGGACACTATAGGCACCAAAACACCTTTAGCTGTCCCTGCTGTCTCATTACCCCCCCCCCCCCACACCCCCCATATGACTCATACAGCCTGCATTAGAAATAAAAGTTACATTTTCAATCAGATGTCAACTTGCTTTAGAGGTTTTTATCTCCTGCTCTGTAAACAGCTTTATTCACAAGCAAAAGGCTCTTGTGTGGCCCTAGAAGGCTATTAACAGAGCAGGAGATATTCTAATTTAAACAGAATGCAATAAAGGAAGTTTAAACATTAGATCTATCTGCAAGAATTGTTCAGGAAGTCTGTGTAGGTTGCATGCAAGGCGGTGTGACAAGGACTGTATAAAAAAAAAAGTGATTTAACTCCTAAATGGCAGAGAAGAGAGCAGTGAGGCTGCAGGCACATGATTTATACACCAAAACTGCTGCATTATGCTACAGTTGATAGTGTCCCTTTAAAATTACCTGCTGAGGTGGAAGCATTGTGGCATCACACATTAACCGCTCAGCATCTTTTCTCATTTTGTCATCCTAAACAAAGTAATCACAAATAAAACAATTTACTGTAAATAACCCATATGTTTATATATCTGTAAATACCAATAAAACAAAATGAAAACAAAAAAAAACATTAAAAAAATTAATATAAAATATGCTTAAAATTCATTGAGAGCACAGTCACATTTTGGGATAGGTGGAGCAGCATCTTTAGAGGACACTACTGCTTAACCCCTTAAGGACCAAACTTCTGGTATAATAGGCAATCATGACATGTCATGTGTCCTTAAGGGGTTAAACATAATTTGACCTTCTAAAAACAGAGTGTATTTAGAAAACTGAATATATCTGTAGATTTTAAGAAGCTTTTTCTTTTTTTTTTTTTAAATTGTAAAGCTCCAGCTATTCCTTTCATAGCATACTTGGGATTGAGAACAATTAACTATCAATGCATTTTCAGGTCAATGAAGCAGTCTTCTAATTGAAATCAAGCAATCAGAATGCCACTTAAATTTCATTTCCCCATCATCTATCCATGTAGGTCTCTGGATGTACTCTGTCTAAGTAAAACGTATAACTGAAAGGTGTTATTTTACAAATATATGACACAGTCTGTATGCATATAAGGGATCCTAAGTGTACTACAAGAGTCATTTATTTTTTACATTATCAACCATTTACATGAGAAAAAAAAAAGCAGCAGCTTCAGACTTGATTACAAGGAAGATTTTACTATCTTTAGGAAGGCAAAGGGGGCTAGATAGTGGTTTTAACACTATAGGGTCAGGAATACAGGTTTGTGTTCCTGACCCTATAGTGCTCCTTTAAGTCATCAGAACAAGCATCCACATAAGACACATGCAATAAACAAAAGGATAGTTGTTTCAGAGATTGCATGAATTTCTCCACAACCTAAAAGAAAACAAGATGCATGTTTCCATGTGCCAATTCTTACCTGCAGCCATGGATGTTCCAAAGCTTGCTTAGTAGTTAGTCTCTTTTCCGGGTCAACAACCAGCAACTTTTTAACAAGATCTAAAGCTGAACAGAAAATTATCTGGATGCAATCAGTAATTTATTGGTTACGAACTAGAAAGAAAAAATAATCACAGAGGAACACCATTGGTGAAAAAAAACAAAAAAAGAAATTGTTCTAAACAAAAACACACTCAACCATTACCCTGAATCTTAGTTTCTAGGGAAGGAGCTCTCTGTCTTCTTGACACTCATGTTTAGAATCACATTTGCTCTCAAATATACAGCACTGTTCACTGTACCATAACTGGATTTTAAAGTCACTTTTAAAATAAAGATGCTTACATTTGCTGCCAAGCATATTGTCACATGAGAACAATTTAACATCTAAAATATGTAACTTTCTCTGTAAGAAGGTCCTGACACAAAAACAGAAGATGTCACAGCTGCCATTAACATTACACTTCCAACTCTACTCCATTCAGATATTGACAGGAAGGACACAATTAGTGACATTTAATTTAACTGATTTATGTTCAGCTATCTCTATTCACATCTTTCTTGATATGGTTGGCAAGTTAATCTTCCATGTCAGTATTGCTACATGTTATGCAATGCTTTCTGATTGGCTCACATAGAATACTACTACTTACCAGATGTTACTGCCAGTAATTAATATTGCAATAACAGCTAAGCTAACATTGCAGATTTGGTGTAAATAAACAAAAAACAAACAAGAAAAACAACTCTTAGAAAAGTCAGTATAGGACACAATCAGTCCTGCGTATGACAAGCCATATGATTTGTAATACAATAGATGGCAAGGACAGAGTGGAAAAGATAATCAGAAATCTTGCCCTAAACTGAAAAATCTACACCAGTGGTACTTTTTAACCTTTAGAGGCAGAAGCACATTCTCCCCTAAGCCCCATCCCCCCTCCCAGCTGGAACAGGAGACAAAGAATATAATTCTTATACGTACAGGGCTCAAAATTTCCATTCACCACTAACCGTTGGCAAGTTAATTATTTATTTATTTAATTTTTAAAAAGGCACCAGGATTGTCACAGAAATCGGTTTCCTTAGAACAAATGATGATTCTGGTACATAACTTTTATACAAGTGAATTACCAGAAAAAAACAAAAAAAAAAAACCCAGAGCTGGTTATTTATTCGTTTTACTTTTCTGTTGCGAGTTGGAAATTGGTAGCCAAGTGGTGCAAAAATATTTATTTTTGAATCATAAATTTTATCATGACAAAATGACTACATGCAAATAATTTAAATGTATATTGTCTGCTTTTCTTTCATTGTGTAGTTCTTTAGTAATTACTAATACATATAAAAAAAAAACAGCATGTCACTTTGTGACCGATGAGAAATCACATTAAAAAAACCAAAAACAAATGCATGTTTAATTTAATCCACTGATAGGTGAACGATTACAGATACAAAGATTTTTCAAATAAACAGAAAATGGCAGATTATATACACACCAGGAGGAGAGACATTTTCCCAAGCAGCAGGAATGAAGGTGTAGTTCCCGCCAGCAATCTGATTTTTCAATGGCATCTTACCATTCTGTTCTGAAAATGGTGGATATCCACTAAGGCTGAAATAAAATAGAAATCGTGAGGTGAAAAAAAAAAAAAAAATTATGAATTGAGAAAGTTGATTATAATTAGATACAGAAAAAGGCTTTTACCAGACAAACAGAATGACCCCTAGGCTCCAGTAATCCACAGCACTGCTATAGCCAGCTGTACCCGCTGTGTTCAACACCTCAGGAGCCAAGTACGTAGGGGTACCACACAACGTTTTCATCAGAGAGGTTTCACCAAGAATTTTAGACTGGCCAAAATCCGTTATCTGTATATATTCAGAAAAATAAATATCAACACAATATACAAATAAGACTTTATTTTAGTGGTTGCATAAACCATTTACTAAATTATTCCGTTTAGAAAGTGCAACTCCAGTTTTATAATAAAGCAATTAAAGGGTTACGCTAGACATTATAACCACTACAGTATGATGTAGTGGATAGGACGGTAGGCGAACCTTGGCCACATTTTGCCCTCTTAGCTGGGTCCAAACCTGGCCCAGAGGCTCCTTGCTGGTCTGGTGACTCACATCCGGCTTCTGCAGAGCTGAAGAAACTGGACGCAAATCTTGTTGCCATTCATTGGAGAGTGTTGGTATTCTTATTGCTATAGTGTTCCCTTGAACTGAAATAAATCAGCTTTTCCCATGCACTCTCTGAATGCTAGTCTTTTATTGCGAAGCTTCATTTTACCCTTTATGTCACTATACCCCACTTCCTCTAGAATGTAAGCTCATTGAGCAGGGCCCTCCAACTCTGTTCGTGTACGTCCAGTTGTATGGTTACAATTACATGTCTGTTAGTCCAACCATTGTACAGCGCTACGGAATCTGATGGCTCTATATAAATAATAAAAAAATAATAACCGTGCTTACCATGGTGGCCAGCAATGGCCATATATATATTAAATATGTGAATATGAGTTACTGCTCCAATCAGTGGATAAAGCCAGCACAACCTTTAACTAAGCCCCCAAAATAACTTTATTTAAAGCACTAGAGTTTAAAATAAATAAAGGGCTTCATGGGACTGGAGTCTCCCTGTAAATATTGGTGTTGCACTGATGCTTTGCTTAATAATTTTCATTGAATTAAAAGTTATTTAAACAAATATGCTAATTTCCCTATATTGAGCAAACTATATGCATAGTGTGTCAGACTGGCAAGGTCACCACATGGTTGAAACATATTATAAAATCCTTGGCAGAACTCCCTTCACTGCAGCAAATTAGTATTCAGATCAAATTCATTTGTTTCAAATTCAAGAAGCATTACACATTTATTTTATTTTAATTCATATGTTGGTTAGTTTATGTTAATCATTTCCTATTAAATTATGAATATTCAGAGGGAAATGGTTATGTTTTTTTTTTTCCTTCTCTCTAAGTCACTTGTTCAGGATTAGCTACATGCAGTGCGATCTTCCCCATTCTAGGTATATGCATTGTATATGACACAATCTTCACAATACCCACCTTGATGCAGCATTCTTCATTGGTGGATGATAGCAGCACATTTTCAGGTTTAAGATCCCGGTGAATGACTCCATTCTCATGGAGGTACTAGGGAGTCAAATTATATTTAACATTGCAATAGAAATAAAACTATTGATTTAAACATAACTATGCAAATTGGACATACAGAGTAATACAAGTCTAAATAAAATAAAAAAAATGTAACCATGCAAAACTGAACAATAGCCTGAACCACCTGTTAGTAATTAAAGCAATCACGGCGTTGTAAAATTAACAAAGCAGCAAAGACTACAGCCGTGATATGAGACTTTGGATTGCTTGCGAGCCTGAATCCAATTTAACACATTCAGTGGAGCTATATGCAAAAGATGGGTAATGGCCCAGTGCACCTGCTTTGCAAAGACTTCTCATTGAGCTGCATTGGGAAGTTTGAAATTTGACAGTGGCAGAAAGTCTGGGCACTGTTAGAAGGGGAGGACTTGCAATGGCTTCAGACAAGAGATCTGCGGCATTTTCAAAATGTTTTTAGATATGCTCCCAATGGACAAAAATGCATATTTAAATGCATGCTTTCATTGGGGGTATAGTTACAGTCCTAAAAAGTGACTTTATTTTATTGATTTGGGCAGTGGTGAGTCCCTATTAAGCTATTTAACTTATAGTTTTCACTTGTGTCATCCTTGGTGCATTTTTGAGTAACACTCTATAGGACCTTTGGTGGTAACTGGTTTTGCAAAGAGTCAGGCCTACTGGTTAGACATGCTATGCTTTTTGTTCCCTAGAACACATACATCTCAATTTTGATCCCAAACACAAGTCACAAATTCCTATATAAATTTGAAATTTCAAACAAAACACCCCAGAAGCCTTTGGGCAAGTGATAACTAAGTTTAAAATGAGACTTAGTAGAAAGACACTTTTTTTCCTTTTATAGATTGTTGTAGATTCCTTCTAGTAAGCATGTGAAAGTTCCATAGTTCGGATATAGATTGTTCATTCATCACATAACTTGAATCGATTACCTGAACAGCTAGCAGCATCTGATAAAAATACAGTTTTGCCGTAGATTCTTTAAGCCTGACGGATGTCACTACCCTGTCAAATAATTCACCTCCTTCCATCCTAGAATAAAATGGATCACTAGGTTACATAAGCGCCCAGTTCCAGTTTTTAAACTTTTAGTGAAATATGATTTTGCATTATTGTTTGTGGTTCAGAATACACAGAATCACCCATGTAATTCCAGCCAACAGTTCTTTCCTTAAGCAGAGATCTTCATAAAAATGAATCTCTCAGTAAGCTATTGTGATCCTGCAATCCATAAAAAATAAAAATAAATAAAAAGCACAGTGAATTTAAATTACTTACAAAAGCTATTTGTGAGACACATACAAAGAGCAAAGTGCTCACGACATATATGCCTTGGTGCTTCCAAATGTGGTATATCTTCTTATATCACAGCTCCAATAAACAAGAGGTGCAAATAATGGACCAAAATAGAACACAAATACAAATATGTGTTTCTCCATACCTTACATTGGAAACAATTTTTGACACACACATGCCAAAAACCCAGAAGAAATATTTTACATGTAGGTTGCCTTTAAAGGAACTACAAATTGTTAAACTAAACTTATTTCTAAAATACATATACACACATATTAGATATATATATATATATATATATTAAAAGCTATATAGATATCTCTATCTACTGTATTACGCCTGACAACCAGAGTAAAGCCACCAGAAGTACTTACAGTTCCAAAACAATGTAATAGAAATCTTCTGAGTCAAAGAAATTTTCAATTCTAATTATGCAAGGCTGCAAAACGAGACAAAAAAGGTAAACAAGTCATGGAAGGATCCCACAACTATACAAAGTTACATAAAATTATATTCACAATTTACACAGACATATAGGTTTGTGTTTTGTTTTGTATTAAAACATTCTTATTTTTGGGTTAGGCATTAACTATTTTGGGAACCAATTCATATATACTATTTTACAAAACTGCGCAAAAAAAATTGCGCAAGAGCAACGTGATATGTAAAAACTATTTTGCTGTATAGAAAATAAAATAAATAGGAACCCTTTTGGTTTAAGGCAGTATGGAAACGTAGAATGCAAAGCAGGTCTGGAAGAGTCCTGCACCAATAGGGTCTTTCGTCATAGCTAAAACACATGAATATATTAATACTAAATATTGCATACAAATACGTAGAGAATGCTTTAAAAAAAATAAATAAATAAAAAAGTAGAATCAGTGTACCTTTGCTATACTGCCTGTACATCAAGAGAACGTAGAGACTAATGGAGCAAGAGGATGCATAGGAAGTTATTAAAACTTCTTAAAGTTCCAAACCAAAAGGCCATTGCCATGTTTTTACAATTAAAACTACAAACCAACATATTTTCAATCACTATATTGAGTGTCTGAAGAAGGCTTACAAAAGTACGATTTGTTTATTTGAATAATACATGTAAGAAGTATATAAAAAGAGACACTATAGGCACCCATGTCCCTGTCCCCTTAACCCTGCAGCTGAAAACATTGCAGTTTTAGAGAAACTAGAGGCACTTCCTGCAGTTTCACGGAGTTTAAGTCTGTGAAATGACACTGGACATTCACGTCTTGCAAAGCCCCATAGCAAAGCATTGATTTAACACTTTCCTATTAGAGAGGACTCATGCACGAGCAGCACTCACAGCGCGTACTTTGCCCCCGACGCTGATTTCAGGAGGTGGAGACGTAACTAGCGCCTACATAGCTTGGTGCTGGAATCAGGTAAGAGTTTAAAGGACTTTTAACCCTTTGATTGCTGCGGATGGAGCCTATGGGGGCAGTGGACACTGTAGTGTTACGAATACAGCTTTGAATTTCTAACATTATAGTGTTCTTCTAACATATTTGCTAAAACTAAAACAGAAGTATCTGTTTGCACAATTGTTCTAGAGCACTCTCATGTCTGTCAAAGATGACTTTAGAAAGTAGTCCGACCAATGTAACACAAATACACTTACTGTTTTGATGATGGGAAATACACACACAAAAATAAATAAAAAATAGTTTATTCATGGACATGTTAAAAGAATAATATATAAATAGTTTTCTTTTGCTGTTTAGCTAAAACATTTTACTTACGTGATTCAGTTTCTTTAGAATCTCAATTTCTGTATCAAAAGCAATAGGCCTTTCCTATAGGAGATTAAAGATAAAAGTCAGCTTGCACCTTTGGTTTGCAATGGCAATCTGTTTATCAAATTGCTGCCAAGATTTCAGAAGAAGGTTTTCAGTTGAAAATGTCAGGGTATTTCAGGATTCAGTATAGTTTCACTTGTTAGGTGCAATGTGCAGGTAAGGTTACAGTCAGTTTCATGGTATTTATTATTTTTTTAATCTTGTTTTTTCTTTTAACGTCTATGGGAATTCCAATCTAAGGTGATTGGGATAATGAATCGCGCTCAGAGTATGTATAGGAAGAAAAGATACGTGTATCACATATAGGCAGCCTTTGATCTTATCACCTAAGGTGTTAAAATATATAGCACTTAAAAATATGTAGTTGTCAATGAAATATACATAAAATAAAATGTAGGTAGTAATGTAGAAATAAAAAGTACTCGAATTCCAATGCTGCTCATAATAGGAGATATCCTTGGTATTTCCTTAATCAACGGTATAACGTTAATAAATAAATAAAATAAAAAATAAAGAGCGCAGAGGGAAGTAAAGCTTGTATATAAATAAAACACTTTATTTAGAATGATACAAACCATATAGAAATACATTAGAATAAATACATGTCTACATACTCCTAAAGAATAGAGCATAAAAAAAAAAAAATTAAAAAAAAAGAAAGAATCAAAATAATATAACATCTGTGTCAAAAGGGGTGTATATTGAGCGTATAGAAGTGGGCTAAAGTCCTGCAATATTCATCCAGCTCTTTAGGTGTATATAGTTTGTGAAAATCTCAGGGATCCCTTAAGATACTATAAGGTAAGCTTGAAATAAATGTCCCAGGAATCATCCTGTGTATCGCAATACTGCTTACTGTGCTGTACTTGGTATGGATCCTGTTAGGTGTGCTTGTCCCTTCGCTTCAGCATCTTTCCTGTTTACGGGCACTCAGATAGTCCAAGGACGTGATGCTACTGGTGTTCACTGTATCCTCGCTCCTACAGGTTTTGTGAGCCGTGCGCTCACTTCCTCAGGGAGAAATTGTTGAACACCACATGAATGGGCCTTCTTTTATATAATTTCGTAATTGCCCCACTTACAAATATGTACTGATTTTTCTGGGAACCTTGTGAAGAGTATTGACTCCATTATATGCTTATTATTGTATAAATTTCCTTGCGTATATGTGTATAAAAAGGGTGGTTTTGGTCTATAATTATAAAATTTAAAAAGGTTTCACAAGCGGCTTATATTTGAATAAAGTAACATACATCTTGTGCATAAATAAATGCCTATGTTCGCATTGCAAATGGGTTAAAGGGACGCTCCAGTGCCAGGAAAACAAACCATTTTCCTGGCACTGCAGGTCCCCTCTCCCTCCCACCCCCCCATCCCAAGATGCTGAAGGGGTTAAAACCCCTTCCGTGACTTACCTGTATCCAGCGCCGATGTCTTTCGGTACTGGTTCAGGATCCGCCCACGCTGCTCCCCCGCCAACATCATCTGGCGGGGGAGACCTAATACACATGCGGCAATGTCGCGCACTAGACCTCCCCATAGGAAAGCATTGAAAAATGCTTTCCTATGGGGTTTTCAGCGACACTGCAGGTCCTCACATAGCGTGAGGACGTCCAGCGACGCTATAGCACACTTTTCGTGTGCTATAAACCAGGAAGTGCCCTCTAATGGCTGTCTAGTAGACAGCCACTAGAGGAGGAGTTAACCCTGCAATGTAAATATTGCAGTAATTACACTTGCAGGGTTAAGGGTAGTGGGAGTTGGCACCCAGACCACTCCAATGGGCAGAAGTGGTCTGGGTGCCTGGAGTGTCCCTTTAAAGCAATGGAAACTACGTAATTAGTAGAAATTTTGTCAGTATTGTTTTTTTCATGGCAATGTTTGTATCTGGTAATATATCTATTTGTTCTGCATTAATAGCGATACTATGAATTAAGCAGATATAGCACTAGTAAACTTGCCCTATTCTCAGCAGACAAGTGAAAGAGAGATACAGCTATAGGGTTAAGGGGGGAAGGAGGAGTATATAACAATATACACTCCTTTTGAGATAGATGTTATATTATTTTGATTTTTTTATGCTCTATTTTTTAGGAGCATGTTAACATATATTTATTCTAATGTATTTCTATATGTTTTTATCATTCTAAATAAAGTGTTTTATTTATATACAAGCTTCACATCCCTCTGCACTTTTGTTTTACATTATACCGTTAAATAATTATTTTTGCTCCAGAATTCCACCTTTTCTGTCACTCCCTTCCTACAAGCATTTTATGTTTCCTATTATACACACAAGTTACAAATGATAGAGACACCTTAATAGCACCTTAATGAAAAAGCAAGAACAAATTCCTGTCATCCAGGAGTACAGGCATCCAAAAAAAAAAAAAAAAAAGATTCAAAAAAAATTAGTAAAACATTGTGTTGTATTGGTTTTAAAAGCTGCTGAGTGTTTGGTCTTATTTTATAAAATGATGTGTGTGTATGTAGCACAAATACTTTGGATACAGATTAAGGGCTGTGTGTTTACTTACATAATCACCTGAATTGCTCAGCATAAATTTTCTTTTATTGATAATTTTTACTGCAACCTTCTTACATGTGGATTTTTCAAAAGCTAATTTGACTTCTCCGCAAGCCCCACTAAGAGTGGAAAAAAAAATATTAAAAAAATTCAAGCTGAAGCCTATAGAAGAAAAGGTTATGTAAAAATGATAGACACAGAAATATTTTAAATACAATAAAGTAAAGATGAGGCATTCTGTGATTAATGGAGCTGTAACTGACTGGGTCATTCAGATACTCTAATGTTAATCAGTTAAATATAATCAGTCTTTTTTGACTCTATGTCCTTCTAAATCGAAAAAGTGCTGGCGCTGTCTTGAAGATGTGGGCACCATGCTGCACGTTTGGTGGAATTACCCTAAATAACAAGTCTACTGGCTGAAAGTAATTTCACTTATTAAGACTCACACTAGCCTTACAGTACCTTATACACCTACTTTTCTTTTATTATTTATGTTTCAGGAAACTTACACTAAACCTATCAAAATTAGCTGCACTGTCACGGATAGACAAATATTGGCTCACTAAGGTCAACCCATCTATGTATGAATCTCTAAATCAAATATCCCAAATAGTAAGATATGAAGTGACAGCCAGGCAGACTTGGTCCATATGCAATTATTGGAAAGATGTTTCCATAAGAACTCTATTTAATCTCCTTCAATACGAGGATGTTTTAAGCCCTAATTCCGCTTTACGTTGAAATGCACAGGATTCAATGTACTTTGCTGCCTTCAACTTCTTGCCTAGGGGTACGCTCCTGTTGTTACCAGCAAACCCTTCAAAAGATCTCTCGTCTCTCTGTGATGCCTGTGCCCATATACTTGCCTGTATTTACAATGCACAGGTAACCCACTATATTATGGACCATGCGGAGCTAGGAGTATTGTGCTTTATACGAAAGGCATTTCTACATTAAATCAAAAAAGACCAAATTATAACACTCTATAATCAATACATTCAGGTTGGTGGAAAATGAGAAGTCACAGGCACTTTATCAATACTCACTCATAATAGATAGACCCTGCAAAATGTTCTGATATTATGATATACTTTGCCTGATTATACAAATTGCTTATTTTACATCTTATGCGTGAAAAGCTTTGTAGACTCATTCCACCAGATTTATGCCAAGTTTGTATTTTTGAGAATGCTTGCTTAACCTTTTTGAGACTCTTCCCTCTTTTCTCCATCCTTGCCATTTCAAATCATACCATATATACCAGTACTGAACTCAAACTTGTCTGTCTATATTTAGTCTTTTTGCAACGCTGTTACCCCTTGTCACTTTGAAAATTCTCATATCACAGTGATTACTGTCAGACCCTCTCTACAGCAGTCATTGAGCTAATGATTCTTCTTTGCATATTGCCAATTGTTCTATTATTTTGTACAAAATACAAGTATATGCTGATGCATTTTTTTTTTTTTTTTTATATTGACCAATACAAATCTCTGTGCATAATGAACTGGCTTTACTTAAACTACCACACCATCACACAATTCAGGTAAAACCAGTTCATTATGCACATAGATTTGTGAAGACACTTTGCAATCCAGCATTGCTTTCCAAGCTGTCAATGGTTATTAATATTGTGCCTCACCTTCCAATTGTTTTTGACATAATGAATTTATTTCCAAATTCCTTTGGGTAGACTGTCTGATCATCCACCAACAAATCTGAAAATACAAAAACTGCAGCGCACCTGGGGATATTAATTAATTCTTCTAATATATCAAAACCATCATCTTTAAATGAAGAAAAAAAAAGAAACATTTTCACATTTTAAGTTAAAAAAAATGAAGATATGTAATAACAAACAATGCATTATAAAATGTAGTCCATAAAGCCTAGCTACTTCTCTTTGCTAAAGTACTAGTATTTCACATAGCAGAGAAATACATTCCTTCCATTTCATTTTAACTGCATGGCAGGGCTATAGAATCACTCAGTATATTCTAAGAATTACTTCAAATTTGAGTTAGCAGTTTCCACATTTTTGGATTAATTGAAGCTGCGGTATTTGCCATTATGCAAAGGATTTCATGAATTTTTTATAATTTTTTTTTTTTTTTTTTTAAACTTGTCATTCCTACTGTACAGTTAAGACAAAAGTGTCAATACAAAATGATTGACCACAGAATATACAGCATCATTCCAAATAAGTATCACGCATCAGCATAGGGAGATATGTGGCAAAAAGTCCCTTTTATGAATTATTGTGTTAACAGATAGACATGAGAGGATAGTGATTACATAGAAGTTCTACAATTAGGGGCCAATGGTAAGGCTAAGAGTAACAAATACAAAATGAAGGGTGATATGAGGATTTGTTCAATAGAAGGTTAGTCTAAAATTTGTAAGCTGGAAAATAGCAGAGTTAACCATTTGCAGTTCCCTTGACATGTTGTATAATTGCACGGTTTAGCAAGTAAGCACCAAAAGAAAGTTCTAGATCTTGTAAAAACGGTCTTTGTGATGAAGTATTTCAATTACAGGTATTTCAATAAATTTATGAACAATCCAAAAGTGTTTGTTCACTTATGAGGCCAGTAATGGGAGGTTGGTACACATTTTCATTAAGAATGCTGCCACAATTGCATTAGAAGTACAATTTTAGATACAAAATGTGAATATTCTGTTCATAGTAAAGACATGAAAGATAACCATTCATATAAACATTTAAAATTTATAGGTAACCACAGTGTCATTTCAATTACATGTCTGTTAGTCCACCCATTGTACAGCGCTACATAAATAATAAAAAAATAATAATAATAATAATAATAATAATAACAACAACAACTACCCATGGAAACAGAAATTTGTTGCCACCTTGTGGTCAAACGAGGACTTGTTTTTTTCATAACTAAATAAGCACTAAACAATTTTTTCTTAAAGGAAAACTCCAGTGCCAGGAAAACAAATCCGTTTTCCTGGCACTGCAGGTACCCTCTCACCTCCCATCCCAGGTAGCTGAAGGGGTGAAAACCCCTTCAGGTCACTTACCTGAGACCCTGCCGATGTCCCTCGGCGGTGGTTTCGGGTCGGCGTCGCTCCTCCCAGTAATCACGTCAGCCGGTGGGCGAGACTGATCCCGCCCGCCGGCTGAGGAAACCTAACGCGCATGCGCGGCAATGATTTTCAATGCTTTCCTATGGGGAATTGAGCGACGCTGGAGGTCCTAACACAGCGTGAGGACGTCCAGTGATGCTCTAGCAAAGAAAATTTTTGTTATGAATCAATAAGTGCCCTCTAGTGGCTGTTTAGCAGACAGCCACTAGAGGTGGAGTTAACCCTGCAATGTAATTATTGCAGTTTATAAACAACTGCAATATTTACAGTTGCAGGGTTAAGAGTAGTGGGAGTTGGCACCCAGACCACTCCAATAGGCAGAAGTGGTCTGGGTGCCTGGAGTGTCCCTTTAAGGAGGAAGCCTCGCTCCTCAATAAGTGACAGTCCCTTGTTCCTTCATCAGTAAACACATGTTCAGCACAGTTATGGCAAAATGGGTAAACCTTGGCATCCCACATATTTGGAACCATGGCTTACACCCATGTGTGTGCTCAGCATAATGTATTACAAGCAAGAATCTTTTTAAGGTTTATGTGCCAGGTTCTGCACATTCAGTAAATCTACTTGGGAGGTTTGATGCTGAAAGTTGTCAGGGAGTTTACTTGTTGTTGGCCTCTCAACATCTGGGGGTTTTCTGCATCCACTCACATCTTTAAAAAAAAAAAAATTTTTTTTAAAAGCCCAGCTGTCAGATGTGTCCAGTACTATGACTTTATAAAGTCTGTCTGACACACTGCGGTCAGCACAGGAAGAGGCTTCCCCCAAAATTGTTCAAAACTAAGCACAAATATTGTAAGCTGTGACAACAACAGTAGTATTGTAAAAACATTTAACACAGGCAAGGAAGCAGGACTGGTGAATAAACTGAAAATGTCTGGAGACTGTGTCCACAACCACTATAACAGTTCGCAAGAAATTATAAATTGTTCTAATTGATGTTGGAAAGGGAAACTGTCGCTTCCATGGAATGTACACAAGTAAGACCAGTGAAAAATCAATCCTAACTTTTGTTAACCTTATAACATGCAGTGCCCGTTTTTGTTTAAAAGGACACTATAAGCACATAGACTACTTCATCTCAGTGACGTGATATGGGTGTCATGTCTCCCTCATTTTAACCCTAGTTGTGCAGGAATGGCAATGTTTACGCACATCATTTAAACCTGAGCACCGTATATACTTGAGTATAAGTCGACCCGAATATAAGTCGAGACCCCTAATTTTACCCCAAAAAACTAGGAAAACTTATTGACTCGAGTATAAGACTTGGGTGGGAAATGCAGTAGCTACTGGTAAATTTCTAAATAAAATTAGATCCCCCCAAAATTATATTAATTGAATATTTATTTACAGTGTGTGTTTGTATGAGTGCAGTGTGTGTGTGTATATATATATATATATATATATATATATATATATATATATATATATATATATATATATATATATATATATATATATATATATAGGCTTTTTTTAATTTTTATATTTTTTCGTCCCCCTTCCCCCCCTGATTGTTAGCTGGCCAGGGAGGGGGGCTCTCATTCCCTGGTGGTCCAGTGGTGTGCACTGTGTAGGAGGGGGGCTGGCAGCGAGCTGTAATTTACCTTTCCTGCAGCTCCTGTCAGCTCCCTTCTCTCTCCTCTGGTCCGGTCAGCTCCCTTCTCCTCCACTGTAGGTCGCGCGGCAGCCCGGAGCGTTCCCCGCAGCTCTCGCGAGATTTACAGTGGAGCTGACCGGACGAGAGAGAAGGGAGCGGACAGGAGCTGCAGGAAAGGTAAGTTACAGCTCGCTGCCAGCCCCTAACAGGACCGCCAGGCTTGTAATGAGCCCGGCGGTCCTGGTCTGTATTAAGGCAAGGTAAGTTGCCAAAATACAGACATTAACTCGAGCACAAAAAATGTGCTGAAAAACTCGACTTATACTTGAGTATATACGGTACTTAAAGGGATCCTATAGTGCCAGGAAAACAAACCAGTTTTTCCCGGCACTATAGGCTCCTGGAGTGCCCTCCTGCCGCGGGGCTGAAGGGGTTAAAACCCCATTCAGCCACTAACCTAATCCAGCGTCGATGTCCCTTGGCGTTGGGTCGGGTTCCGCCCACGCCCCCACCGTCATTAGCCAGCGGGGGACCTAATGCACAATGCGCGGCAATGGCCCGTGCACCTTTGACCTCCCCATAGGAAAGCATTATTCAATGCTTTATAATGGGGAAAATCTGATGCCGAAGGTCCGTAAGGACGTAAAGCGTGAGATAACAGACCAAAAGTCAGTTTGGATTCAGAAAGCCCTCTAGTGGCTGTCTGTTAGACAGCAACAGAGGGCAGACTTAGAGCTGCAATGTAAACATTGCAGTTCTCAGTGCTGCAATTTAAAACATTGCAGTTCCAAAGTGCAAAAGGGTCACAGCATACAGACTACTTCAATTAGTTGTCCCTTTAATAAAACCCTAGAAGACAACAGACCTGAAAAAGGTTTGTTATGATAGGAAGGGGAGGTGCAGATGAGTATGCTAAGAAAGATGAAGGGGTTGCATCGAGATTGTCAGGTCTAGGCATCACAAAATCTAAATACGTAATTGCATACACGCACACACACTCCTAATAGATAGAGACAGGCAATACAATATTTTTGATAAGCCTAGCCACAAAAAACTTAAAATCTGAAATGAAATAAGGAAAATACAATATACAGGGAAGGGTGTGTAGAAGACTTTAGGTAAAGACAGATGGATTTATTCACTAAACTCTGAAGTTTAGTGAATTGAAATCCAAATAGCAAAATTCAAACTAAACAAATCAAGATGTGCCTACGGCCAAGTTAGAGAATCTTTCAAATTGGCCATTTTATTTTTAATATTGCTATTTGGACTTCAGGTTTTGTGAATAAATCCCAGTAGAACTGTGTCAGCAAAATAACTAAGATAAAAAAAACAAAAAAAAAATATCAAAGTTTTTGGAGTGATGTAGAATCAATTATTATTATAATAGACAGGGATACCTTTATTTGATGGTAATGAAAGTGCAATTTCTGCATTATTTGTTAAAGGCAACTTCTTGTCTCTGCCAATGAGCTCTTTGTTTAGGTATGTTCCATTGCCACTCAAATCTTCAATGTATGCAATTGGGGAATGTCCTTGTTCTCCATCCTTGAAAACAAAGGTACAAATTTCTGGCATGCAGATCAATAAACTATATTATTACTAAAGCAAATATATTGTATTATTACTAAAGCAACCCAGACCACTATCTTAATCAAGTGGTCTGGGTGCAGTGGTCCTGTACGCTTAAACTTCAAGGTTATACAATTCCATGTTGCAGAGAAAGCAATGTTTATCTTTGGAGGATTAAACAGGCCTTTAGTGGCTATTATGCTTACAGCTATTATGGGTGCTTTTGCTGCAAAGACAGAGTAAAACTCTGTCTCGTGACGTTACTGCTCACAGGAAAGCATTGGACTCAATACTTTCCTATGAGAAGCATAGGATTGGACCAGCAATGGAGGAAGCAACGCTTTCTTTGTGATGTTTGCAGGAGGTGGAGAGGTTAACAGTGCTGGAAAAAAGGGGTGTAAGACCTTTACACCTGAATATAACTAGGGACAGGGGCACTGTAGCATAGGGATAGAGGTTTGTATTACTAACACCATAGTGTTCCTTTAATTATAATAATATGAAAAGCATAAACAGCTGACAAGAAAAAAAAAGTTACAGTCACGGTGAAAGCAGATCTGTAAGATTTACTGAGCTTTTAACTTCACAATCAGCATTTGTTCCTCCCCATTACAGGATTTTTAACAGTTAGTTCAGTCACTTCCCCACTCAAAATTATAGAAGACACAAATACCTGAAAATGATCAAATTACCTTAAATTTAAACACTTACCCTATATATCCGGAAATGTTTTTTGCTGTATGTTTTATATTTTTCAGTTTTGTTTATTATTCGCCTATCAAACGTGTAGTCGCATTGTTTATCTCTTCCAAACACATATTCATTATTCACACAGTCTGGTGAAAGAACAGAGCATAATTCTCACAAAATTCTTTGTAAAACAAAGGGAACTCCCAACACATTTTGTTTGAAAAAGCCACCTAAATGGTGGGTAAACACTATAGGGTCTGGGTTACCCGTTTGTGTTCCTAACCCCATAGTGTTCCTTTAAAGGGTGTTTCTGGTGGCTCATAACGTTTGAGTATTTTGTACAGATTCCTAAACGTTGCCCAATGAAAACAAAATAATACTGGCTTCCTTAACTCTACAAATATCTGTAACTCCATGTTGTAATAAATAAATACATTTGAATGTGCTATTAAATAAAACACTCAAAACACCATAACCACTACGTATGTTATAGTGGTTGTAGTGCCAGGGTTGCCCTGGCATCTCCCTGTTTTAGAACGGTTTGACGTCTTAGCTGCAGTCCACAAGATGTTGCACCCTGCCTTCACTAGAGTCAACAGTGAACTTCTGCTTTTCCGATTTGAAGCAAGCCCTGCAGTGCATCAGCACCTCTACTGAATCCATCAGGCTTGATGAGTATTGTGTCCAGTGAAATCTTCTCATTGAGAAACACTCTGGACATAGTGCGCATGTGTAGCAATCGCCACACTATGCTAATCAAATTCTTCTATAAGTGAAGAACCAAATCAGACTCCGTTCTCACTGCAGAAGAATCATCTTGTGGCCGTCTTCTTAAGGTGTGTTTAACTGTACAATTAAAACATTGTTGCATCTCCAAAACGGCAATGTTCTACACTGTGGGAGATAAATGGCAGGGACACGTCAATCAGATCACTTTATTTAGATGAAGTGGTCTGGAAGAGTATACTGCCCCCTTAAAACTTAAAGGACCACTATAGTGCCAGGAAAACATACTTGTTTTCCTGGCACTATAGTGCCCCGAGGGTGCCCCCACCCCCGCCGGCCTTGAAGGGGGAGGAAGGGGTTAAACTTTCCTCTTTCTCCAGCGCCGAGTGGAGAGCTCTCCTCCTCCTTGGCTGAATGCACATGCACGGCAAGAGCCGCGCGCGCATTCAGCCAGTCTCATAGGAAAGCATTCACAATGCTTTCCTATGGACGCTGGCGACTTCTTACTGTGATTTTTACAGTGAGAAGCACGCAAGCGCCTCTAGCGGCTGTCAATGAGACAGCCACTAGAGGCTGGATTAACCCTAATGTAAACTTATAGAAAAAAGGGTTAAACCTAGCTGGACCTGGCACCCAGACCACTTCATTAAGCTGAAGTGGTCTGGGTGCCTATAGTGGTCCTTTAATGTTCGTCCATCCCAATGTAAGATAAATACATACACAAAATTAAATTGGGTAAGTATTACCATACCATGATTCTCAAAACCCTTTCCAAGAGCCCAAAGACGACCCCACGGCTGAAGAATATCTTCTAGTTCTTGTTCCTCTGGTATTGATGCAATATCCATTAATGGGACCGTCTCCAAAGAACTCATGGTACCAGAGGATGAAGACTGGCTGTAGGATTGAGGGACACTGGAGGAAGAACTAGAAGTGCCCTGAGATTGTTGGGAATCCCCTTTTGTATCACGTGACATCTTGTAACTAAAAAGACAATTAAATCACAAAATTAGAATTGTACTTTTTCTCTGCTATAGTACTGTATACAGAAGCATAGCAAATGAAACAAATACATGCAGATGGGGGTTTTCAATAAACCACGAGTGGATGGTGGATAAAAATCAATGACAAAAAAAAGAGACATTATTTTGGCTTAAAGTCCAGTTTTATTTTACAGTCGAGATTTGTGAGCCCGCTCCCTCTAGGGCAGGTGGCTAGGAAGCTGTCGACCTTCCTGCTTCCTTGCGCGCCGCTTAGAGATGCAGAGGCCGGAATATGACATCATTCCAGCCCCAGCATCACTAAGCAGCAAATCAAGAGCTAGCTGCCTACAGTACTTGCAGCTGCTCGTCTGCCTCCACTCTCCCCCAGCCGGCCGTCCACTGGACCCCTGGGAACGCGGACCCTTTTCAGCTCTCCCAAAGGTAAGAAGGTTGGGTGGACTTAAATTGAAATAAAATATGTAATCTGTGACTGTGTGTATCTGTCTGTCAGTGAGTGTCTATGTTTAGGTGACCAGCCACTGATCGCATGGGTAGGGTGTTTTTATTCAACTTTTCCCCCCACACAGTGCTGGTGTCCCTGCGGCTGTCCTCTCCTCTATGGTCAAGATCATCAAGCTTGATTATCTCAGCCAATTCAATGCTTTCCCATAGGAAAGCATTGGGAAGCTATTGCACAAGTGCTGTAAAATGCTGTGCCAATCAGCATCTCCTTAGAGATGCATTGAAACCATGCATCTCTATGGGGAATATTAAGCGCCTCAAGGCAGAGTGTGGAGACACTGAATACAGATGGCTGCACATTGTGAGTGACTGCCACTAGAGGTATCACTAGGTAGCAATGTAAATACTGCCTTTTCTTTGAAAAGGCAGAGTTTACATTGAAAAGCCTGCAGCGATGGTTTATTATTAATCTGTAGTGGTCCTGGTGACTATAGTGTCCCTTTTGTGTGGAGAGAAAAAATACCCAACAACCAAGGCAGTCCCCCCTTCATCCAATACTGCAGATCCAATTCATGTGATCGTGATGACACCGAGACCACATAACTCGGATCAGTGTGGTTGACAGATTAGCTGTAGTGGTAGTGCTTGGGTTGCTAGGCAACCACAACTATAGTCCCCATCTGCATACCCTGAAAAGTTGTCAAACTATATTAAAACAGTTGAACTACTTACCATAGGCCAGCGCAAGAGCACTCCTGCCACCATGTGCACTACAGCAGGCAGGAGTGGTTATGCTACATATGGAGTGTTCCTTAACAAAGAGAGAGATCAGTCCAAGTTGTGCATATGCATACTACACACACACACACACACAACAAAATTGATATAAGCAGTCTGGAATTGAGCGTTTCAGTTAACAAGACTAATGGGTCTGGTGGGCTGTATTATAAGAACAATAAAAAAATAAAAATAAAGCTGCAGTTATTAAAAAGCAGAGTGGATGCAGAAAACCCCTTGTAGTATTAACTTTGAAATGATGCAGTTATTATTGTGCTAAGATTGACCATTTAACAGCCTTGCCGGAGTTCTAAAGAACACTCAAAACACCATAACCACTACAATACCAATACAGTGGCTACGCTGCACGAAGTGTCCGGGCATGGTTTGATAACTTCCCTGGGACCCCTTCTTTTTCAGATGTTTCTACTGAGCTAAATACAGCAGAAGCAGGACTGTGCTCAATGACTGAGACAGCTCAGGTGATTATCTCCGCCAGTGAGCGTAGACCTTTATCGATTCCGTTTTGACGTACAGCGCAATCCTGCTTCCCTTGCTGGAGAATACCATATCTGGTGCAGGTTGCCAACGTGATCAAAGCAAGTTGTCAAACTATGATAAAGCAGTCTGACATAGTCCCATGGGACAGCAGCAGGGCACTCCTGATACCATAACCACTACAGCAGGCTAGAGGTTTTAAAATAAATAAATAAAGCCTCCCTGACATAGAAGTTACACCACCTGCTCCCTGCAGGGCTCTGCAATGAGGAAGTAATGAGTCCATATAAACCCTGCATGCCCATGCCACATCACTAACTCCAGTGTGGGTGGTATCTGAGCATTGCTGGTACACAGTGTGCTGCCAGGGGGTAATGAGGTCACTGATTAGGGAGGGACCCACACTGAGCTCCCAGCATTGTATCTGGTTCATACAGTAACACAGCACTCTCCGTGTCACCACGTGTTACACTGGGAGCAGGAAGTGCCGTGTCCCGGGCCCGGTGCCGGTGACAGCCGCGCTCCATCACAGTACCGTACAGTAACGGGGACCCTCGCGCTCACCTGCTGCGATGCGGCCAACATTAACCGCAATAAGGAGACCCCCAGCGTCCCGTTGGCGCCATCAACAGTCAAGCTGCGGCAGCCAATCACAGCTCGTGACGTCACGGTGCGCCGCGGACCTTTAACCCCAGGGCAGCTGAAGCTGGGCCAGTGTGAGGGCCGTGTCCTCCGAGCTGCCATCGCTCTCTGCGCCCTCTGCAGCGTGACTGAGTCCCTTATGGGGTTAACGGCACTGGGGATCCGTCAGCGTTGTGTGATTTCCGGGTCATGCTTGGTGCTTCTCCCATGGCGGCCATGGAGCCTGCGAGGAGGCTGCTGATAAAGTTTGTTTCCATGGAGAGGCTGGGGAGGGCGCTCACTGACTCACTGTCCCAGAGGTGGACTAGGCCCCCAGGGTGCCGGGCCATGTGTGTATCCCCCAGCCCTGCCTGTGTGGGGGCCAGGCTGTGTGTGAGCATGAGGACAAACATGCAGCCACTGAGGGCATGGATAGAGGGCAGTGACAGTAACCACCACCACTACACAAGGACCTTCTCATTGTCTGCTCAGGGCAGGTTGTGCTGGAGCTGCCAGGCTGCCCTGGCCATGGATGAACTATTCTGTCCCACCTGTCACTCCCTGCAGCCCCCTGATGAAACGAAGGATTATTTCCAAGTTCTAGATTGGTAACATATTGATTAATCATCTTGCATGGCTACATCTTGACTTGCTCCATAGTGAACTTGTGTCATAGAAAAGTATGAACTAGTAACAGTACAAAAATATATAAATAAAGCAATGGGACTTATCCTGTGGTACAATTAAATTACCTTGAAAAGAATACCAGTGTGAAAAAAAAAATCTTTAAAATAACCCCTCAAGCGCCATAACAACTACAGTGCACTGTAGTGGTTATGGCGCCAACAATAGCCAAGAGTAATGGGTTGATTTCTTACCTGTGGATCACTGTTCTCCTCAATTGCATTGGCAGGAGAGCCTCAAGCTCCTACTTAGGAGCTACTGTTCATTCTACTCACCTAAAGTCTGCTAGGCTAACGCTTTGAAAGTGTCAGTAGATCGCTCGCCTTAATGAGCTAAGCCCTGCACCACATGACACAAGAGCTGGCTCTCTGTCAGATTTAGTTGAGACAGGTAGCGTCGCTTAACGTATCCCAGGTAAGAAGCAAATCTGTTCAAAAACAGTCTGACTATTTACATGTTTGAGGGTTCTCAAAAAACATGTAGATCCTTAATATACTGTTGTCATATAGGTTGGCCTCAAGTCCATCATGATCTAGATATTTCACTTGTTCACATACTCACATTTGTTCCGTCTAGTGAGAAAACATTTGATGTCAATATTCAAGAACTGCAAAAAAAATATCGGAACCTTCAACGCTTCCTTCATCCAGATTATTTTAGTCAAAAATCACATGTGAGTAAATTCTTATTTGCTTTTATTGTACTTTAATGCTACAAAGAGTGGTCACGAAAGCAATTCAATCGGATTCTGTCCAAGTGTTTAACTTTAAGGGAACACACCAAGCACCATCACTACTACAGCATGAACTTTGGTAGTGGAGGAGGCACCCGGTGTACTCCAGTTAAGAAGTTAAACCATTCTTAAAATTATTTGACTACTTAGAATAAGGTGCACTCCTGGCACATTATTTCACCACAGCCCATGTAATGTTATTGTGCTTGGAATAAATGAGGTGACCTACATATGCTGAGACTTGGATACTGTTTTAAAATGTCCAGCTAAGATTAAAAATTGTGCTTAATGAATTGGACAATGTAGGCTGTAGTTGACTCCCCTTTTAATGCATTTATATATTATGTATCTAATATTTAGTCATTTAGATTCTGAAGGCATAAGGAAAGGAAAACAGAGCGTGAAAAAAACTAACATACAGGTCTTCTTTAACTCAGTGCTTAGTTGAAGCACCTTTGGCAGTAATTACAGGTTCAAGTCTTTGTAGGTATGATGCAACAAGCTTTGCATACCTGGATTTGGGTAGTTTCTCCAATTCATCTCTGCAGGTCCTCTTAAATTCTGTTAGGTTGGATGAGACTGTTGGTGAATAGCCATTTTATTGCCTCTGTAGAGATGTTCAATTCTGGGCTCTGGCAGGGCCACCCAAGTACATTAAGAGAGTTGTCCCATTGTCTTGACTGTGTGCTTAGCGTTATTATTCTGGACCAGGTTTACATTACACAATAAATACTTTATTTTGATGCCTTCAGCTTCTCTAAACCATGACCAAACTCTCTGCCATGAATGTGTATTTATTGGAGGGTAGGGCACTTTTGCACTTTTATTAAGGGTGCCCTACCCTCCAATAAATATACCTTCCGTACCTGGAGTGTTTCCTGTATTCCCTATTATCTAGGCAAAAAGGACAAATCAGTGGAGTGTTGCAGTGATGGATGTCTATCCGCATGCTTACCCCATCGCCAAATATAATCTGTTGGAATCACCCAGCGTTATCTTTAGTTTTTTTTATTTACCATCTCCCTTATCTCCCGATTGCACTGTTTGGCCAGGCAACCAGAGGGGTTGTTCCAAACCTCTTCTATTTAGGAATAATGGAGATCATTATGGTCTTGGGAACCTTAAATGCAGCCAAAACATCTTGAAGCTTTCACCAGATCTGTGCCTTAACACAATCCTGTCTCTGAGTTCTGCAGGCAGTTGGTTTACCCTTGTGGCTTAGGTTTTTACTCTGATATGCATGTATAGCCCTGGTACCATATATAGACAGATGCCCCAGTGAATATAAGGCATCTGAGCTAAATGTCAAGTGTCATAGCAAATGGTCTTTTTTTTTTTTTGTATAATTTTTTTTTTATTTTTCAATTTAAAATTTCATCCATATACACACTTTCATAGAAAAATAGGTTGAGATATTACAATAAATTAAGTATCGTACACATAGTTAATAAAACCATAAATAATACATTTATACACTGACTACAATCAAATCAGTACATTACATACATTGACCTCTTTCTTACACTTCTGCATAAAGCTGCTACATTACCTAAGAAAGGTTGTCATTGGAGGGAGGGGGGTTTTGGTTTTAAGACTGATATCTATTCCAAGGGGCCCAAATCTCCTCATATTTCTCCTTGGATACTTTATTTATTGATATACCTGCTTCCATCCTACATTGATAATCCACTTGTACACAAATATCTTGCCAAACTAACGGGCCCATATTTCTCCAGTTTCTAGCTATAATTAGTTTGATTGCCATAAAGAAATGGATCATAAGAATTTTTAGTTTTACATTGACCCTTGGCATGTTTAAGTGAAACAGGAACATTTGAGCCGTAATAACAGTTTGTGCCTTCAGAATGAAATTTACCAAATCCGATAGTTACTTTCATAGGTTTCAACTCATCACAGTCCCACCATATGTGAGAAAATTAGCCTAATTCCCTGCCACATCTCCAACAATCTGGTAGAAGTGTGGGTTGAAATCTATGAAGGCGAGTGGGCACCAGATACCATCGGTACACAAGTTTAAAATACACTTCCCTTATACCCACGGATATGTCTTTTTACTAATTGTAGGCCCAAAAGCCAATCTTCAACCTGAGAAAAAAAATTGAGTTCTTGCTCCCATGTATTCATAGCTGACACTATCTATTTGCCTTTGGCTTCTTATAAATTGGTTAAATCTGGAGGCAATTTTTTTCCTATAATGGGATGCTATAAACTGGTCAATTTGAGAGATTTCCGAAAAAGTTTTTCCTATGATAAAAGATTTTATTCTTAAATAATTAAATATTTATTTGGAAGGAAGGTTATATTTAAGCTGTAACACTGGAAATGACAATATTTTATTATCATCTAATAGTTCTGCTAATTTTGCAATTCCACACTTTTCCCATTCTTGTATATTTGTCTTTTATATAAAGTTTTAAGCATGTTAATGGGGCAATTCTTGATATATACTTAGTACCATATTTTTTCTTTAAATATTTTACTATATAGATCATTGTGTTATTCATCGGATTGTTAGATTTTATGTTTTTTACAAATTCACTATCGCACCACATAAGGAATAGAGGTTCGATATTACCCAAATCCGATTTTTCAATATCTAACCAAGTAGGTCTTGATTTTGTAAAGTTATCACACTTGATTAAATGTACTACCATATTAATCGTATATCATTTTTGTACGTCCGGAAAAGAAACTCCCCCCTCCTTCCAATCTCTCTGTAATATTTCCAATGACACTCTAGGTCGCCTGTCCTGCCATATATAATGTGATATTTGTTTTTGAAGACCGCGTATCGTCTGGGATGACACCCTCAGCGGGAGATTACCAAATAAAAATGTCAATTTAGTGTATGCCTATCCCTATTTTAAACCGTGCCAGAAAAAAACCCTTATCATATCGTATCTACCCAGTACAGGGAAAAAAATAAATAATAATTTTTCAATTTGAGGTTGGATAGCAAATGGTCTTAATACTTATGTCAGTGATTTTTTTTTTTGATTTTTTTTTTTTATTTGCAACATTTTAAAAAATTTGATTTTTGCTGTGCCATTATGTGGTGCTGACTGTAGTCTGATGTGGGGAAAAAAACAATTAAAGAAACACTATAGTCACAAGAACTACCACAGCAGTTGTTTAAACAGCAATTGGATAAATACTTGCAAAAACATAACATACAGGGATATAATTTCTAATTAGTGGGGTAATAGCTGCTTGATCCAATGAGATATGACTGCTATTTTGGGGTCAAGAAGGATTTTTTTCCTAGTTGTTGCAAAATTGGAAAGTACTTCAAACTGGGGTTTTTGCCTTCTTTTGGATGAACTGCAAAAACATATGTGAGGAAGGCTGAACTTGATGGACGCATGTCTCTCTTCAGCTATGTAACTCAATATGGTGTCCTAGCCTGTCCCCCTTTTTAAAAAAAAAAGGTTAATTGCTTGAAGAAAGGGAAAGTGGGTATACAGTTAGATCTGGAAATATTTGGACACTAATACAATTTTCCTAATTGTGTCTCTGTATTCCACCACAATGGATTTGAAATTAAACAACCAAGATGCAATTGAAGTACAGACTTTCAGCTTTAATAATAAAGTATTTAACCAGGAAAGGTACATTCAGATTACTCTGATTTCCAAGTATGTCCTGGGGATGTTACTTTTGCCCAGCATTCAGGGATGAACAAAAATATCCTATGAAAGGTTTAGGAATTGCAACCATTTTCATGTACAGCCGAAATAACAAAACTACTGACAGTGTCCAAATCTTTACAGACCTAACTGTATGTAGCTTAAAACTATTACAATAAAAATAAATGGAGTTTAGAAACTAGCTGGAGTAACCTTGTTAGCAATTCTAGCATTTATGCAGCATAAAAAGTGTGACAATGAAGGAGTCTGAATGCACAGTATATATTGATCTTTGCACATATATATATATTTTTTAAATGAATCCAGTATTCTCAAAGCTGGTCTTGATTGGTGTGAATAAATCAGAATCTCTGCAATCTCTCAAACATAAAATTAGAGAAGAATCCTAGCTATTTCTAAAGCTATCAATGGTAGCTATTGTTCCCTTTATATGTGTTCATTTTTGATAGGCAACATCAGACTTAGAAATATATTTAAACTTTATAACATGTGAGTGTACCAGTGTTTTTCTTTAGTGTTACTGGAGGAGGTCTGGAATTCTTGCATTTCTTGCCACACACCAATCAATGTTACCATGTGGTAATACAAAAGCAGACGTTCTAGCTCATGAAACTGTTTTTGTATAAACCTAAAGAGAGAACTGCTTGCCATGCCAAATGGGCACACAAGTATGCGCTCACCAGAAAATAATTTAACAGATTTATTCAGTCATCCAGACCGGACACCCCTTTAAACAATTGAGGCAACAGAGCAAAATGCCAGAACAAGGTGCCAAATTGGTTTTAAATTTCATCATATAAATCGCAATTTCATTATCTTTTTTTTAATTGTAGAAGAGGTTTGTGGATACATGCTTTATGAGGGCTGGTGATGACAGCATCAATATAATCTTATAGATGCTGTCCTTGCTGTACACATTGAATAAACTGCAGAGCTTTCTTTTCGATGACCTAATTGTTGTGATCTCTTTTAGATGGAGCGGGAAATGTCAGAAAAACAGTCATCTCTGGTCAACAAAGCCTATAACACACTTCTATCTCCTTTAAGTAGAGGAATATATTTGGTAGGTATTTTGGATCAATTAAAACCATATGCTCTCCTCTTGCCCAGTTAAACTGAGAAAAACAAAATGTTTATACTTATTACAGATTCTACAAAAATGCATATTATTTAAGGAACACATATAATTTGTTTTTCCCCTAGCAATACATTTGATTATTTTATATTATCCATTACATGGCACTCTTCAAAGTGCAAGCTACTGAAATTGTGTATACTTTAATTTTTTTTCTATTTCTGTAAATTCATTAATCCCATTTGGTTGCAGAAAAATACCTCCTACATGTCTTTTTGGAAGGTCACTGCTTTTTTTATTTCTTTTTTAAAAGCCAGATTTGTGTATAACGGTTTTGTAGGCCTAAATAGCAACACAGTGGCCAATAATATTGTTTAAAGCATATTTATAAAAAAAAAAACTAAAACTGTTTTTTTATTTTTTTATTCCGTGATATACATGTTAAGAACCACCAATAGCTTGTGCAGTTACTTACAGATTATTTTTAACATTAAACTCTTTAATTCACTGCTCTAATCATTGTCTCTAAATAAACTTGTACTTTTTAACCAACAAAGGTATTTTGGGTGTCAATTTTCTGTTAGACAACCCTTTGTTTTCATTAGGCTATTAGCAGCTAACATGTGCAGCTTTGTTATTTATGTGATCCACTGCATGCTTTAACTTTCGTTTATGTCATGCTGATTGTTATAAGCTGAGCACAACATTACAAGGCTATCTCTGCCCTGGGAATAGTCATGCCTTTGCCCAGTTGCCCATTTGTGGTACCCTATGCTTTTTTTTTTTTTACAGTAAATATACTCTGATTCTATTATTTTCACGGTCTTACCCAATATGACTGTTCATACCAGTGCGATCACCAAAAACAAAAGAAGAGTAATAGTAAAAAAAAATGTTTAAAGTGTCCTGTTTGTTTTGATATGCTTTGTTTCTTTATAGCTGTTTAACAAATGTTTTACCAAATTTCTACATGTACTCTGTGTACCCTATATGGTGGCAAGTTCCCCATCTATAGTACACTGCAGAGTCCTGTTAAATTTGCTTCTATTCCACAGAGGAAGGATGGATGCCTAAATTGGATCACAGCTGATGTCTGCCTCCATAGTGAATGCTTTCAGAGGATTTGTGCACTGAGGTTTTCTTATTCACAGCTTGTTCATGCTTTGAGGCTCTGATATCTGAGGCTGCATATGCAATGAGTAAAATGAAGAAAAATAAATCCATGTTTCTGTGTGAAATGTTGATCTCTATAAAGTCATGCTTACTAAACAGCAAGTTGACAACCTGCTTAAATGTTAGGAATTATTAATTCAGAAGTACAGACAAATCTACAGTCAAACAGGTTTTTTTGTTTTTCTCGTTTCCTTTCCTTTTCTTCAATTTGGCAGGTTTTGCTTACATTTTACAAGTCTGTTGTAGAGTGAATACATTTCTTAATCTTGGGGTAGTGAAGAGAAGTATGATTTGCATTACTGACCACTACACTGGATGTAAAATAAAAAATGGGTTGTATTAGCCTGTTGCTTAGTTTTGTGTTTGCAAATCACCTACTAAGATTTCTGATTTAATAATTCATTTGTTTATGCAGTGATCATTGTTTGTTCCTTTATTGATATCTATCTTTTCTCTTTAAAGCTGAGCCTCAGTGGTATTACTTTGGAGGAAGGAACAGACAGTGATGTTGATCCACACTTTCTCTTGGAAATACTGGAAATCAGTGAACAGCTTAATGACTGTAACATTAGCAGTGAAATAGAAGATATTGGGAACTTTGTACAAGGTAAAACTTGGTACAAAAAGTGCAGTTTTGTATTTACTGCAGATAATTTATTTGTGTTTTACAGCCTTGACCGTTTTCTTCGGCATATTTGCTAATTCTGGACCACGAGCAATCTAAAGTGAATAATATGTTAAAACGTTTGTCAGGAGTTTTTTGTCTGCCAAAGTGTGTCACTGTCATAACAATTACCCTTTAAAGTAGCTTTGTCAACATGGGGGGGGGGTCTTTGCATAATCTGTCTCTGGGTGGTGCAGGGGACATTATCCTGCTCAGTCCACTCTAAACCTTTATTAGTCCTCAAGACTCTTTTACCAATGTCATCAGAAAATAATAGCAAATGTAAAAGCCAGGTTTAAGAGGATTGTAGCATGAGAAAAGACAATTATATAAACCTAATACAAAATTCAGAATTTAATATTTCCAAATACTGTAATGTTTGCCTTTTAATTTCACTACTACAGACTTGGTATTTTACAAATCTTTAGTAATAAGCTGTTTTAGTAAGCAAGCACTTGATATATGGTAACCAGTTGGCCTCGGGTTAACAAACCCTAAAGGTCCTGCTGCAACAGCACTTAAAAATTTGCACTGGCCCAGTTTGTTTGGGAAAGTTTCCTGCAGCATTGTGCTCTATCTGTTATCGATGTTTATCTACATATCACATGTGAACAGTATTCTGCACTGTAGGATAAATATGGCTAGAAGGATGCAGTATTACAGGTGCTATATATGATTTAGTTGTGATGTATGGTTTTTGGTATATGGATATCATTGCTCAAGTAAAATACAGTATGGTTTATCTACCTAACTATATCTGTCTAAATAACATTGAGTGAAAATACTATATTGCTTAGTCTTTTGTGCTTAAAATTAGTTTCCATAGGTGATTATATATATATATATATATATATTTTTTTACATATTACTGAAACTACTTCACGTGTCTGAAAGGACCACTAAAGTTACCTAAACCACTTCATGTCAATGAAGTGGTCTGAGTGCAGTAGTCCTGTCATCTTAACCATGCAGTGTAAATCATTGTAGCTGTGTGTTTGTGGTTTTTTTTTTTTTTATAGTTGTGTGTGTGTGTGTTGTGTTGTGTTTTTATTTAATTTTTGTAGCAGACCCAGAGTAACCTGACCGGTCACCTCCGTTTATTCTTTCCTTCAGCTGCTCAGGACCCACTTATAATGATAAAAGACCCAACGACCATAGTTCTGGAGGTACAACAAAATTTTATTGGCCACACACAGTGTTTATGCATAACCCCATGCAAGGGATCTACCACACAACCACACAGGATCCTCTCCCTCCCTGCGATCCTAGAACGGGAAGGTACTCCGTTCCCTCTGTCCCCAAAGACCGCCATTGAAACCACAGGGTTTTCCACACCAACCGCCATTGGTCTTCTTCCCAGAGGAACCCATGTGCGGGAAAAAGGGACCATCCCTTTGTCTCCCAGGCACAGAAAAGCCCGCCGGCGGGAAAAGAGCCGGCCTTTGTCCCCACAGGTACCGAAAAGCCCGCCAACTTAGCCATTGCCCCAGAAGTGTCCACACCAACCTTAGGGACCCTCACAGTGATTTCTTTCTCGACCAGTCTCCGCTCGCAAAGTCCCTGTATGATACCCTGCAAGGGAAGCGTCTCGTTTCGGGATACAACTGCTCCCCATGGACAAGTCGGGAAACAATCTACGAATACTCCCCCTGGTGGCCGTTATTCTGTAAGAATGGCAGCCACCCAGTGAGGCACTCATTACTTGCTTCCCTTTCTGATGTTGCAAGGTGAGAACGTTCTAAATGGGGTATTGGGGTGGTCCCTGTTCGGGAGGCGAATGGATTCCCTTCACGGAAGCCCTCCCGAAAGGGGAGTGGGTACAAAACATAAGGGAAACACATGAAAAGAAACAGGGAAATCCACAAACAGGCAGCAGTTCTGCCACACTTTTCATTTTGTTTGAGTTTGTGTGTGTGTGTGTGTGAAAACTGGAGACATGTCCCACCCCCTCTTCTTTGTCCTTCTCCTCCGACTACAGGACCTAATAAGCGACCTTCCGCTGAGATCGTGGACTACGAAGGGGATCACTTCTGTGAAATCCCTGATAACACCACGGGGCATTAAACAGTTCCCTGAGCTACAAGCCAAATTCGCGTTACCCCCTAGGGAGATTTTCACATATCTGCGCATCAAATACACCCTATCATCGTTAAACATACACCACTGCGAAACTGAACAACTAACTGCATTTGGGCAAACACATGGGCAAACCCCTATCCTTGAGCTATTCAGCGATTAATGATGTGGACAGGACCACTAAACACCCCTATATGCTAAAATGGGAACATGACTTAGATACCACATTCCCCCTTCCCATGTGGTTACAGGTGATCCACACCACATGAGCCTCTTCACATAACATGTCCCACTGGGAGAGCTTCTGCAAACTGTTGATGCGATGGTACCTAGTCCCTGCTCGTCTAGCCCAGATATACCCAACAGCCTCGCAGGCATGCTGGCGATGCGATGACGGGGTGGGCACTTTGTTACATATCTTCAGGGGCTGCCCCAAATTGACACAATTTTGGCAACAGGTCAGGAATTTGATAAAGGAGGTCACAGAGGTTGCCATACCCCTACACCCAGAATGCTATCTCCTACATATCCACGCTGGAATACTGTCCTCCCCACACAAGGTGGTCATCTGCCACATCCTGCTAGCTGCCAAGACCAGCATAGCGAGCAGATGGAAAAGCTTAGACCCCCCCAATACTCAGGAGGTGAAAAATAGGGTCCACTCGACATACGAGCACGAACGATTAGCATTCAGGTTGAAAGACCGAGAAGGTAAACACGCAAAACTATGGCTCAGTTGGAGCGCAGCACATTCCCGCGGGTAGTGGGTTGAGGGGAGAAAGATAGGCCACCTAAGCTGTCGGGCCCAAGCCGAGTGATTAGCATGCAACACTCAACCATACACAGTAGGCCTACCCATAGGCACCCAACAACTCCCTACAGACCAATATCCACCGTGCCAGAACAGGGCCCCCGACCCTCGTGCTGGGAGGCTCACCCCACCCCACCCCATTAGCAACTTAGGTCTAAAAAAGTGTGTTTACCCGGGGTCCATCAGATAAGATTAGACTGGACTATAGATGCTTCCGTACATGAAAGACAATGCATAATGCCAGCCATGCTCTGTATACGTAACAGGACCATTGATTGTGTCGATACAATGTTCCCCCTTCCCCTTTCTTCCTTTCTGTATCCCTTTATTATGTACGTTTGTTACTCGATTACACAAAAAAACTAATAAAAATTAAGACATTGGAAAAAAAAAACTGGAGACAGGGCTACTATAATAGTCCTAACATTATAGGTTTACTTTAAAGTAACAATAAATATATATACACACACACAATATGATTTCATTTATTCATTTCTATACTATTATTTTACAGAAAAATATGATTCTTTGACTGCAGATGTTAGAAACGCTTTTCAACAAGGTAATCCTTTTTTTTCTTTATGTCTACAAAAAGCAACAAAAAAGTTGTGATTGCCAAAAAGCTAAATCAATTTGAGTGAGAGCCTCCTGCAACAAAGTATTAAAATGAAAAGATGTTGTAGCATCTACCTAGGATACAGTTGCTAACTAAATGAACGTCAAGGAGGAAAAAAGCGTTGTTATGCAACACCCAGAGACTTATTAGAGAGCACAGTAGGTAAACTAAGCAAAAAAAATAAATATTTGAACAGCGTTGGTGCATCCTATTGTGCCTTCAGGAGCACCTATTTTCTAAATATTAAACGAATAGGACCCTCTCTCTTACTAAATATCCGTAGTCTCATCAGAGAAAAGACCTGAGAGTTAAAAAAAAAAAAAAAATAGTAATCAAAGCTAAATGAAGAAAGTGCAAACTATCAAACAATATTTTCTATGATGTAAAAGCTTCTAAAAACCGGGTGTCTAAACAAATCATTATGTATAGGAGAAATGGGAAATAGTACCAAGCCCCTGATACAGTATGTAATTCAAGTAGGGGATTACACCCTATTGGTTTTCTTTACTATTGAACTAGCTCATTGTTTTTCAAGTTTACAAAAAAAAACATGTTTGAAGCGGCATTGTCACTGCCTGGGGTCCTTGCTGAATTCAGCTATTTAGAAACCTTCATTATAAATTAAGTGGAAATAAGTGTTGATTAGGAAGCCATTTAAGATGATGTTGTGGGACATGATGTTTGAGTTAACTTAGATTTTATCAACTGACATGAGTAAGAAGTCCCTTAGGATTAAAGAAGTTGAAGCCTGAAAGTTTGATTTTTGTTACCTTCATCATAACAATCAATGCGCATTGATACGTGTAAATACATTTGTGTAATTTACTAAAAGCAAATACATTTTTCTCACTAGGTGACCTTCATGGAGCTAAACTGCTTTTAGCAAAGATGAAATACTTCTCAAATATACAAAACCAAGTTAAGAAGAAAATATTACCATAGCTACTTCTACAGATCTGATCCTTACTGTAATATACATGTAGAGTAACAATATGCTCTAGAACTTTGCTGCCAACGGTATCAAGTGAAAACACTCCTTTCATGTCAACTTGGCAGAAAATCTCTCCTCACACCTAACCATGATGGCACACAACTTAACTGGGCATTATATTATGCTTGACTTTTATATGACCTTTGTATTTTGGCTAAATTAAATGTAGTTGTGTGCTCTCTATACACATGGACTGTAGTTTTTAATAAAAAAATAAATAAACCTAGTATTAATTTCACTTTAAATGTTTTATCCTATTTATTTGAGGTTTCCTGATTGTTAAAAGTTTAATAATAAAAGTCAGTGTGTATATATATATATATATATATATATATATATATATATATATATATATATATATATATATATATTATTTTTATTTATTTTTTTCTCACACACTTGTGTAAAGCCTCTAGTAAATGGTTTTTGCACAAAGGACCGGTTTGTGTTTTGTAGGTCTGATGTTTGTAGAATCGCTTCAGATTGTTAGAGCTGCATCTTTAAGAAATAATTTATTTTATTGTAGGCAGGACTGTGGAGACCTTGCAAGGTTAGATCTTTTTAGGCAATAGGAAGGTTCCCAATCAGAATGGCTTAAAGGACCACTCTAGGCACCCAGACCACTTCAGCTTAATGAAGTGGTCTGGGCAGTGGTGTATCCTGGTTTTGTGCTGCCCTAGGCAGGACAAAACTCAGGCGCCACCCCCACCCAACCCTTCCCCCCGCCCCACCTTCTAAATATATATATATATATATATATATATATATATATATATATATATATATATATATATATATATATATATATATATATACAGACACATACACAGTCAGACACATACACAGTCAGACACATACACACAGTCAGACACACATACACACACACACACAAACACAGTCAGACACACATACACACACACACACAAACACAGTCAGACACAAACACACACACTCACAAACACAGTCAGACACAAACACACACACACACACACACACACAGTCAGACACAGACAGTCAGACACAAACACACACACAGTCACACACACGCAGTCAAACACACACTCACAAACACAGTCAGACACAAACACACACACAGTCAGGCACAAACACACACACACACACACACAGTCAGACACAAACACACACACAGACAAATACACACAGTCAGACACATACACAGACAAAAACAGTCAGACACAACACACACACACACACACACACACACAGTCAGACACAGACAGTCAGACACAAACACACACACACACACACACGCAGTCACAACACACACTCACAAACACAGTCAGACACAAACACACACACAGTCAGGCACAAACACACACACACACACACACAGTCAGACACAAACACACACACACACACAGTCAGACACAGACACACAAACAGTCAGACACAAACACACACACACATACACAAACACAGTCAGACACAAACACACACACTCCCAAACACAGTCAGACACAAACACACACACAGTCAGACACACACACACACATTAACTTTTTTTTTAATTTAAATTCCCCCACGCCCCCCCCAACCTCCTTACCTTTGGGAGTGCTGGGGGGGGTCTCTCTCCCTGGTGGTCCGGTGGTCCAGTGGCTGCAGGTCGGGCAGGTGGCGCAGGCGGGCGGCTGGCGAGGGAGCACTTCCTATGAGCTGACTGCTCAGCTCCCTCGCGCGCCGGCTGCAGAGTGAGGCTGGGAGCCGGAAGATGACGTCATCAACCCGGCTCCCAGCCTCACTCTGCGGCGCGCGAGGGAGCTGAGCAGTCAGCTCAAAGGAAGTGCTCCCTCGCCAGCCGCCCGCCTGCTCGGGATGTCTGTTAGCCGCAAGGCTAACTAAGCATTTGCCTTGGGCATTTGGGGGGGCGGCGTTTTTTGCCGCCCCCTGAAAAATGCCGCCCAAGGCAAATGCCTTGTTTGCCTCGCGGCTAATACGCCCCTGGGTCTGGGTGCCTGGTCCAGCTAGGGTTAACCCATTTTTTCATAAACATAGCAGTTTCAGAGAAACTGCTATGTTTATCAATGGGTTAAGCCTTCCCCCATTCCCTCTAGTGGCTGTCTCATTGACAGCCACTAGAGGAAACTGCGTGCTTCTCACCTGTGATTTTCACGGTGAGCCGCACGCTCCAGCGTCATAGGAAAGCTTTATTGAGAATGCTTTCCTGTGACGAAACTGAATCGCGGCGCACATTCAGCCCAGGAGGAGGAACGGAGGAGGAGAGAAGGAGGAGAGCTCCCCGCCCAGCGCTGGAAAAAGGTAAGTTTAACCCCTTTTCCCCCTTCCAGAGCCGGGCGGGAGGGGGTCCCTGAGGGTGGGGGCACCCTCAGGGCACTATAGTGCCAGGAAAATGAGTATGTTTTCCTGGCACTATAGTGGTCCTTTAAGAACAAGATTGGCAATGACATATTCTGATTTGATTTCTTACGTGGAAATTAACTATTATAACTGGTTGCTCAGTGGTAAAGGATCTGGCTCACTGACTGAGACCAATCAACTGACACCCTTGACTAAGGAGCTGGCCTGCAAGGCTTTATTCAGGAGGGCTAATGGAAGCTCCTTGCTGGAGTGCCAGGTGTCTCAAACCGCAAGAGGCAGTGTCTGACAAACCCCAGGTAAGAGGTAGTGTCCCTTTTTATGTAGGGCACATGAAAGAAAAGGGCAATAGGTAACCCATAACCCTTTAAAGGTAAGTTCTGTAAGGTAACTGGAACTAAACATTCATTTCAGCTATATGGCTAGATAACAAGTTTTGAGAAATTCTCCTACAACCTCAAAAAGTATTGGGTTTTCTGGGTCTGGAGGTAAATTCTGATACGAGGAGTTGACAAGTAAATCAATCTGGATATGTTCATTTTGCATTGCCCATTCTACTACAACTGAAAAATTCTCTATTAAATATTAATGGAAAAAATAAATAATTTTCTCTATGTAGAGAGGTAAAACAAACCATAAGTGGTCCAGCTTTCGCTTCTAAAGATGGACAGACAGAACACTGAAAGTTGAGGGGTAATTCCAAGCACCATGCCCACCTCTGTGAATAGGAGGGGTCAGAATGCCAGTTCTTATGTGCTGCGTTTCAGTTTTTTAAAAACTACGTGCACAATTTTTTCCCCCCTTTGCTGACTGACATTAAACTCCGCCTTTGGCAGCATCATAGGGGCGTCATTAGCCAGCCTGGAACAAGAGTCCCGAGATGGCTAATGTTAATTCTGTGTATGTTCCTATATGCACTGAATTGCACTCATTCTCTGATAGTGGTCAGCTGAAGCTCTCATAGAAAGATTGACTGTGACTTGAGATAAGAATTTTCTAAATACTTTCATTAGTCCTTGGCCTTATCTTAAGTCTAAAATAGCCTTCTCCCTCACTGTGTTAACCTCTATCACTTCATCTGGAAGGCTATTCCATGCGTCCACTACCCTGTCTGTAAAGTAATACTCCCTGAAAATATGGATGGTTGGACGGAATTGACTTCCAGCTTTTGCATCTCTGCAAAAGCTGGATGTCATCACTTGCCCGCCTGGTAAGGGTAAACCATTGCAAAACGATTTACCGCATTACTGGAAAATAGGACCAGAGTCCCTTTCATGCTTTTAAAGATTAAGACCATAATCATGCGCTATATAGATAAATAGATGTATATTAATATTCCAAAGATCACCCCAATTTTGTGCCTGATGAGGAAGGCATAGCACCCCAGTTCATGGAGAGACAAACTGTGTAACCAACTGGTCCAGGAATTCTGAATATCCCTCCAGAATCTCACTCCAGTATCTGTGTGGGGGTTAATTCAATGGGTTCCTAATGCACCTGCTGACAGCTTGCTTAATTAGAATGTTTTCTCTAGACGCCAATTTGTGAATTAAAATCAAATTGCAAAATTTCAGCAACAATAGTTAATATGACGACATTCTTCTGCTCAGCCATTATTGCAGCTTGACTATTTTAGTCTACATTTTGCAGTTTTCCACTTCTTACTACAGGTTATTTTTTTATTCAATAAATCTTCCACGCCTACATCAACCTTTTTTCTGCAATGGAACCACATTTGGATCTTGTTAAATAGGTAATTACAAAATATAAAATTCCTAATAAATGAAAAGCCCACCCTCCAAAAAAAAAGTGTGGGAAAGGGGCATATCTACTAAATAAAACTTAGCGTAAGTAAAGTCAGTGGACATACAACACTCTATATCAATGGTTCACAACCCAGTCCTTACGTACCCCCTACCAGTCCAGGATTTAGGGATTACCCTGTTGTGTCTAAAGTGTTTTTCTTCTAGACGCCAGAACCATTACATTAAGCTGTAGTGGTTCTGGTGACTTTAGTGCTTATTTAATTGCAGAAAATGTCAGGATAACTACCTAAACCAGGCTTAAATTCTCATAGAATCAGAGGAGCTTCTTTGGCATGTGACCTGCTTGATCAGGAGCCAGGCTTTGTCCCTAGTTATTTTTTTTTTAAAGCACAATCTTTATTCCTGCAGTTACATTTTACATGTATTTATGGCACTGTTGGCAGTAACACAGCCATTACAGAATCCGCTGCCTTGAGAATCAGTGTTTTACAGTGACTGTCTCCATGACAGCAGTATAACAATAAAGCTTCAGCTTGCTGTTTCTGTAGCTGTGTATGTGACATATAATTGGTTGACTGAGTCTCCTTAGCAGCTGATTGGCCTGAAGCAGAGTCACTCACAATCCTCATCCAACAAGTTCAGCTGCATACATATTACACACTCTGTGCAGAGAGATGTCAGATTTAGCAGTTTTTTCTCCTTCCTTATTTGAATACTCTCTTACATTATACTAGAAAACATTACTTAATTCTCAGGTCAGTTTCTCTGTGTAATTTAGCTTTATACAGGTTTGAGATCTCTTTAAAATGGTTCTAAGTAAGAGATTTTCTAAGGACATCAGCTCAATGCTCCCTTCAGTTGAAGAGGCTAAGGATGCAGAAGAAGAGGAGTCCAGCCAAACTGTCTTAGGGGGTATTGCTAGCAGACCACCCAGCAGACCTCTGCCAAATCTGAGCCGTGGAAGTGTTGACAGCAGAGTGAGTAGCTTCATTTTTTTTTTTTTTTTAAATCTTCTTCACTTAACTCTAAATTAAAATATTATGCATTGTTGTTAACAGTGTTTTCAATTTATGTATGGTTAGTTTTATAGTTTACAGGTTAGCTTTGTAGATTCAAATGTATACAAAACGGTGTATGGTGTAAAGTGCAATAAACAGTGCAGGCTAGCCACTCCGAATCAGGGATCACTCCCAATTCCCAAATGTAATACCAATATATATATATAAAGGGTATAGTACAGAAACATATACCAATGGGGGCGCCACAATCACCAAACGTGAGTATAATTACCATATATTTCTCATGATGACCATATAAGATAGAAAAAATGAAAATATATATAGTGAAGCATTTAATGACACAGGATAAAACAATAAAAACAGAAATATACACTTACAAGGAAGATGGCACAAAGAGACAAATATCTAATTGTGCAAACATGCTTGTCAACCCCTTCAGGGTTAAGTCCCTTTTAAAAACAGGTCTAATGCCAATGCCTTCTAAGGATGAGTCCTTTCTTTATAGGTCTGTAAAGAGGCACCAGGCAAAGATGACAAGTAAAAGTCAAGTCTTCAGGGGGTGTTGGCAAGCTTCTCCGCTCAACGCGTTTCGTCTCAGCGACTTTTTCAAGAGCTGAGAGTCCTCGGTCATTCCAGCTTTTTAAATCTTAAATTTCACGCGGCTTTTCCGCATGCGCATCGCGGCAGATGAAATAGTGCACGTTACCGCGCATGCGTGCACATCCAGCCTGACACGCAGAAATACTTTATTGCTGCTGTATGCCTGAGGACATTAGTCAATGTCAGACTACTTGATCTGACTGACTATTATGAGCAATTGCTAATCTAGTAAAGGCAAAGAAAAACGGAGTGGAAACAGTCTCTTGTACATTCTTAATATGCCAATATAATGATACATTAATATATTCTTAAAAATAGTAATAAAACATAATAGCATCAATCAATTTTATTTACTCAAAACACTTCTAAAAACCTTTTGATGTGGCAAAATATAATACATAAAGTATATAATACCAATAAAACTAATACATATAATTACATAGTAAATAACACAAAACCATATATTATTTTATGAAAACCACATGGTAATCAAAAAATAGTAAGGAAGAAGAAAATTCCCAAATCTCAGGCTGGAGGGCATTACAAGGGCACCAATTGCAGGAACATTAAAAAATATAAAATGAAAATAAGCCAGGGTTAAAACCTGGTTTTAAAAACTGGATTTAAAAAGACACCAATGATGAAAGAAAATATACATAAAATATAAATATGTAAAACATTAAAAACCTTATATATGCATAATCGATCAATCCATAAAAACCTCAGCCTCACCACCCTCAGCCTCACCCCACACCACCCTCAGCCTCACCACCCCCACCACCCTCAGCCTCCCCCCCACACCACACTCACCACCCTCAGCCTCACCACCCTCAGCCTCCACCACCCCTTCACTCCACATCCCCCCTCCTTCTCACATCACTCCCCCCCTCCTTCTCACATCACATCACCCCCTCCTTCTCAAATCCCCCCCTCCTTCTCACCATCACCCCCTCTCCCTCTCACTATCACCCCCCCATACACACAACACACTTCAAGCAGCTACCCTATACACATACGGTCTCAGACAAAAACACAAACATGCTCACAGAGACATACATTCACACACACAAGGATACTCTCTGTCAGACACACTCTCAGGCACATACACAGGTAGACAGCTGCAGACCATGTGTCTCGCGAAAACCGGCCAATCAGAGCGTTGCCGCAGGTTACCACGGCAATGCTCTGATGGTCCCACGAGATTACATGGTCTGCAGCTCTGCGGAGCTGTAGACCGGAAGCAGTGGCCACCGGACCACCAGGGAAGAAAAGGTAGGTTCTGCTCACCCCACACCACCCTCTGCATCACCACTCCACCAGCCTCACCACTACCCTCAGCCTCACCACCTCCCACCACCCTCAGCCTCACCCCCCACAGCCCTCAGCCTCACCACCACCCTCAGCCTCACCACCTCCCACCACCCTCAGCCTCACCCCCCACCACACTCAGCCTCCCCCACACCACCCTCAGCCTCACCACCCTTCACTCTACATCCCCCTCCTCTCATCACCCCCCTTCTCAAATCCCCCTCCTTCTCATACCCCCCTCTCCCTCTCACCATCACCCCCCCATACACACAACACACTTCAAGCAGCTACCCCATACACATACGGTCTCAGACAAAAACACAAACATGCTCACAGAGACATACATTCACACACACAAGGAAACTCTCTGTCAGACACACTCTCAGGCACATACACAGGTAGACAGTGCCTCAATGTGTATATGTGACACTTTTCTATTAGTGGGGCTTCATGTTTGAGTTTCGCCTAAGGCCTCATAAAGTCTAGAGCCGCCTTTGCTAAAAGGTTCCTACTGCTAAAATATATGTTACTCAGAAATCTATGGTACAAATGTTTGTGGGAGCCACATGAGCACATTGATCTACATCATCAAGATAATGTTGTTATAATTTGCTATTGTAAAAAAAAAAAAAATGTCTTTATTTTTAGACAATCCCACGATCTGCAAGAATAAAACCAGACTTTGAAGAACAGGAAGATGATAAATCAGTTGAGGTTCAGGACGCAAAAGAACAATCACAAGTGGAGTCTTTAGATAAAAGTTCAGAAAACCAGTTTGTCAGTTCTAAAGGAAAGGAGGAAGACTGGGACACAGAACTTGAAGATGAAGGTTGGTCATGCAATAAGAGCAATAATGATCAGCAATAAACAAAAATGAGCTTTCTTTAAAACAACATATTCTCTTTAAATCAGAATAGGATTAAACAAAAACTGACATCTTATATATCTACTTAAAAGATTAAAGGAACACTAGAGTTTTAGAAATACTAACCTGTATTCCTAATGCTATAGTGTGCCTGTCCCCAGTTATATTCATCTGCCTTAATAAAAAATACATGTTTTACTCACCTTTCTCCAGCACCAAGACTTTTTCGGCACTGCTCACCTCTCCGCCTCCTCCGATGTCATCGAGGAGGCATGATATCCTTAGGCGATGGTCTAATCCAATGCTTCTCATAAAGGAGCATTGGGGACCTGATACACGTGCGGCGAGCACCACACACACATCCAAAGCATTGAATTCAACAAGGCTTTCCTGTGAGCTTCCGCATCACGTGACCGAGTTTTACTTGATCAGTGCAGCAAAAGAATGTTTAACCATTCAAGGTAACATTGCCCTTTCTGCAAGACAGCAATGTTTTACGATGAGGGTTGCAATTACGGTACCCCTGCAACCAAACCACCTCATCTCAATGAAGTGTTCTGGGTGACTTAAGTGGTCCTTTCAGATAGCCTTGTTGCCTATTATTTTGATTGCTAAAACATTACCTTAAGAAATCTAGGGAGCAAAGTACCAATAAATATCTCCATATAAACCCATATCCAAGTAGCAATCCCAGTATACACCCATTACCAAGTACTTATGGAAACTACTGAAACAAAAAAAGGGTCAGTATGAATTAAAAAATAGCACCATATTGTCCATAGCATGTGTCTATGGAGCTGCTAAATTATTATTACATGGTATAGTTACAAAAAATAGATCTTAAAGCTCTGTTCTGTGGGATAAGTATATCACATCAACTGAATGATACGAAATATCATCACATCATCAGAAATTGATTCAGTTTAACAAAACAGATCCAACAATGATAGTTATATTTAAGCCCAGACATGCTTTTATGTCCACTGTTGTAAAAATAATGATTTTAGATATGTATCTCTTAATATATAGTATAGCCTTGGGTCAATTTTTTTTAAACCCTGTAGGATTTTTTATAGCCTGCCTGCCTTTTTTTTAAAATTATTTTTGGAAGTGCTCTGATAAACAGACAAGCTGAGAGTCTATCATCCAGAAGATGATACAAGACATACACAATTGCAGTTTCAGTGTATGACATGACAAGAGAATTGCACTTATTTTACAGAAATAAAAAATAAATACATAGAAATAAAAACAGGATGAGCCATACACCAGCCATAAAATACAGCAGCCATAAAATATTGAATTCTAGAGTAAGCTATGTACTAGTGTTAGGATGACCTGATGGTAAACAAGGTGAAAACACTACAGACATTAACATACAAGAAAAAAATAACAAGAGTAAGCTGTACACATTGATACTACAGTGTGGAGAGAAAGTCGCATAGTAAAACAAACTGCAGGAGAATGTTAAAATAAAATCAAATAAGGTAACCACTGGGTGCACACAAATAGAGTGAGACTTCATGCAATTGTGAGATAAGTTAACATATGGAAGCCCAAAAAGCCAGCCCTGATGCATCAGTTCAGCCGATGCCAGCCCAAAAGGATTTGCCAAATAGGAGAGGTAAAAGTCCCCAACCAGGTTCTCTACCAGCCACAGACCCATTTTTGATCCATACCACTTGGAACTCTTTCCAGTGACCAAAGCAGGATCCCAGGAACCCTCTGCCTCTCTGATAACCTCTTATTCCATTCATGAGTGCCCCCGGGGTGTGAACTGTGTGACGTGAGGGGTGACAACCTTATGTGGCTCTTGATCCAGGTGAGTGACAGTGCAGTTGGGGGACGGTCTTCTTGTAGCGCCCATCTTCTTCTCTCCTTCACCAGCCTCATCGATATTTGAAGCGTAATGCCACATGGCAGGTCTAGCTTGATTTGACTTATGACTTTCATACCAATCCAAAGAATAAAGTGTTCACATAGTTACTTGCTCAGGCCTCAGCTGATCTTCATAATAGACCAACTCATAGTCTAACAGGAGTAGGCAACCTCCAGCACTCCAGATGTTGTAGGCTTTATCCCTACTGATGCTTTGTCAGCATTATGGCTATAAGAGCATTATGGGAGATGTAGTCCAGAACATCTGGAGTGCAGAAGGCTGCCTTCCCCTAGTTGAGAACATGTCTACATGCAGTCCAGCTATAATCACGTGTCTTCTCTTCCTCTACATATTGTGGCACTATTCCTGTGATTCCATGGGAATCTGATTCTCAATGGGAATTGGCTGTGGGATTATGCTACCTGCCTGCATACTGAAGATCTTTCACAAATACAGAAAAAGTTATTTTATTTTTTTACATTCTTTATTTTTGTGAGTTATATCAGAAAGTACAACATTATATGTGAATTGCATATAAACATTATTATCAAAGAAGCTGGACATGCATCACATAGCTGTGTGCCAAGAGTAAGTGGGACATTGACTCACTGATCCACCTAAGATATACAGAAATGTATATTCAAACTAAATAAAAAAAGGATGGTGATCTGGACAAAAGGAGTTCAAATACCATAAGGTCAAATAGGAGATGTAGAAACAGCTAAAGGTACTTTGGTAACTGGCTTGAGGGATCTCTGCCACGTCAAGGTGTGCCTGGAAAAGTCCTGGTAAAATGCCAGCTCTGCCCCCTCAAAAGATACCGTGGTGAATCCCCTGATTACTCAGAGGTTAAAGTCCCACATCAGTTTTAGCAAGACACTGTCCTGTCTTGCATGCTGGCTATCTTGGCCTGGTGGTCAGCACACTGTTTCTACAGAGCTCCTATGGCAGCATCTGGGGCTGATTGTGCGAACGTGGAGTCCTCTATGCTTTCCTCCACTGCGTGCACGCACGTTGTGAGAGTGGTCACTGCTTTGTGGACTGTTGCCACATTAAACATGGCCTGGATCTCCTTCATTAAGGCCTTGATGTCAGCCTTTGTTGATGGAGCCGAGTCTTCCACCTCTGTGTGCTCCCGTGGCCCTGTTTGCAGTCTGGGTGGAAGGGTGAGGTTGGCTGTGATGCTGTCCTCATCTGAGGACAGTGAGGTATAGGCCTCAGGGAGATCCACCTTGGCAAGTTTAGGTTGTGTCACCTGTGCCTCAATATCTCGTGAACTCGAGCCTGGGTCTGAGTGCTGTTTCTTATTTTTTTTCCTCATGTTTTTGAGGATTGGGCTGTGGCTTTTTGAGCCCAGTAGTGGGGTTGGTGTCGGCTTATAGCCCGGTTTAGCAGGGCCGATTTGCAGAGCTGTTTCAGCACGTGCAGGCACTGGCTCCACCCCTCAGAAAGTTATTTTTAAAATGGAGAGATGCATTTTTTTCATTACTACATAGAATTTTTGTATTATGATATGTAAGAAGTTTAACATAAAACCTCTATTTTCCTTTAAGGAGAAGTTTAAACATTCTTACAGAGTAGCAGAATAGGTTGTAAAAATAGTTATATTCTTCATTTTCAATATTGGTATTAATTTCACAAAATGATAAAAACTGTTTATGCTGAGAACTCAGATTTTTGTCTCTTTGTAATTAGAACTCACTGCTAAACCCTATTTTGTCAGTCTGAGCATGATGTATGTTTACTACTATGGAGCCGCAGAGATGCCTCTAACTTTGTAATACATTTTTTTACAGAAGTCAAAGAATCATATGATTCCACTGGAAAAGCCAAATATTTATCAGTCTGTCAGTTCTTTGGAGTGGTACCAGTTTCATATTACTTGCGCCACATACAAGATTCTGTGCTTGTAATGAGGCATCATGGGCTTGGTTTAAAGGTAAGCATGCATATTATAAACTCAGTGGATTAATTAGTCTACACCTTAGCTTCATTACATTTGTTTGATTGTAATTATAATTAGCTTAGTATAAGAGCCATTAATTAATAAATACATTACTGCAATATGAATGCTAGACATGCAGCATCTAACTTTAAGTTCATTCTGTATGTGTTCTAGTTCAGGGGTAGGCAACCTATGGCACGTGTGCCATGCATGGCACTCGAGGTGTCTTTAAATGGCAGTCAAGGCTGCTAGAGCCAAACAGGCTTTTGCCTGTCAGTAGTCCCAGCGAAACTTCAGATATCTGCTAATACAAAAAGGTGGTGAAGGACAATCCTCAATTTATGCATTGCAGCACGTAGAGGAAGTGATCTCAGATCACTTCCTCCTAGCACCTGTGAATGGGAATCCACACTGGAGTAGAATGAAATGTTGCCATGTTTTTATTGAACACACCATGTAAACATTCACATTGCAGGTGAATGTTTGGTTGAAGTTTGGTTGAAGTTATTGCTGCCAAAGGAGGTTCAACCAGTTATTAAATCCAAGGGTCCACATACTTTTTCCACCTGCAATGTGAATGTTTACATGGTGTGTTCAATAAAAACATGGCAACATTTCATTCTTTGTGTGTTATTAGTTTAAGCAGACTGTGATTGTCTATTGTTGTGACTTAGATGATGATCAGATCACATTTTATGACCAATTTGTGCAGAAATCCATATCATTCCAAAGGGTTCACATACCTTTTCTTGCAACTGTAAATGGTTTTTTTTTTGTGTGTCAGTATCCATCAGTAAATTAAATGCAGTGTAGATAAGTGCCACCCATTTAAGTGGAATATGCAGGGTAAATTACAGACTTGTATAATCACAATGGATTCTTCTTGAATCTGTCATCTGCCAAGCTGCCATAAGAAAATGTTTTGGTTTAATGTCAATGCCCTTGTTATCCTCTCTCTAGCCCAGGTTCTGTCTCGTTCTCATTCTATTTCTTAATTTCCATTCATTTATTTAACCCTTCTTTAGTTCATTGTAGATGTTCTCATTAGTCTACTAAATTCCTCTTTTTTAATGTATTGTCATCTGGCTACATATACTTTATCTAGTCTGAACCTTCTCTTTATTTATCTCAGGCCTATTTCAATCTTCCCTCCTTTGTGATCTACTCTTTTATTTGCCTCAATTTCCTATAAGCATTGTGAAGAAATGACTCCGTTAATCAGGATTTCTACCTTTCGGATGTATTCAGGCGAATTCCCTGTGTAAAATATAGGTGGCCGCCATTTCGGCACTTTACACGTGGCCGCAGCCATTTTACGTGCGAACAGCGGTGTTTGCCCGTCAACGCGTGGAACTAAAATCGGATACGCAAACAGGCGAACACCGCTGAGACCTCCATACATCCAGAACTTCGCACGAGAACAACCGAATCACCGGCCGTTCGGTAGTTACATGCAACTTCGTATGGGGATTTCAACGATCACAAAGATGCGAACGGATGGCAGGGCTTTCGTCTCTTTTATTCGCCTAAACGGAGACCGACCGCAGGGCCAAAACTTATGGAACTATTTTCGGCTAGATGGTCCGTGCGGTCGGTCAAAACTTTAGTGTTCCATAACTCCCGAACCGTTCATCCGAATGGACTGATTTTTCGATATGTTGTCCACACAAATGAGAACTATCCAGCGGTACCAGATTTAAAGGTGTACCCCCTGTTTTTGGGGTACATCCAGAACTGGGGTAAAATAGTGCACGTTTTAATTAAGTTAACTGTTTATCAGAGGGGAGGGAGGTATGGGCTATAACCTATTCCTGATTGGTGATTTAATGCCTCCCCCTGGGTGTGTATTTCTTGTCTGTAACCGTAATAAAAAGCAGGCTGGAGATTCCAGACCTCAGATCTACTTGTATCCTGATTCTGGACTCTGACTGTTATTTGGGAATTCGTATGCTTTACCAAGGGGATTATCTTGGGAAGCTGTTATATTTCTTATGGACTTCATTGCTTAGAACTACCTTAGACGCTGGCATTGCAGGAGGAATTATCAAAGCGGTTCAGCTATACTTGATTTCCTTACAACTGGTGGCAAGCGGAGGGATTCGAATCCCAAATGGACATTTCAAAACAAGCAAAGGAATGAATGGCTCAGCAGTACCAGCTACTTAAAAGAACCACGCTAAAGGACTTACTGGAAGCTCGAGGCAGAGTGGCAAGTAACAAAACAAAAGCCACGATAATTGCGGAGTTAATGCAGAGCGATAATACCAGTAATATAGAGATGGACCAAGAGGAAGAAACCGTGATGCAAAAGGACATCCGATGGACACTCAGTTTATTGGGACCCAATCCATCCTCAGAGGCGATACTGCAGGTCGTAGCACAAGCCAGACAAGCGCAAAAAGAGCGAGATGACCGGGACAGAGCGTCACAGGGGGATTTGCTACACCCCCCGAGAAGTATTGGGGAAATACCAAAGAAGGTAAATTATGCAGCGTTTAAATCATTTGTTGACAATGAAATGGAAATTGACAGTTACTTGCAAGACTTTGAACGCCAGTGTGCACTGGAGGGATTAGACTCCACCAAATGGGCTGCAGTCGTCAGCAGTAAATTGTCAGGTAGAGCAGCCGAGGCGCTGCGAGCAGTACCTGAGGGGGACATACATAATTATGAGAAAATAAAAGACATTTTGTTGGCCAGATATGCGGTAACTCCGGAGGCATACCGGAAAAAGTTTAGAGACCTGAGAAAGACTGGGAGAGATTCCCATACGGAATGGGCTTTTCGCCTGCAGCGGGCAGCCCGCAATTGGATGAAGGGCTGCCAGGCAACCACCCTAGAAGAGGCTTTACAACTAGTGATACTGGAGCAATTTTTTAATCATACTGCAGAGGACATAAAAGACTGGGTAAAAGATAGGAAACCAAAAACCGTGGAGGAGGCCGCTAGGCTAGCGGACGAGTACCAGGATAACAGGAGGAAAGAGCAAGGGGCGAGCAGACCACCATTTAAGCCTCAGTACACAGCTCCAACCAACCCGGCTCCACCTAGACCTGCCATAGGTAACCCCCCACCGAACCCAGCAAACACACCTCGACCTCCTGCAGTGTGTCACTACTGCAAGCAACCAGGACATTACAAGTATCAGTGCCCTCGCTTAAACCGGGGAAGCTGGGAACGGCCCGCCCCACAACAACCCAGGGCAGCTGCGCACTGTGTGCAACAGGATCACACAGGCCCTGGCCTTAACCACGAAGAACAGTGGAGTGTATTACATGAGGTCAATCCAGTACAAGCTGGGGGGGACAACCGGGACCATCACCGCCAATGGATTACCGTCGATGGCGTGGGGGCCCGGGCGCTGAGAGACTCTGGGGCTACTTTGACTGTGGTACAGCCCCACACGGTCAGAGCACAAGCTCGCACCGGACGCACAGTCGCTGTAAGGGTGGCTGGGGGCGCTATTCACAAACTGCCCACCGCTAATATGTTTGTTGATTGGGGTTCCGGGTCTAAACAACTGGAGGTGGGGATTATGCAAGAACTGCCCGCCGAGGTTTTGTTGGGAAATGATGTGGGATGCCTAACCTCCCAACTAGCCCGAGACCCCCCTGCCGAGGCCTACCCGGTTACCACCCGAGCTCAAGCCAGACTGGAAGCTCCGCTGCACTCTGAGGAAAACCAGGTAAGAGTCGAAATACCCCCTTTACCCGATCCCCCCGTACCCTTCTGGGATACCCCCCAGGGGTTTGAACAGGAACAGCGTACTGACCCCACATTAGAAGGCTATAGGAAGGCCGCGGCCGCTACCCCCGAGAACAACCCGCACGAAAAATTTGAGTGGTATAAGGGGTTGCTATATAGGGTAACCGAGGGGGTGGGACAGGGGGCTACCCAGGTCATAAAAGACAGTTAGTTGTGCCCCGTAAATTTCGGGCTGAGTTGTTAAAACTCAGTCATGACATTCCCCTAGCAGGACATTTAGGGGTCAAAAAGACCAGAGACAGGTTAACTCAAACCTTCTTCTGGCCCAGAGCTACCCAGGACCTAAAGTACTATTGTAGGACATGTGATGTATGCCAAAGGGTAGGAAAAAGGGGAGACCTTCGGAAGGCTAAGCTTCACCCCCTACCCATCATCGAACAGCCCTTCCACCGAGTAGCGGTGGATTTAATAGGTCCCCTCAGTCGCCCCAGTCCGTCGGGCAAAAAGTTTATCCTAACGGTGGTTGACTACGCCACTAGATACCCGGAGGCAGTCGCCCTCACCAATATAGAGGCCGAGACCGTGGCAGAGGCCCTTATTCAGATATTCACCCGAGTAGGTTTCCCGCAGGAGATACTCTCCGATCGGGGGACGCAGTTCACAGCCACCCTGACGCAACAACTGTGGCAGAGCTGTGGAGTGCAACCCCTGTTCAGCGCCCCGTATCATCCCCAGACTAACGGGCTCTGTGAACGTTTCAATGGCACTCTAAAACAGATGCTAAAAACTTTTACAGAGTCCCACAAGAATTGGGAAAAATTCCTTCCCCACCTTCTGTTTGCCTACCGTGAGGTGCCCCAGGCCTCCACTGGGTTTTCCCCCTTCGAACTCCTGTACGGGAGAAAAGTTCGGGGCCCACTGGAGCTCGTACGGGAACACTGGGAGGGCAATACAGATGAGGGGGGAGTCCCTATCGTCCAGTATGTCCTGGAGTTCCGGGACCGTCTGCGGGCCCTCACCGAATCGGTTCGGGAGAACCTGCAGGCGGCCCAGGAGGACCAGAAAAAGTACGATAGGAGGGCCCAGGATAGAGTGCTGGACTTAGGGCAGAAGGTACTGGCTCTGAGGCCCGTTAAAAAGGACAAGCTTCAAGCAGCCTGGCAGGGACCCTTTAAGGTAGTGGAACAGGTTAGCGAGACTACCTACATCGTGAGCAAATGCTCAGATGAAAGGCTGACCAAAGCCTTCCATGTGAACATGCTCAAACCATATTTTGAAAGGACAGAGGAGGTGGGCGCCGTGTGCGCCCCCGCCACAGAGGATAGTGAAGGGCTTCCCCTTCCTGACTTACTGGAGACCACCCCCTGTACGATTGACCAAGTAAGCTTGGGGCAAAATTTAGACCACCTGGAGAAAGGTGAGGCTACTCAACTGCTGCAGGGATACCGAGAGATGTTTTCCGCTACCCCCGGCTATACCTCCGCTGCGGTCCACCGTGTGGAAACCCAGGGAGAGACGCCCCTACGGCAACAGCCATATCGGATCCCGGAAGCAGTACGTGAGAGTATGCTCACCGAGTTAAGGGATATGTTACGGCTAGGGGTAATAGAACCCTCCCAAAGTCCTTGGGCCTCCCCGGTGGTACTAGTACCGAAGCGCGATGGCACTACGCGCTTCTGTGTAGATTACCGGAGGCTTAACGACCGTACCATAACCGATGCCTACCCCATGCCTAGAATAGATGAGCTCTTAGATCGTATGGCGGGGGGGGAACTACTTGACTACCCTGGACCTGTGCAAGGGTTATTGGCAGATCCCCCTGGAGCCTGCGGCCATCCCCAAGTCGGCGTTCGTCACCCCGTTTGGGCTATACCAATTCAAGGTTATGCCCTTTGGGATGAAGAACGCCCCGGCTACGTTTCAGCGGATGGCGGATAGGCTCCTGGAGGGGTTTCAGGACTTCGCATGTGCGTATCTAGATGATATTGCCATCTATAGCAGCACATGGGGAGACCATCTGGGTCATGTGTCCAGGGTACTCGAACGAATTCACCTCGCAGGGCTCACACTGAAACCCGACAAATGTCACGTAGGCCTAGCCGAGGTCCAGTATCTAGGCCACCGGGTCGGCTCCGGTAGACAACGCCCAGAGCCCGCTAAGGTAGAGGCCATAGCTAACTGGCCCCAACCCCGGACCAAAACCCAGGTACTGGCTTTCTTAGGGACGGCCGGGTATTACAGGAAGTTCGTCCCAGAATATAGCGCCCTGGCCAAGCCCCTCACGGACCTTACCAAAAAGGCCCTTCCCAAACAGGTCGCCTGGACCCCAGAGTGCACGGACGCTTTCCAGAAGCTCAAAGCGGCATTGAGTGAGGCCCCTGTGTTGGCAGCACCCGATTACACTAAACAATTTCTTGTCCACACAGATGCCTCCATGTTTGGGCTGGGAGCCGTGCTAAGCCAGGTGGGGGCGGATGGCATGGAACACCCGGTGGCATACCTCAGCCGTAAACTTTTGCCCCGAGAAGTCAGCTATGCCACCGTAGAAAAAGAGTGCTTGGCCCTCGTGTGGGCCCTCAAGAAACTTCAGCCCTATCTGTATGGGCGAGCGTTTACCCTTATGACCGACCACAACCCCCTGGTATGGCTCAACCGGGTAGCTGGTGACAACCCCAGGCTACTCCGGTGGAGCTTAGCTCTCCAACCATACAATTTTACCATGCAGTACCGTCCGGGTAAACAAAATGGGAATGCGGATGGTCTGTCCCGCCAGACCGAACTGGACACCTAAAAACGTACTTTCATCGGACATCCCCAAGCCAACCCGACAGGGTCTAGGCGGGTATGCCGACCTATGGACTTATAGGGGAGCAGTGTGAAGAAATGACTCCGTTAATCAGGATTTCTACCTTTCGGATGTATTCAGGCGAATTCCCTGTGTAAAATATAGGTGGCCGCCATTTCGGCACTTTACACGTGGCCGCAGCCATTTTACGTGCGAACAGCGGTGTTTGCCCGTCAACGCGTGGAACTAAAATCGGATACGCAAACAGGCGAACACCGCTGAGACCTCCATACATCCAGAACTTCGCACGAGAACAACCGAATCACCGGCCGTTCGGTAGTTACATGCAACTTCGTATGGGGATTTCAACGATCACAAAGATGCGAATGGATGGCAGGGCTTTCGTCTCTTTTATTCGCCTAAACGGAGACCGACCGCAGGGCCAAAACTTATGGAACTATTTTCGGCTAGATGGTCCGTGCGGTCGGTCAAAACTTTAGTGTTCCATAACTCCCGAACCGTTCATCCGAATGGACTGATTTTTCGATATGTTGTCCACACAAATGAGAACTATCCAGCGGTACCAGATTTTTTGTTTTTGGGGTACATCCAGAACTGGGGTAAAATAGTGCACGTTTTAATTAAGTTAACTGTTTATCAGAGGGGAGGGAGGTATGGGCTGTAACCTATTCCTGATTGGTGATTTAATGCCTCCCCCTGGGTGTGTATTTCTTGTCTGTAACCGTAATAAAAAGCAGGCTGGAGATTCCAGACCTCAGATCTACTTGTATCCTGATTCTGGACTCTGACTGTTATTTGGGAATTCGTATGCTTTACCAAGGGGATTATCTTGGGAAGCTGTTATATTTCTTATGGACTTCATTGCTTAGAACTACCTTAGACGCTGGCATTGCAGGAGGAATTATCAAAGCGGTTCAGCTATACTTGATTTCCTTACAAGCATACCCCCTCAGTGACATACATCTCAGGATAAAAATGGACTTCAGCTTTTGCCTAATGTTAATGTTGCCATGACCCAAATTCCTAGGCAACCACTGCAGACTGAAAACCTAATTCCAGTAATGCCTATTCTGTTAAAAAAAATTAGGCCCCACCAATGTGTTGCGTTTTACTAAAAGACTTGTAAAATAATTAAAAGTTGTAAAATTGTATTTATGTAGATCTCCAATATTTAGAACGAACCCTTAATTCTCATGTTTTGCTTCTTTCTCGCAGGCTGTAAAAGCACTGGCTCTCTCTCTGATGACCAACACGTCAATTGTGAGTTTAGATCTCAGTGATAACTGGCTGGAAGGAGATGGCGCTGCAGCGATAGCCGACATGCTGAAGGAAAATTGCTACATTTCAGGTTATTTGAGATGGTCAAAGTTAGAATGTTTATGCATTATTTTGAAATGAACTATTAAAAACAACGCACAACACAAAACTTTAGTAGATACTCTAAAAACGTCAACAAGCTTTGGGATTAACCCCTGTGAAGATTCATAAGAAGAACTGAGGTTCAGAAAACATGTTGCTTATTGGGAAATACACTGCACCTCAATGATGTGGCACAGGGGTAGTATCTTATATCTGGAGTTTACAGCTGGAGTTGTCTTTCTGCTCTTTACACCTTGCTTACCTAAGTCTAGCACCAGTTATTACAACCTTTGGCACTCCATATGGTTTTAAATTACATCTCCCATGATGCTTTGCCAGCTTTATGTGTGCAAGAGCATTATGGGAGATGTAGTCCACAACATCTTGAGTGCAGAAGTATTTCCACCCTTACCTCTAGCAAATAGATCTGTGGCTCATATCTCTCCTACCTAAAAACATAATACAAAAATGAGCCCTCCATAAAAAGATTTAGTACAGTGTGTAGTGTAAATTGTACATTGTTATGTAGAGTATTTATATGTTATGTAATTATCTAGTAACTGATTTATTTTTTTCAGAGATTCATCTATCGGATAACAGACTTGGACTGAAAGGCGCCATTGCATTATCACATATGCTTGTTGAGAATACAACACTGAGAAAAATTAATCTATCCGGAAATGAGTTTGATGACCAAACTGCTCCTTATTTATCTGGTGCTTTGATAAACAACCAAAAGCTGGAATCCGTGGACTTCAGTCATAACTTGTTTGGAGACAGATCAGGTATGATTAATTAATATGTGCTCTATGTATGTGCATGCTATTTAACCACTTAACTACCATGATTTAGAAAATCCCTTATTATATAAAAAATGACTTTCTCACCCCTCAGGGTGTGGTTTATTTTTTTACATGTGTGTTTTCCTCATTCTTGGATCCTCTGCCAGAGGCTTGGGAGTCTAAGAGTTCTGTGCAGTATCTTCATAGAAACAACAGCAACCTGTGTGCACAAAGAATCCAAAAATATTTATTACGCCATAATCTTTTAATGCAAATTACATTGGACATACAGTGAAAAGCTCCCTCCCGCGGGACTGATCTTGGTAATCTTTTACAACACTTTATTAAGAGAACGTCCTGTTCTGAATCCTCTGTCGTCTCAGGCATTCCCTTAGCAGTTCATCTTTGGAAGCCATCTTTATGATGTACTTGTGGATACTTTGTGTTTTATCCAGGACTGTGGGCTTGACACTCAGCAGGTCCCAACCTTCTTCCTTCCAGCTGGTGTAGAATCTCTGGGTGCTGTATGTTGGGTGGAATTTGGGTGTATTTTCGGTGACATCCATATTGACTAGCTCTTCTATTGGCTATGTTTTTTTTCCAGCTTGGTATTTGATGACTGGTAGGACATATGTGTTGAATGTTTGGATCTTGTTCTTGCCATTGAGCTGGGACTTCAAGACTTGTCTGTAGGTGTCAGGACACTGTTTAGGAGACAAAGCCCAATATGCAGAAAAGGCAATAACTCGATCAGGAACGCAGTACAAAAGGGTCAAAACAAAGAATGGTCAGGAAAGCCAAAGGTCAGGACAGGCGGCACAGGATCTTGGTCAGGAGTCAAGCAGGATTCAAATATCAGGGATATCTATAGTTGTAAAAGTAAACTAACAAAAAACCAAAACAAAGCCTTCATTCACACAAATAAGTGTCAAACAAACGGTAAAACAACATTTATACCAGCATAACCTGAGAGGATTTATCTCAATGTTCAAACCACAGGTAAACCTCAAAAAGAGAAAGGCCTGGATATAGTTTGTTCAAGAGGTCTACATTTTTTTCTAATTTTTAAAAGATGAAATACAATGAACCTGTACCAAATAGATGGAATGAAGTTCAGTAGTTTCCCTTTACCTCCCAGTATCCAGAGCATTCAACCATGATTTGACCATCAACTGCAGTGCCAAGCTCACCCTGATGTGATCCAAGTATATTTTATAGGGTCGCATACACCTGTACAGTGGAGCGGAATTTGTTGGCGCTCTATAAATAATAATAACCCATATGCTTTTTTTTTTATTAAAGAAAGAAAATATTAATCACATACATTCCCTGTATTGTATGGCAGCCTATTGTGTTTGATAAAACAAAACTACACATTTGAGTTTGTGTTCCTTAAAAGGACTCTTCACAATCTGGGCATTACTGTGCTTTAAGTGCATTTGACTCGTTAGCTTTCTGTATATCACCCACATTCATATCAATCAAATGGTTTACATGTATACTTAATGCTTTTTATAGCATTGTTTTTTAGATAAAGGGGTCCTAAATGTAAATTAAAAACACAGTTTACTTAGAACAAATTATATTTATTTTTGAGTTTAGAGTGTTCCTGGAATCAGAGTATTTCCTAGATTTCTGTGAGTTTGCAAAGTGCATGAATGAATACACTTTTCAATATTTTTTTTAATTTTCTTTGATGAAGGTGAAATTCTTAAAACAGCAATTGCTGAAAACACAGGAATGCTGGAGCTAAATCTCAGCTGGAACTGCTTTCGTGGAAAAGGAGCCATAGCTGTAGCAAAAGGCTTAGGGGTAAGAATCAATAAATACAATGTATTAGCAGTAAAACTTTGTGGTGTATGCTTTGCTGTTTAGATCTTGATTAAGTTTAACAATTCACTTTGTGATTTACTGCATTTACCCTGAGTTATAAACCATTCTGTTGAATATTTAACCCAGATAGCAAAACAAAATAAGGCTGCTATATAAGCCCTAGCACAAGTGCAAAGAAATCTTGTGCCCGATATATCTTTTACCCTGCCCACACTACCTTTATCTAAAAATATTTATTAAAATGTTTTCTCTAAGCCTTAAACTAAGAATGTACAGCCTGGTGAGTCCTTACTAAGCTGAGCTAGCAATGAATTGCAGATAAATGCAAACTCAGCTTTAAAATAAATACACATACATAGAGCCCATCACAAACAATCAAAAAGCAAAAATGTTTTCCAGATGATTTGCTTAGTTAGCTCTGAGCATGACATTGGTCTTCTTGCACCATAACCTTTACAGCAGACTTTAGCAATACCTGCGAACATGGGTAGCCACCACCCAGGTTTCTTCCTGTCCCCAGATGCAATTCCTCTATCCAGACTCGCATTTACTCATGGCATATTACCAAACTAGATGTGGTTACTATACACCCATTTGGGTTTTTCCTTCATCGGGCACTCTTATTTTTGTCTCCACCTTCTCATCTCTGCAGACCAGCTTGAACAAGGTTTCTCTCCGTAATCTTGCCGTAATTAGCCTTACTTTTTGCCTCTACTCCATGCTTTGCTTACTGTACACTCGGTTTTCTATTTTTGCACTTTTACTGTATAGTGATTGCCAAGCATTGTTATTTATTTTCTGTATTCATCATACATACTGTATAATGATTATATAGCAGTACTCCTTATATTGGCATAATTATGGATTTATTTCTTTTACTTTTAAAATGATATTTTCTCTCCAAAACCTTTTTCTCAGTGCATATTTTCCCTCAGATCTTAACCTCTTGGGCATTCTTTTTTTAATTGAATTTGTGTTTATTCAGCATTGCTTCCATTGATATATGCATTGAAGGTGTGAACAGTGCATAAGAATAAAGTGAACAGAAATTGGTGTAGAAAAGTAGATTAACATCTATCAATTTGAGATAATAGTATACAGCATACAGCGAAATCAATATCAAACTGTTACAACTGTTAAAAAGCCTATGCAAATAGGGCTGTGCTGCTATGTCGAGTGCCAGTTTTATATTTCCTAAAACAATGCAGGCCAATGAAGACAAAAACAAAAATCCTCTTGGGCTTTCTTGCATAGTACCATACAGGGGGTTAAACCCCATGGACAAGGTTCTTTCTCTTCTCCTTTGTATCAGTGTATCTAATTATATATTTATATATCCAGTGTATGCATAATTACCAAGGTGGTTGGATTTTTAAAAAAAAATGTTTTTGCATAAATTGTGAAGCGCTCTTGATAAGATTATACTTTCCTTTTAATAATTTAACAAAAGATATACAATCTGGGTCTTTTCCCGAAGACATTCTATTTTGCAGATGACACCATTGATATCATCAGATATTGCATTACCAAGCGGATGGTAATATAATCAGACTATGTGATCCATTTGTTTGATGATAAAGTCCATTAAGTTTTTAACTTTAAGTCCATTTTTAGGCAAAGACCTGAATTATTATGGATTGTAATAAAATATGACTTAGAAAGGAAATGTTAAAATAAAAAGTCTCTCCCTTTGTTTTGAAATGTAGGCCAACATTTTCCTCCGAGTGCTGGATCTGTCATATAATGGATTTGGCAATAATGGAGCGACAGCCTTAGGAGAGGCTCTGAAGATTAACAATGTGTTAGAAGAACTAAACATTAGGTAAATACACTCATTCTGGAATGAAATATTACAAACACATTCACAATTTAATCCTAAAGACTGAATAAAACATGAAATAATCACGGATAGGGATGCCTTCAGAAATCGCAGGACCCTTTACAAAACCATTTTACAAGTCTTTGAGGCACATTCTGACAGACGTGCATTCAAATTCAAACTCACAGACGCATAAATATTCATACACACCGACAAATTCATACTCCCTGCTAGATATTCCTAAAAATACACACAAGTGCAAACTGGCAGACACAAAGATTCATACACATATACACACTTCTAGAGACACACTGCCACACACAAACACTCACTGAAACACATACACTGACATTCACACAGATACACAAAACATATATGGACAGATACATACACTAACATACACAGAAATTGATAAATGTATACTTTAGCCACTTTCCTGTTCTCAAATCTCATCTGTGCATCAAGGTGGTTTTCCTTGGGTCCAGAGGTACAGGACCAAGGATGGTGCAGCTTCTGAGCGTCTTCCCCTCCCCCCCCGACACTCTATGGGTGCACTGGGAGGGAATTATGTAATGAATGATTTCCTCCTAATCCCTGTACTGCAGTGCAAGAAGAAATTATTATTATTATTATTTTTATTTATATAGCGCCAGCAAATTCCATAGCACTGTACAATGGGTAGACTAACAGACACGTAGTTGTAACCAGACAAATGGACGCACAGGAACAGAGGGGTTGAGGGCCCTGCTCAATGAACTTACATGCTAGAGGGAGTGGGGTATAGTGACACAAAAGATATAAGTAGGGGTAATGAAATAGGTAGTATTCACTGAAAATGTATTATTTTTGACAGTTGCAGAAGAGGAGTCATTGGGGGGGGGGGTGAAAACCTGCTAACAGTTTAAAGTATATGCTTTCCTGAAGAAGCGTGTTTTCAAAGATTTTTTTGAAAGAGTGGAAACTGGGTGAAAGTCTAACGGAGAAGGGAAGGGAGTTCCACAGAAAAGGTGCTGCCCTGGAAAAGTCTTGGAAGTGAGCATCAGACGTGGGAGTACGGACAGAGGATAGGCGTAGGTCTTCGGCAAAGCACAGGGGCCTCAACGGGACATACTTGTATATTAGGGAGGATAGATAGGTTTAAGCAGCAATAGGGACTTGTAAGCAAGGACCACAATCTTAAATGGAGCCCTATATCTAACTGGAAGCCAATGTAGGGACTGACAGAGGGGGGAGGCATGGGAGTTGTGGGTGGGCAGACAGGAAAATGAGCCCTGCCGCCGCATTCATTATAGATTGCAGCGGTGCAATCTGGGAACACATAAGACCACTGAGAAGGGGATTGCAGTAGTTGAGAAAGAGCAACGGCATGGACCAGCACCTTAGTCGTGTCTGGTGTTAAATTGGGGCAGATGCGAGCTATGTTTTTGAGATGGAAGCAGCTGGATTTGGCGATCAACTGGACATGAGGGGTTAAGGAGAGGTCAGAGTCAAAGAGAACACCTAGGCAGCGAGCCTGCGAGGTAGAGGTGATGGTGGCACCGTTGACTTGGAGGGATGACGCTGTTCTGCTCAGGGAAATTAGATCTGGTTTAGGGGGGATATTTCTATCTCCTCAACTAGATCACATATTGATAAAGAATACAAAGAAATCAAGGTGTATTGGTGCTACCAATTCTCACTTAGAGATGAATAATAAAACAATAGAATAAATACTGCACCAGTCAATGAAATGATAATTCGGGATCAATCTAAAAAACACAAATAACATAACATAGTGCAAATTGTATATATATATTTATGTAGAGTAATACTCACAGGATTTAGAGCCGTCCCAAGCTCTATATATTATGCAGGAGGGTGCCTAAAAAGGCTAAAACTATATCCTTCAGGAGAGCAGCACAGGATACAAAGTGCAGAATCCAAAATTTATTAAACAAATAAACAATTAAAACAGGGACAAAAAGCAGTGTATAAATAATAAAATATACTAGGCACAAAGCCTAAATAAAACACCGCAGAGTAAATAAGAAAAAGTCCCAGATACAATACTTAGGTCTAGCAGCAAACGCGTTTCAACTCCACCTGGAGTCTTCTTCAGTGCTGTGGTGCTCTCTCCTCTGTGATTGTGCTCTATTCTCTGTTATTTTAAATACCCTTCTTAATCAGTCTTTAAACTATCCCGGCTGTGTATCTTCTTGTTTCCTGCATGGCAAATGCACGTCATCATTTCCCATCACATGACTGATTAAGAAGGGTATTTAAAATCACAGAGGAGAGAGCAACACAGCACTGAAGAAGACTCTAGCTGGAGCAGAAACGCGTTTGCTGCTAGACCAAAGTATTGTATCTGGGACTTTTTCTCATTTACTCTGCAGTGTTTTATTTAGGCTTTGTGCCTAGTATATTTTACTATTTATACACTGCTTATTGTCCCTGTTTTAATTAATTATTTGTTTAGTAAATTTTGGATTCTGCACTTTGTATCCTGTGCTGCTCTCCTCAAGGATATCGTTTTAGCCTTTTTAGGCACGCTCCTGCATATTATAATGATAAAGGACCCCTAGTGTTAAAGTGGAACAAAAAATGATGGATTCAGGCTTTTGTTTCATTGATGGTTGCAATAAATTAAACCAGGTAATAATTATATAGGCAAAACTTAAGCCTCCTGGGTCTGAAAAGAAGCCAGTGGAATGTTTCAGCTAATAGGATGATGGTCTTATATATAGGAATAATGAAATATGATCACCATGATAATCATATAACTAGTATTTCTTCCCTACTTGTCATTTATCTGCAAGCTGAAGTGCCTTATGTGTAGTTAGTATCTCTTAATGGGTTTCTCCAACCACTGTGGTGGTTATGATGTTGAGTACCTTGGTGCCTTTCCCCAGTATTGGAGCAAACCTTTTTTTACTATAGTTAGTCCTCTTACCTAATCCTGCCAGGCACTGAGGATCTTCTGAAGCAGAGATTACAAAAGTGGCTGATGCCGATCCTGCCACTCATTCATTGGCTGTGAGTCAATGACCACTCTCAGCCAATGAATGCAATTTTGCACAGAATTTACATTAGACAGCCGGAACTTTAGTTCGGGACAGGCTTATGACACCCCTTTGATGATCTCAGAGGTGGGGTTACATCTCTGGCAGCAGTGTGGTTAAACTCCTTGTGTACAGCAGTTCAAAGCAAAACACTGCGCATATAGACTCCAGGCACCATGACCCTTCAAGTAATTGAAATGGTCATGGTGCCTGGAGTAACCCTTTAAACGAGACACGGTGTCAATTCAATTAAGCTCTTCTTCCCTCTTACAGGTTATTCTTTTTCATGTCTTTCTTTACAGTCCTTCTTACATTGTAAGCTTAAATTTACCTGTCAATTACTTGATGTTCTGTGTCATCACCTCCTCATAATTCTAAAGCTTCTTTGAAATACATTGGCATTATTTAAATCCTAATAATAATGATTTATTTCATAGAATATTAATGATATATATATACATTTTTTTTTATAAAGCAACAATCGTATTTCTCTGCAAGGAGCTGTACGTTTTGCATTGTGTCTTAAAGAAAATAAGAATTTGAAAGCTTTACAGGTCAGTAATGTATTCTCATATCTAATACTAATGTATAATATCTTGTTGTTATTTCTGGAGTTTTATTACAATGTTTACTGATTGATTTACCTGCATTTATCAGGAAACTGCCTCTAATTTCACATCTCATTCCATTAATGTATAATGGCTAGCTTTTTACAACAGTATACTCAATATACATACATATTTTATAGAGCTTTATCAGCTTTCTACTGTTACTTAGCACACTTTTGGTATGTCGTAAAGAGGACCTATTAAAATGTGAAAGTCAAAATATGCTCATAAACATTTTTTGACCAGTCTAAAATTGTCACGTATTCATCCGCTTATAGAAATGTGGTTAATGACATTTACTGTCCACACAGGAAAAGTTGTGCCGAGCAGCAACCAAATCCACAGAAGGGTTAATGCTGAGCAGCAATTATGCAAATGAAACCTGGTAACTGACTTTGGGGTCAAAGGCCGGTTACAGCCTATCAGATCTAGAGGAGGGGTACTTAGGCCCAGTTCTCACCCTGCTCAGTGCCCTGTCGTGGTTTCCCTTGTGGTTGTCTGAGAGCGCGTTCCTGTTTATAGTTTTCTACCTGGTTTTTGACTTTGGCTTTGTTTATTGACTTCTCTATATTCTGGTATCCTGACTCCTGGCTTTCCTCATCACTGCGTCCCTTTCTGTGTTCCCTGACCTCGGCTAGTATTTTTGACTATTCTATGTACGTTAAATCCAGCCATTCTAAGGACCGGTAATACATTACTTATTTGTCATCCGTGCTATACAGTTCTACGTGCTGTATCAAACAGTAATCCTGACAAAAATAAAATCTAATGTAGAATACATTTTCTAACCACTCTTGACTTGGACACTAGAGAAGGATAACAACGCTGCTGTGCAAAGTGTGAAAATATAATACATATCTGTAAATATCTGATATTGTTATACATCATGTTCTGCTGGTCATTTCTTGTTACTGCAAGAAAACAAGAACATCCAAAAAAAATCTTCTAGAGTTTGGACCATAGATATTTGTTTATACAGCTGAATGCAGATAGTATTACACAAAGAAAAATAAAAAAAATAAGGTGTGCACATTTTTTATTTTTTTTAATAAAGTATAAAAAAAGGTATTTTAATAATTTGCACAGTCATTTGCTCTTGTTTTGGTACATAAATTATTTTATCCTTCAGTAATTATAATATCGTATGACATGTTTATCACATTTTATATTACTACATTTTATATTAATACGGTTGCAGCTGGTAAAAAAAAATAAAAAAATAGGGGAAAAATAACTTGATTGTAAAAATATCAGAATTAATAAGGTTCCATAGATGTAGGATCTATATCAGGGGTACGCACTCTTTGGGACTCCTGATGTTTGAACCACATCTCCCATAATGCTCTTACAGGCATAATGCTGGCAAAGGTGAACTACCCACGATCAATATTTTAAATATAATCTTTATATGTTATGTAGCGGACCGCCTGGTACCCCGACTGGGTACCTCCGCCAAGCACGCTTCCTAGCTATGGCCGTGACACCATCAGCACTTCAGCCCCCCGCCACCGCAGCTTGGCCGGGGTCTCGCCGTCGCTTCCCACCCTGGAACAGGGTCCTGGATCCAACTTCCAGTGACCAAAGCTCTCCTGCAGAGAGAATAGCTGTGTAGTGATTATAATATTCCCCCCACACATTAGTCAAGAATGAATGCTGGGAGTAGATCTGTTTAATGCAGGCAAACACATTTATGCACACTGTAAATGCCTCCCTGAGAGATAATTAAGTCAGGAACTGTACAAACTCCATTATCTCCAGATACAGAAAAGTATGACAATTTTTAAACAACCCAAAAGTACCCCCAAAATACATGGAACCCCCTCAAAAGTCACATCCCCAGAAATCCCTGATCTGCGTGCCCATCATATCCAAAAATCAATCAGATCGTTTTGGTGGTTTGGATTTTCTATCGAGGTAAACTTTTGACCGACCGCAAATGTGGCTTCTGTCCAAAATAGTTCCATAAGAAAAGTGGTAGCGGCCGGTCACTTCTCGGGAGTCCAAAACTGAATGAAATGCCAAACTGGTCCTTTGTCTCCTAGATAGCTATTGTTCTTGTTTTTAAGACTCTTATTGAAAAGAAAATATTCATGTTCTCAGGGCAGAGAATGTTTTTTTTCTTTTAAAATATATTTTAGAGGTGAAAAGGTGAAAATACAAAGCCATGTAATGAGGGGAGTATTTACAATATTTTAATGTACAAAAAAAGAAAAGATAGCTATTAATGTCATTATACTTTTTTTATATATTTAATATAAGTAATATATGAATCCATAGATATAACGCCATTACCATCAGGGCTAGATATCTCCTCTCCAGAAAGCTCTCCTGTAATTGCACATTTGTGTTAATCTTGTATTCTGTTTGTTTACTTTTCAGTCACACAATAATGAAAATTATCATTTTTTTCAGGACTGTAAGTTCCCTGCCATTATCGAGACCTCTTGCCACCCATTGTATTTGGAAAAATACTATTTAAATACATTTTGTTCACTTTGTTTCCAGCAACAAGGCAGCCGCCCAATGTGCCTCCTTTTTTTATCAGCAAGCATGCTAACGTCTTCCATTTTGCCATCCAATCGGCAACACACGTTTTCAATACATTGAAAAAAAAATCAAAAAGCATGGGTTGAAGAACAGAGTTTAACTTGGCTATTGTAGTGCGAGCTCCCTCTAGTGGCTGTCAGGAAGAAAGCCACAAGAGGTGTGTTTCGCCTGCAACAAAAACAGTGCCATATCTACAAAATGGCAATGTATTATATTTCATTACTAACACTGCAAACAGACCACTTCATTGAGATTAAGTGATCTGCAAGTGTATAGTGGCCCTCTAAGGTGAAGATTAATTATTTGTCCAGCTCTGAAAATAGATCTTCATTACAAAATAGCTTAGGTGTGTTTCTTTATGAGGCACTGTCATTTTCAGAGAAACCCTCTAAAATAAACACTATTGCAATGTTTACATTCGCAGGACTTTCACTTTGCTGTGACTTACCTGTCCCTTAATGCCTTTAGAGTGCATGTGAGCACTTAGCATCCAACAGACAAATGGCGTACACACACAGGTGCACTCATATATTCTCCAACAGTGATGAGTGTGCATGCACCATGTGCTCAGTAATGCAAGAGTTAACTCGTTTACATATTTTACCTGGCTTTACACAGTAAAGCATGTAAATAAAAACAACATAATCTATTTTATTGATTGGAAAATATAAAGCACCACCAATGATTAACTTTTAGTTGGCTATTAGGTTGTGCCAGAATTGAGGACGTGAGTGACCGTTTCTCTTTAAGACTAGATCTAGCATGTGTGAGCTTGCTTGATTGTTGACTATTTAGCAGTTGCATCGCAGACAAAAAAATAGCAAAGACTGCAAAACACACTGCTCCTTAGCTAATAATAAGAATCCCAGGATATTTTTCTGAACGGCCAAAAAAAAATGAAACTAAGATAAGGTATTTAGAAAAAAAAAAAATGCTATCTTGATGGAGATCAGCTGCATGTGCAACATTTAAAGCATTTAAGAGTTGAACTGTGCTCATAGACATAGAAATAACCAGTTTATTACTGTGCTTTAATGAAAGCAATACAACTATATTAAAATGGAGCAAACATACAACATTGATCCAGCTCACCTAAATGCATAATATAGAGAGAAGGATGTTTTTTTATTTTTATTTTATTTTAGAGTGTAAGTTTGTTTTGGCAGCACACTCTTCACCTACTGTTCTACTATGTCAATCACGTTCTGTTAAAATATAGGGTTTGTCTTGTTTACACATTGTACAGCGCTTTGGGATATGTTGGCACTATATAAATAATAGACATATTAATTTAATTTTACAGATGTCTAGAAATCCAATGAAAAGTGAAGGCTGTTTTGCGATTCTGAAATCCATCCAGGCAAACCCTGGTGCTGCCATAGAATCTTTGGAGTTCTGTGTAAGTATAAAGTTTCTTCAAGACAGGCAGGTTTCCTAGAGGTATTTATCCTGTAACAAGTTATGATGCTTACTCAAACCATCATAACCACTACAGCCCATTTTGTCAAGGTTTGTCCTCTCACCTGGATCGTACCAGGCTCCTGATCTTCTTTGTAGGCAGTTTAGCCTTATGCAGATCTTGCTGCTCATCAATTTGGTTTTTTTCATTAATCTGAATCACTAAGATTTAACGTGCTATCCTGCTTTATAGTGAAAGTTTAATTAATTTCATACACATTTTATAGGATATTGTGGTCAATAAGGAGTTTGATGATTTGTATAGTGCTATGAAGGAAACTATGCCAAACCTGTCTATCAAACATGGAGGAAACGCTGATCTGTTTAAAAGAAGCATTACGAAGGTAAGACCAATTTCAAGTGCTGGGTAAAACACAATGTGTAATCTATTAATTTATTTCAGTTAAAAGAAACTTTGCAAAGAATACCCTCTATCTGCAGAATATTTTAAATCACTTGGGAAATTCAATTCTGTGTTTATTTCTATTTCTTCTTTAATTAGGCTCATGATAATGTAATTTGTTCATGCAGGGGCAGGGATTGACAACTGCCATCACATTCTTATACAATGAATGATACAAAACTTGTGTGGTCAATGTATAATCATGTATACATCATGAAAGATAAATATATCTCCTCACCTCAAGGAATCGGATCATTAAAGGGTCATTCTAGGCCATATCTCCTAACTTTGACGTACTGTGAAGTAGGGCGCTGGTGGGAAGGGTAAAAGACTAGTGGCATGATTCGCACTTTCAGTGCACTCTGCAGGGTGCTAATGCCCCGTGCATAGCCCAAGCCCATGTAATGATGTGTAATGAACTTACCTGCTCCAGGTGCCCGCGTTGCTCCTCTCCTCGGGATGTGCAGAACGAATACTCCACTCGGCCCCACAGACTAATGCACTCTCTGCTGCCTCAAAGTACCGCTCACAGCAGATACCTCACGGTGCTCTGACCTCTCAAGATGGCGGAAACCCTTCCACAAGCATCACAAAACTCCATACGGGCACAATGGCCCATTCTAGAGACCCTCAAATCCAGGCTGGATGCATTATTCCAGGACTTCTGGGACAAGCTACAGGCACGTTCCACTACCATCCGGTCCAACCAAAGAACGGACTCACCTCCAGGCAACGCACTCACCCAAATGCCTTACTGCATCAACGACCGCCCGCCTAGGCCGAAAGTCACTAGAGGCATGACCTCGAGCACACTGGGGGAAGTTCACACGCCGCTGGTGGCGGATACCACCTCATTCTTCCAACTGCCCCTTGGGGGGCCAGGACTTGGCCGCACACAGGTACCGAGTCTATGGACAGAGGGTGTCAGCTCTCATAAAGGCCTGGGGCTGGAGGAAAATCTCTCATACCTGTCTCCCCCCGACTGATCCCGACAATCAACCCACACAACTGAATACTCACCATGCTGTTCAGCCCTCCCAGGCTGAATGCACCTCAAGGCACTGCCTCCCTGCATCTGCCGCACAAGCGGAGAAACACCTGCAGTGGACGACACATATCACCGCAACCCTCTGCATATCCCAGTCAGAGGAAGGGCTTGGTCCCAAAGAGCACCCAAGTCCGCAGACAATCGATGTTTACCCTCGCCCAGGCCTGGGGTTGGAGGAGAACCCAATACCACTACAGCTCGGTAGATGCTCCCTGGGACCTCCCTACATTTGTACCACCTCTACCGCTGTTGGGGATCGGCTGACTGGGTAACCAAACCTGCAACCAGGGCTCCTCATTATTTATAGATACCGAGTAATTGGACATACCCGATAAGAAACCCTTAATTATTTGCTGAGGAAGAGTATATTTAGTTTTTTTTCTGCTTATTCGCTTATAATTTTACTCTGCTCTCATGCCAAAGATTGCTGTATGAGTAATTTGACCTAGCATGTTATGCAATTTTTAGTTCTTAGACCAGACTCCAGTGGTATTAATAGCGTGCATTACAGATTGAAGTCAGCATGTTATAACTCACTCTTGGCGCATGTAACTTCCATTCTGAATGTAAGCTACATACCATGCTCAGTGTTAATTCTGCCTATAATTACCCCCTATGTGCATGGTGATCACCACTCACAGTACATATCCTCAACTCAATATGTATTACGTAAACGTTACTCTTCTATTTTACATTATAAACTGCGTTGAATGGCCTCTTAATTGTTATACATCATTCTATAGTATAGCCTGTTGTTCCTAGTTTGACTAGCATGTTCACTATACGTAAAAAATGAGACAGGTTATCCAGGAGTATATATATATATCAACTGTATGTTTAAAATCTTGTCATATGCACTAACTCCTTTACTTTTGTTAGCATTCTGTACCGCATAACACATTGTCTCAATAAAAGAAAGATTTACAAAAAAAACCCTCTATAAAGCAATATTTAATATTTTATGAATATGGGAAAGACAGATATCTGGTGGTAATAAACGTGACTGAAATGCAGTCCAGGCATTTTTTTCTATTTTCCAAAAAACAAAAACAAAAAAACCCTACAGAAACTGCCGTCTACAATCTCTAGATAGAACTTAGAGAGGCTAATTTAAGGAGTGTAGCATTTCTCCAAGCTCTAACTGATTTCTAGTCTTATTTACTCAATTTATATCTATAGCAAATATATCCTGTATTTTTTTTTATTTTTTTATAGAGGCAGCCCTGTATGCTAAACTGATAAAGGAATGCAAACAAACAAAAAATATACTTAGAGTGTTCCTTTAAAGCTTAATGAGTTTAACACAGGTCCTTTTAGTTAGTACAATTTGTTAGGCTAGTCAGCCTGTTTGTTCACTGTGAAAAATAAATTAGAGAGCCATTTTCCCAGAACATTGTGTCAACTTTACACGTTTAAACTTTTACATCGTGCATACAATTTAATTAAATCAAACATATATTTGGGACAGACACTCCGCAGCACTACCCATGTCCTTTGTGGACTAGGACAAGCAAATGTGATACTGCACTACAGAAATGGAAACACTGAGCTATAACATAAATAACATAAAGTTGTCAGGTAGGTTTATCCATTGCTGTTACTGCCAATATATCGAACATGGTGATTTATCATCGTTCTATCAGTCTCTACCAAAACTTACTCCACCCGAGACAGAGGAACATGAAAAAATGCTTACTTTATATTTATTTATAAAATATTTTACCAGGAAAGATACATTGAGATATCTCTCGTTTTCAAGTATGTCCTGGGTCCACAAAACATTGCATTGATACAATAGGGTACAATAAAATACAAAAATATTAATACACAATATATACAAAATTTAACATAGAACAGGTAGGAAATATATAATCAACCACGACACACGCATTCTGTTTTGAGGTATGTAGAGAGGGATCTTTTAAAGGACTTTAGGCTTGGGGAAGATTTTAAAGTGTGCGGGAGGTCGTTCCACGATTGTGGCGCTCTGTAGGAGAAAGAGGATCGGGCTGCTTTCTTTTTGTATTGAGGTAGACTAAATAAAGTAACAAAAAATGGAAATGAGACAGCGCTAGATAACTTATAGGCAGCAACCTTAAAAGGGGATCCCTCAGACCCTTTAGAACTGGATGGATGAAAATAATAAGAGAAAGGCTGCGCACACAAGTAAAAATAAAGTCCAATGTAAAGGAAAGTCCCAATGTTTTATCCTTACAGATGGTCTTTGCTAATGACGTCTTCTCTTAATGTAGCGGTTCCACTTATATGAAAGAAAAAAGAGGAGAGAGAAGGGCGACCAATAGTGTAGTATATAAAATTCTGGTGTGGACATAAAAGAATAATAATATAGAACTCACATTTACCAGAGCTATTGTCCTAGCTCTGGGTTAAGGCGCATACAGCGGTTTGATCCCCGCTTGTAGGATTTAAATGGGTTCCTCTCTGTGATAGGTGTCCAATTCTCGGAATAAAAGAAACAGCCAATAGTGCTCACTGTATAGCAATATGGATAAAATAATAAAAGAATGTACTTACAAAGCAGGAGCAGATTTACTGCTCCGTGATGACAGCTTGGGTGGATTGATCCCCACCTAGGATTTCTTTAAGTACAGGAGGCTTCCAGGGATTCTCAAGGTTTTTTTTAAAACCAGTAAAAAAGGGATAAAATAATTAAAAAAAGGCCAGGGTAATAAAAAAGGAAAATTATGTGTCTATAAAAAAGATTATTGGTACAAACAAATAACCAAAAATACTTTAATATATAAAAGAACACAATAATTGAATTTCCATAACGCGTTTCGTCAGAGACTTTTTCAAATGGAATAACATGTAATACCTGGCTTGATAATGTTATATAGGAGCATAACTAATTTACATTTGGCGCCAAAATTGGTCCGTCCAATCAGAAATAGAAGCATATATAAAAACTTTAAAACATAATTATACCTTTATCAGTACATTGTCTGCTGTTTTATAACACATTCCTGATATTTATAATTAAAAAACGAGGGTGAGAAAGTGTAGTTTGAAACGTTTTAAAATAATCACGTGGCATGCGGCACTTCCGCTTTTCGGAAGTCTAGCCGCAATGCCACATGGGAAATGTAGTTTAAGATGGCCGCGGTCGGCGGGCACATAATAAAATAAAAATCTATAGTGCCAAATTGGCACAATGGTTCCCATGAAACCTAGGGAAACCTAAGACATAGAAAAGGGGAAGGCACTAATATAATACTAAATATAGTACCTAAATCCATGTGCAGATTAATCGGCACTTCCGCAAACCGGAAGTTAGAGCCGAAGTGCCTGATGGGAAATGTAGTACAGGCTAATTATTGATACAAAATTGAATTTCTGGAAGATAATATAGTAGGGCATAAAATAAAACCGAAGTGCCTAATGTGGAATATAGTTAGGGCTAATAATTTACTATAAAAATAAAATTTGAATACTTTAAAAGGTACAACAATAAAAACCTTGAGTGCAAACATGATATTAAAAGATATTGGCATAATTAGAGAGGGTATTAAAAGCAACATTTAAAATATAGGAAATACAAACATCATTTTATATCCATTTTCATAAGAAATTGTATAGATCAAAATCTGCATTAAGACCATGGGGTATAAGGGTCTTGAGTTTATACACCCATTCCATCTCTGTTTTACCAAGCAGCTTTTTTATATCACCTCCACACCAGGAGGTAGAACATTTTTTTTATACCTATACATTTTAGTAGGCGTGGATCTTTGTTGTGTATAATAAAATGGGGATGACACAAGGTGCTTAAAGATAAGGCTAAGTGAACATTGCAGAAATATCAAAAATGGGTACTTAAACCATACAGTATCCAAACATTTTATTATACACAACAAAGATCCACACCTACTAAAATGTATAGGTATAAAAAAATGTTCTACCTCCTGGCGTGGAGGTGATATAAAAAAGCTGCTTGGTAAAACAGAGATGGAATGGGTGTATAAACTCAAGACCCTTATACCCCATGGTCTTAATGCAGATTTTGATCTATACAATTTCTTATGAAAATGGATATAAAATGATGTTTGTATTTCCTATATTTTAAATGTTGCTTTTAATACCCTCTCTAGTTATGCCAATATCTTTTAATATCATGTTTGCACTCAAGGTTTTTATTGTTGTACCTTTTAAAGTATTCAAATTTTATTTTTATAGTAAATTATTAGCCCTAACTATATTCCACATTAGGCACTTCGGTTTTATTTTATGACCTACTATATTATCTTCCAGAAATTCAATTTTGTAACAATAATTAGCCTGTACTACATTTCCCATCAGGCACTTCGGCTCTAACTTCCGGTTTGCGGAAGTGCCGATTAATCTGCACATGGATTTAGGTACTATATTTAGTATTATATTAGTGCCTTCCCCTTTTCTATGTCTTAGGTTTCCCTAGGTTTCATGGGAACCATTGTGCCAATTTGGCACTATAGATTTTTATTTTATTATGTGCCCGCCGACCGCGGCCATCTTAAACTACATTTCCCATGTGGCATTGCGGCTAGACTTCCGAAAAGCGGAAGTGCCGCATGCCACGTGATTATTTTAAAACGTTTCAAACTACACTTTCTCACCCTCGTTTTTTAATTATAAATATCAGGAATGTGTTATAAAACAGCAGACAATGTACTGATAAAGGTATAATTATGTTTTAAAGTTTTTATATATGCTTCTATTTCTGATTGGACGGACCAATTTTGGCGCCAAATGTAAATTAGTTATGCTCCTATATAACATTATCAAGCCAGGTATTACATGTTATTCCATTTGAAAAAGTCTCTGACGAAACGCGTTATGGAAATTCAATTATTGTGTTCTTTTATATATTAAAGTATTTTTGGTTATTTGTTTGTACCAATAATCTTTTTTATAGACACATAATTTTCCTTTTTTATTACCCTGGCCTTTTTTTTAATTATTTTATCCCTTTTTTACTGGTTTTAAAAAAAACCTTGAGAATCCCTGGAAGCCTCCTGTACTTAAAGAAATCCTAGGTGGGGATCAATCCACCCAAGCTGTCATCACGGAGCAGTAAATCTGCTCCTGCTTTGTAAGTACATTCTTTTATTATTTTATCCATATTGCTATACAGTGAGCACTATTGGCTGTTTCTTTTATTCCGAGAATTGGACACCTATCACAGAGAGGAACCCATTTAAATCCTACAAGCGGGGATCAAACCGCTGTATGCGCCTTAACCCAGAACTAGGACAATAGCTCTGGTAAATGTGAGTTCTATATTATTATTCTTTTATGTCCACACCAGAATTTTATATACTACACTATTGGTCGCCCTTCTCTCTCCTCTTTTTTCTTTCATATAAGTGGAACCGCTACATTAAGAGAAGACGTCATTAGCAAAGACCATCTGTAAGGATAAAACATTGGGACTTTCCTTTACATTGGACTTTATTTTTACTTGTGTGCGCAGCCTTTCTCTTATTATTTTCATCCAGACTAAATAAAGTGCTGGTACTGGATCGGAGGTTATAGGAGGTGGGAACAGCCGAGGAGAGCATTTTGTTCAGGTAGGGTTGGAGCTTCCCAGAAAAGCTCTTAAACACAAGCTTGGAAAGATGAAGGGTGCATCTGGATTCCAGCGACAGCCAGTTTAGTTCTTTTATCATGTCACAATGGTGGGTCCTGTAATTACATTGTAACACAAAACGGCAGAACAAGTTATACAATGTATTGAGTTTATTAATGTGGGATTGCAGTGCAGATGCATATACTACATCCCCATAATCAATGATTGGCATCAGCATTTGCTAAACAATCTTTTCCTTTACTGTAGGGCTTAGGCAGGATTTGTTATCAAATGAATGTTAAACATTTTGTAATGATGGGATACCATAGTAGTTTATAAACCATATGTAATAACCAACCACCTGTATTTCTACCTATAATATTTGCTAACATCTCTTTGTTCTATTCAGGCAGATCCACTCGACATAGTCAGGCAATATATTAAGGAAAATAGCCTTCATCCAGCTCAGATGTTTACTCAAACAGACAAGAGTAATCTCATGAACTATGAGGAGTTTCAGCAGGAACTAACGGCAAGTATTACTTGTGTATACACCTATATTAATGCTCCAGTGACAGAGGGCTACATCAACACTCCCCCATTCATGTGTAGATTGCATCTGCCATAATACCCGGTTTAACTTTTCCTGAGCATGTTTGGCCAGTAGAAGGACAATTTAGTCACCATAACCATCTCAATTAAGTGGTTGTGGTGCCTTGAGTCCACTGGTTGTTGTCCCACAGTTGGTTTTGGACAATTTAACAGTGTATGAGAGTCATTAGCTACCCGCAACCTAACCCCATGGAATAATGCCTTAACCATGCTAACTCATACTAGCAATAGGCAAATCTAAGAGGCTGAGAATGATCATCAGACTCATCCAATTACTGCCACCTATCATGGGTAATAGAACTAAGATCACGGTTGGTGGATCAAGTGATTAATGGTCTTATGGGCAATTGTCACACATTTTAGGGTTACTTTGAAATACTCTGCTTATGTTATGCAAATTGTGAAATATACTAAGATACATACTCTGGGCAACCACGACATTAAAACCACCTGCCTAATACCGTGTAAGTTCCCCTCATGCTATAATAATTAGTATTTATATAGCACCTTTCTCCCAGTGGGACTCAAAGCACTTTTCAGCGCACTCTCTCGGAATTAACCAAATTGGCAGCTGAATAGTAATAGATGTTATTATTACCCAATTGATGGTACTCATTTTATTGACCTCTGAAGGATGAAGGACTGAGTTGACCCTGCCGGTATTTGAACCTGAGACCTTGCATTTTTTTTTTTGCACCGGCACGGGGGCGCAAGAAATGAGAGAGCATCCATTTCCTGTACCTGGGCTGACAGGAAGTGCTCACTGAGTGAGCACTTCCTATCAGTCCGGCCAGGTACAGGAAACTGAAGCTCCTGTACCGCAGACTGGACCTGAGCTCGGCCACATTATACTGAGGGACTGACAGAAGGGAGCGCTATTTGCTTCTCCTGCCGAGCCCTAATATCTTGTGTGGACTGGCTGACAATGTAATTCGTTAAGGTACACAATGTGCAAATGCTGTTGCTGCTTCAGTCTAACACTGTAGCATTTCCCCATTCTTCTACACTCACAACATTACCATTTTCTCTGTCCCAGACTGCATACCAGGAGCTTCTATATGCTAGTAAGAAGGTAAGGAGTGAACAAGTAAGTGCTTGGGGACAGCCCCCAAAAGGCGTAGAGCAAGCCCATCATTGGCACTTATCTTACACACCGTGTGCTCTGACACCTTTAATCATTGCCAGCATTATGATTTTCAGCAATTTGAGCTACAGTAGCTCTTCTCTGTGATCGGACCAAATAGTGCTGGCATTCACTCTCCACATGCATTAATAAGCCATGGGCACCCATGATCCTGAACCTGGTTCACCGGTTGTCCTACCTTGCACAACTTTTGGTAGGTACTAATCACTGCCTGCTGAACACACAGCAAAAGACTTGGAGTTTTGAAGATGCTCTGACCCAGTCTTCTAGTCATCACTATTTGGTCCTTGTCAAAGTCACTAAGATCTTTTCGCTAACCTATTTTTCTGGCTTCCAACACATTAAATTCAAGAACTGACTGTTTACTTACTTATATCCCACCCCTTGACAGGTGCCATTGTAACTATATAATATATGTTATTCACCTCACCTGTCAGTGGTTTTAATGCTGTGGCTGATCAGTATGAATATATACTTACTTTTGGAAGTATTTTCTATTATACATTCTAAATTATTGATTAAAATTCTAGAGAGCTGGAATTATAATACCTAAAGATGTGGCTGGAAAGGTAATCGAGTTCCTGGACAAGGATAAGAGTGGCATAATTGATTTCAGGTAACCAAATCAGATAATTTATATAGCATGACAGCTTTGGTTTATTGAATACTGTTTTATCTTCAGATCTGACCATTAGAATTCAAGCATTCTGGATACAATATACAATATAAGTATTGAGAGATGACTATATAACTGCTTAATATAAGTAGAAAGAGATGAATATTCCCCTGCCTATGTTTTCGTAGCCCTTTTCCCTACACATCAGTTTGACCATTCCCCTTCCTCTTTTGCACTCTTGTTTACATTTCATCTGTGTAACTTTTTTATGTTTACTTTATGAAGTCTTAGTCTTCATTCTGCATCAAATTGATGTGTGAAAGAGTTAGTTATGTTTAAAATTGTTTCAAAATATTTAGTTTTTCCTTGGTAAAAAATATTTTTTGTAAAAGCGAGTGAAAGTTTAGTAACGTAGACAATTCTCAGTCTACCATCGTTATTGACATCATCTTTGAATGTTGAGATTATATAGATAGCTAGATAGATAGAATACGTTTAATTTGGAGATGCACATCATATCAGAAATATTTTTTGTTTTAATTTAAGTTTTGTTATTTGCAAATTATATGTATGTCTATATATTCATTAATTAAGTAATTTATTTATTTTACAGTGTATTTCAGCAAGCTATTTCTACTTGATATGTCCAATAAGAGAACCTGTCTGGCAGGATGCATCTGTCATCTACTGGAACATTAATTTTGTCTGTCAGCTGTAATACTCTAAATATACTGGCTATGAGCTGCCCATGGTTGTCCTTTGATTTATTGCCAAAAGTTTTCTTATAAGTCATTGAGGTTTTAACTAATGTTTTATATTGCACATTATATTGCACCCATTGACATTATTGGCTATTGACATTATTGGGAGAATATGCAGAAGCAACATTATCTTTAACTGGAAAAATTCCAACAGTTTTTTTTTTTTTTTTAAGTGAACACTACAACACTGTGGTGGTTTTGGTGCCAGTAATGCCCTGCCTTCCTCCAAGGTTTGGAAGTAAAACCCTTTGCAAATGGTTTGACAATTTACCTGGGGTCTACCGGGTGCAGGTCACAGCTTGCATGGGAGCCAGAATCTCCTGTGTTGAATTTCCAATTTCTCCCCTGAGCTGTGCCCTGCAGTGCAGGCATGAATCATTGGCTGAGATCATCAGTGCTCTCAGCCAATGAGCTAAGCCCTATATAGCCACAATAGCTCAAATGAAAGAGCTTCTGGCTTTCCAGCATGCTATAGTGGTTAATCTTGCTGGAAATTATATATAATTCTTCCAGCAGATGGCAATAGCTCCCTTGCTCTGGATTTCACCAATATTTTTTTTCTGCTGTAAACTGTTTAGATCATTTGAAAGCAAAGATATATAATTTTCACAAGCTAGTAAAATACATGGGCACATGATATTAATATCTCCCTTTTTCTTTGGCATGCTTTTGGATGTATGTAGATAAATGTGCTATTTCTAATGCTAAGTATGATCCAATTAGTCTTAACTCTGCATTTGCTAGCTTGCATAAAACATAACACTACAATCTGAGCTGGATTAATGGTCTCATGGGCCTGGAGCAGAAGATTTTGTTGGGCCTAATTACATGAGTTTATTAACATGAAGTTGCAGATACGATATTCTCCACATGTTTATTCAAATTAGTCTTTGGGGGCTACATACACACACATATAAAATGGAAAGTGAGGTGAATTCGATAATGTAGACACACATGAATTATATCCACATATGTTACAAACTGAGTGACCTTCTAGGGAGAAAGTGTCAGGTTATTCCTCTATAAGGAAGGGGGAGGGTGGGGTAACTCCCAGAACAAATTTTGGGGTTACTCCTTGTCATCAAGGGTTTACCTTCTAAATGGTTTCCCTAGGTGCGCTTTCCTTGTTTTTACCATATCCACATACGTATACAAACTGGACTGCGACTCATATGTAAAACCAGAATTGGTCTCATATATTTAAACTACAAATGGCAGGACAATATAAAAACAATCTCAATGTGCACAAACGTTTAGTGTTTCTGATCACCTGTTAAAGTTTACTAACCTTCCATACAGAATTTATCATATCCTTGCCGATATGCATGCTACATACATGATTGTGTAAGTTTGAATACATAAATGTGCGTGTTTATTATAATTGTGTAATAAACAATACACATGTATTGTGTAATGTACATTATATGTATGTAGTGTGTGTGTGTGTAAAATGTATATATGTGTTTATTTTTGTGTAACATATCTAATGCATATGAGTGTATTTATAGGAACACTCAAAGCACCTCAACAGTGGGATGTAGTGCTTATGGTTATAGGAATACCCTTGTGGTTCACATTGTAAATAGTCAAATCTTGTTACTCCCTGTCTCCAATACAGCTACAGGAGAGTCAGAAACTGCTGCTTAGGAGCTTCCATTAGCTCTCCTGAGGGCTAGCTCGTTTTCTGACAGCACGATCTGATCGCTCTCAGTCAATAGGCTAAACACTGCAGCTCCAGGCTTATTAGACAGAGAGCATTTGGCTCTCATCTAGCTTTTGTGGAGGTGAGGAAGAGCAGCCACTGAACCCCACGAAAAAAGTCAGACTGTTTAAAAGTTTGACTACTTACAATTAAAGGGCACCAGGGTGTGCTGTAGTGATTATGGTGTTTGGATTGTTCCTTTAATTTGTCTCTCTTATGTATATGTTTTTGTGATGTGTCTTCCATGCGTTTAGGTGTGACACATGAATAACATGGTTTCAACATATTAGATTTTCACTTTATAGGCACAGTCCAATAAATAATGCATCAGTGAGATAGAATACACACACCTACACACCTTTGTTTATATGCTAGATAGGCAGCTGAATGCTGTAGCAGCAAAATTAGAGGAAATAATTAAGCAGCTACCCTGCCCAGAGCTATATAACTATAACGTTTATGAGATTAGTTGCAAAAATAATAAACAAAATAGACAACAATTACATAAAAATGTCGGCTAGACAGAATCTGAATAGAAACAATAAATAAATATCCTAAAACCTATAAGGAACTAAAAAATTGGTTCAACCTGGGTGGACCTCAGAGAAGGTGAGTATTGCTAGTGTGAAAGAATTTACCTTGATTCCAAGGTTCAAGCTTCTAGGTGTCATATTAGATAGCTTATATTAAAATTGGCTAACGTGGACTCAGGAAATACTTAATGCTCAAAAGGACACTTAAACCATATATCTCTAGTTCCGGGAGTAGATAGCCCCCACCTGAGCTGTCTCTCCTAAATCAGAGTAAGAGTGACAATACTCTATCTACAATACAATACTACTGCTACATAGTTACCTAATAAGAATAACTTTGTTACAGGTTTACAATATAATACTACTGCTACATCGTTACCTAATAAGAATAACTTTGTTACAGCCAGCTGATGCATGTATTCCATCCCATCTCTAACACTACGATCACTTAATTCTCTACTGTTTTAAGAGATTAATTGGAGAAAGTACTTATATTCTCTTTTCCCCATGCCTTTATTTACCCTTTATTAGCCATTTATAGAGGGTATCTTTCTGAGATAAATACCTAGACTATCACTCACTTGATCATTAAGTTCCTACTCCAGTTAGAGACCAATATTTATTCAAGTCTAAACTCTGGATAGTAAGAGTTTTCAACTTAGAGTAATAAGAGGCTTAGCCATTGGGCTTTTTTCTTGAATAACATTTCATATATATATATATATATATATATAGTGATCTAAAGCGTATAAGGTACATGTAAAAAATAAAAAGTTTCATTATTTTCTCGTTAATATCTTCCAGTTGACACCTATCTATAGAGTTTCACTCCAATAGATAGAGTATTGTCACTCTTACTCTGGATACTAGGGGTTAAGCCCCAGACACCACTGGAGTGTCCGCTTGGTGTTTCAGTCGCGGAGTGAGACAGTTCTCTTTCCCTTAACTTATCTGTTATATGTGCATGATGTTCATCCCTATGTCTTATCTGTACTCCTTCCCTGTTATTTCACTCCCTTCCTAAGAGCACTCACATGATCACAATAAGCATCCATAGTGCTGCCTGCAGGGGGACTGTTTAAACAGGCAGACAGGCAGTCTCCCTGCATCTGTCAAATAATAAAAATATATATTATGACATTTTTAAAAATTATATCCCTCTGTGCGCCTGCCTTCTGTGGGTCTGAGGCTACCAGTAGTAGATCATCCAGGCCTATTGGAATGATAGTAAGCATCCTTGAGATATATAGAGATAAGGAACTTGTCCTTCCAAATTGCTGGGGATATGGATCTGATTGACTCCATCCAGATGGCTCTGTCATTCAGCCTATTGTTGGCCCTTCTTAGGTCCAGTATAGACTGTTTTCTTTTAAATTTTTCATCATATTTTATAACTTTTTTATAGTAAATTATATAATATGATGAAAATAATAGTATCTTTAGAAAGACCATTGAATGGCGAGAACTTTTATATATGTAATAAGTAGATCCCTATGTGGATTGCAGGTTTCCGTGCAATCTATTCCAAAGAGATAAAATAAAAAAATCTTTGGAAATAGTAACTAATTTGGGAATTAGAAGATGAATTATGGTCAATTAATGAGAAAATAAATATTTACCAAACACATTATCTTCAGCTCATATCTCACTACCTGAATATTTGTTGAGGATCATCTATACTAATTGCTGATATATCCGAAAACTGGATATAATATGTATGGGTACAGTAAATGAGTAAGATGAAAATTACAGCTAAATGTAAAAACAGCCCTGCTCCTTAACGGTAAAATTGAAGAATAGTCTGGTCACTAAGGGGTTAAATTTACATGTATGTATAGAACTATTCATTCAAAAACATCTAAAGGGTTAATCTTTCCAGAGGACATTAAGCCATAACCACACGTGGGTGATTATTTGTTTAATTAAATCAAAGCTTCATTTCAGTTTCTATACAGCAGATTGTGTTTTTTTCACATAGTAAATTTCGTTTCTGTTGTTTCTTACACTTTTTGCACCCTTGTATTGACTTCTATCAAATTAGTCTCTGTTGCAAAGCAGTATTTTCAGTGTTGCCCTGTAGTCAAATCATGTCAAAACCATAAAAGAGCCAGTGCATTAGACACTAAAATATATTATTCATTTAATTTCTCTGTGTACCTTTCGTCTAGTGAGTTTAATGCTTTGTTCTCCATTACTACATCTCAGGAAAACCCAGACATGTATTGCCCCTATTACTCTATTTCCAGACTTGCTAATGTCACTATCTCCAATCAGTTACAAAACTATGTCAATAAGACCCCAGACTTATTAGAACCTCTCCATACCAACAACATCTTTTAAAAAGATGACTCATACAAGATGTTCTGTTTGCTTTATCCTGCAGACAGCCATTCTAGAAAATGTAATCACGATCATATAATAGCTCTTTAGACCTTTTTTCCCCAAAGCTCAAGCCTCCTTGAACAATTATTTGTTCAACTAAAAGCAAGATTTTTTAAAAGCCTCAAACTATGTATATAACTCAAGTTTGTAAAACAAAAAAATAAGTCATAAAACCACAAAAATCCATGTTTCTGCCATTTCTTAAAAACCTCAAAACTGTTACATAGTTACATTGCTGAAAAGAGACTTGCATCCATCAAGTTCAGCCTTCCTTACATTTGTTTTTTGCTGTTGATCCAAAAGAAGGCAACACCCCCAGTTTGAAGCACTTCCAATTTTGCACCAAGCTAGGAAAAAAATTCCTGCTTGACCCCAGAATGGCAGTCAGATGTATCAGTGGATCAAGCAGCTATTACCCTACATTAAAAAATTATATCCTTGAATATTCTGTTTTTGCAAGCATGCATCTAGTAGCTGTTTGAACATCTGTATGGACTCTGATAAAACCACTTCTTCAGGCAGAGAATTCCACATCCTTATTGTCCTTTGCCTTAGACGAAATCTTCTTTCTTCCAGTCTAAACGCATGACCTTGTGTCCTATGTAAAGTCCAGTTTGTGAATAGATTTCCACACAATGGTTTGTATTGGCCCCGAATATATTTGTATAATGTTATCATATCCCCTCTCAGGCGACGTTTTTCTAAACTAAATAAGTTTAAATTTGTTAACCTTTCTTCATAGCCGATATGTTCCATTCCTTTTATTAATTTTGTAGCCCGCCTCTGCACTTTTTCTAGTGCCATAATATCCTTCTTTAGAACAGGTGCCCAAAATTGCACAGCATATTCAATATGTGGTCTTACCAGTGATTTATAAAGAAGCAAAATTATATTCTCGTCCCGAGAATGAATGCCCTTTTTCATGCATGACAATACCTTACTGGCCTTGGCCACTGCTGATTGACATTGCCCATTGTTGCATAGTTTGTTGTCTATAACAATTCCTTAGTCCTTTTCGTGTGTTGTTATCCCTAATTCGCTTCCGTTAAGGGTATACGTTGCTTATGTATTCTTTACACCGAAGTGCATAACTTTGCACTTTTCAACATTAAATTTCATCTGCCATTTGAGTGCCCAGTCCCCCAGTCTATCTAAATCCATCTGCAGCAAAGTAATATCTTGCTCACATTGTATTATTTTACAGAGTTTTGTGTCATCTGCAAACACTGAAACATGACTTTCAATGCTGTCTTCAAGATCATTTATAAACATGTTAAATAGAAGGGGTCCCAGAACAGACCCCCGAGGGACACCACTTGCCACCTCTGTCCAGCTTGAAAATTTACTCTTTGTACTCTGTTTTTAAGCCAATGTTCTACCCAAGAACAAGCATTTTCATCTAGACCAATTTCCTTGAGTTTGAACACTAATCTATTGTGTGGAACTGTATCAAATGCTTTGGCAAAATCCAAATAGATCAGATCCACTGCAACACCCTCATCTATACTTCTACTTACTTCTTCGTAGAACACAATCAAATTAGTTTGACATGACCTGTGCTTCATAAAACCGTGCTGATTTTTGCTGATAACCATGTTCTTCTCAAGGAATTCTTAAATATTATCCCTTAACCCCTTAAGGACCAAACTTCTGGAATAAAAAGGAATCATGACATGTCACACATGCCATGTGTCCTTAAGGGGTTAAAGGACCACTATAGTGCCAGGAAAACATACTCGGAAAGGGGAAAGGGGTTAAAACTTAACTTTTTCCAGCGCTGGGCGGGGAGTTCTCCTCCTCCGATCCTCCTCCATTCCTCCCTTTCGGCTGAATGCGCACGCACGGCAGGAGCTGCGCGCGCATTCAGCCGGTCTCATAGGAAAGCATTTACAATGCTTTCCTATGGACGCTTGCGTGTTCTCACTGTGATTTTCACAGTGAGAATCACGCAAGCGCCTCTAGCGGCTGTCAATGAGACAGCCATTAGAGGAATTGGAGGAAGGATTAACCCATTTATAGACATAGCAGTTTCTCTGAAACTGCTATGTTTATAAAAAAAATGTCTTAACCCTAGCTGGACCTGGCACCCAGACCACTTCATTAAGCTGGAGTGGTCTGGGTGCCTAGAGTGGTCCTTTAATAACCTTTCAAATATTTTCCTAGCCATAGAAGTTAAGCTCACAGGTCTATAATTTCCAGGCAAGGATTTTTAACCCTTTTTGAATATAGGAACCACATCTGCCTTCCTCCAATCCTCCGGAACACTTCCTGAAAGAAAAGAATCTTGAAAGATTAAAAACAGAGGTTCACTTATTTCTACACTTAGTTTCTTAAGTACTCGTGGATGGATACCGTCAGGCCCTGGAGCTCTGTTTATATTAACTTTAGTTGCTGCAGCACCTTGTCTTGAGTTAACCAATTACAATTATTCTGCAAGTTTTTAGTAGCAATCATTTGCACATCTGTTGCCATGGGTTCTTCCTTAATATATACGGAGGAGAAATAGTTATTTAAAATTCATGCCTTTTCCTGGTCTTCATTAACTAACACCCCCGTTTCAGTTTTTAGTGTACCTAAACTTTCATTTTTGGGTTTTTTATAGTTTATGTACTTAAAAAATGCTTTTGGGTTGGACACAAAAATGTTGACACTCCTTAAAGCTATAAACTGTGCTAGTTTAGGAAATCAAGAGATCACTGTTGTAATGCAGGATAGAAATCCATCTAAAGTTGCATTATTTGATCGCAAAAAACACTCTTCCTGAACATTGACAAAACTGTCACAATGATCTTTGGAACAGTACCTAAATTACACAAATTACACAATTCCCACCTATCCATCAAATTCAAATGGCACACTGACCGCAGTCCACTCTTTCAAATACTTGGGTATGATATTAGACCCCAATCTATCTTTTGGCCTGCACATAGAAAAGCTTGCATCTAAACTTTATCCAAAACTAGGTGCCCTGTACAGAAACAAAGCCTGCCTAAGCCCTACAATAAAGGAAAAGATTGTACAGCAAATGCTGATGCCAATCATTGATTATGGGGATGTAGTATATGCATCTGCATCGCAATCCCACATTAATAAACTTAACACATTGTATAACTCGTTCTGCCGATTTGTGCTACAATGTAATTACAGGACCCACCATTGTGACATGATAAAAGAACTAAACTGGCTGTCGCTGGAATCCAGACGCACCCTTCATCTTTCAAGCCTTGTGTTTAAGAGCTTTTCTGGGAAACTCCCACAAAATGCTCTTCCCAGCTGTTCCCACTTTCTATAAGCTCCGATCCAGTACAAGCACTTTACTTAGTCTACCTCAATACAAAAAGAAAGCGGCCCGATCCTCCTTCTCCTATAGAGCGCCGCAATTGTGGAACGACCTCCCGCACAATTTAAAATCTTCCCTAAGCCTAAAGTCATTTAAGAGATCCCTCTCTACATACCTCAAAACAGAATGCACGTGTCATGGTTGATTATATATTTTCTGCCTGTTCTATGTTACATTTTGTTTATATTGTGTATTATTGATTTTGTATTTTGTTGTACCCTAATGTAACAATGCAATGATTTGTGGACCCAGGACATACTTGAAAACGAGAGAAATCTCAATGTATCTTTCCTGGTAAAATATTTTATAAATAAATAATTTGTGATATTATAATATAGTTTTCAGGGACTAAAACTTAAACTACAACACTACCCTTGACAGTGGAAGCTTTGTACACTGTCCTTGTGTACTCCTGCAACTGTCTCTAGGATGAGCCGAACTTCATTAGTAAACATTCTGTATGTCAGTACGTTCTTGTGAAGAATCTCTTACCAACATCATAGACCTTCGTGTGGAATTAACAATAAGTGCAAGGAATTGGTAAGAAATAAAAAAAAACGGTGCTCACAAATTTACATATAAATTAGTGAGAGCACACGATATTGATACAGAATATTACCACAACTAGTGCACAGAATGAAAACCTGCAACAATAAAAATAGAAAAAAAGACTATAGTGTAATATAGTTTATACAAGTGAAACACACTATACAATTAGTCTCACTCACATGCTGCTGAGCCACTCAAAAAAGCTGGCTCAGACTAAAGGCCTTGAATGGAAAGGTGGGATGGATGTTCCTGAGATTCACTACTTCAACTTCATTGTAGACATATTTCCATAATAGAATACAGGATGCAGAAAATATATATTTATTGCCCAAATATAAAGTAAAAACAATATATCAAGTGAAAACCAAATCGCGTTTCGTCTCCTGCCTTTTTCAAAAGTGTTCTTAATATGGAGTTGTTTTGTACCTATGCTGCTAAAACATCCTCTGCTCTTCCTTCATGGCATTCCACTAGTCTGACAATGGAACATTGTTGATGGTGAGATAGTTAAGTGGATAGAGATCCAGCGCTCAAAGTCACAGTTCAATTCCTGATAAGGCCAGCTCAGTCTTTATACTTTCAAGACGATAAAATAAGTAGTGATAATAGCTAGACAACAGAATGTACCTGGAAATAAAGAAGGAGCTAAATATACCTTTTCTTTTAAATATTATGAATTTATCCCAAAGGTATTTTATGTGTTCCATATCACAAGCCAAATGGCCTCAATCCATTACAGTAAGTGTGATTTCCCCTTTTTATTTATAAGTTTAATTAACGGTTATTGAAATAACATACAAAATAAATGTGAAAGAGTATTATACGCAAGAAAGGCACTGCATGTCAGTGGTTATTTAGCAGTTATATGCAAACATGTAAAGAAAAATACTCAGGCACTGTTTTAAGTTTCAAGCAGATTTATTGGAACATCCAGGTGCAGAGGTGGAGTATATTTTCTTTACATTATGTATATGGGGGGAGTGCCGACCTTAACTCAGTGAGCACCCTTTTTTTTGGTTTAGTGCAGAGCCCTTACTCAATCTTTTGCTACATGCAAATATATGGACAGGTGGTGCATGGTGGGAAGGCCAGCATGACTTTAAGAATTAGGAAAAGTAGGGATTGGCAAACTAATCAGGAAATCAGGAAAAGAGAAACAGTGCCAAAATGTCAACTTTTGTCACTTGAGACATGTAAAGTTGGGTTGAACTAAGCCATTAAGGTTGACTAAAGTTGCCACATTATTTGGACATGGAATTTTTGTGGTTTAGTTCAAACGGCGGATGCAGGAAATCACCCATTACCGTTATTCTCCACAATGCTTTCAAAAATAATTCCATTATTGTATTTCTGAGAAGGTCCAGGAGAAAAAAAAAGTGTAAAGGGTGCACACCCAGAACATGCATTTCTCAGTGGTGGTGAGGTTTTAACGACCAAAATCTATACAAAATACAGACTAAGGAACAGCACACACACACACACACACAAAAAATACAGTTTAAAATTTTTATTTTAAAGGCTGCTTAAAATAACAACCATAGCAAACAAATATGGGGATTCAGTTACAACATATGGCCATACTGTGTGAAATGAGCACCGTGTGAATTGAGCACCCTGCCTCTCCACTATAGGAAAAGCATAAATTCAGGAGAGTGTCTGGAAGCAGGTAGCATTAGCAGGTTTATCTCACATGTTAAAATAAGTGTAGGATCAACTGATATTCGGGTACTGTGACATAGTGGTGGCCTTAACATGCTATGGCCACATGGTGGAACTGAATCCCCATATTTGTTTGCCAAGATAGGTGATTTTAAGTAGCCTTTAAAATATATGTAGAACTGTATTTTTGTGTGTGTGTGTGTGTGCGCGCTGTTCTTTAATCTGTATTTTGTATAGATTTTGTCAGATCCATTACCATCTCCCCAACTGCAGCTGGAAGCTCTGCCATATTCAGCTGGAATTCTCTGACAATGAGCTGGTCCTGCATGGCAGGGCTTAGCTCAATGCAGTTAACAGAACTAAGGGAGGCAGCGACAGGTGAACAGTGGAATCCAGGTAATTTATTAAATCATTCTTAAATGGTTTGATTACTTACTTTGGGAGGGCACCTGGACCCAGTGCTTTAAGTTTTTTTTTTTATACTGCAATCTGATTAATAGGAGGGTGGTGACAAGAAAATATATTAATTTGAGGGTGGCATCATTCTAGAGAATATAAATAATACACTGAGAGCCCCTTTTATCAATTCTGTTAATCAAAACCACAATTCATTATCCGCAGGAATGGAGGTGACACATAGATGATACTAAAAATGCAAATTATAAACAATAGTGTCACACAATATACTAATATTTTGAGATGATATCCATTGACAATTGAAGCTTCCCATATTAATATTATCTTTCTTTGACATAACTAATAAACCTCCAGTCCCTATTCGATCAATGTTTTCTATTATACAGGTTTCTCATACATTATCATTGTATACATTGGATATGGCTCAGGGCTGAGAGGTTATTAAATGTATCCATCCACTATTAGTAATTCTTTGTTACATTCTCCGGCAAACCACCCACCAGCTCCAGAGCTTGACCTCTTCTTTTTAATGCAATTGTTTTTCCTGCGTTTTCATATCTCACTGACACAAGTTGTTACCATGGTATCATCTGTTGAGGCAGTATGTGTAAAGCACAGGAGGGGAGGAAAATCTGCTTTGGGTATCTCTGTATAGATGATCCATAACAAATATTCAGGTAGTGAGATATGAACTGAAGATAATGTGTTTGGTAAATATTTATTTTCACATTCATTGACCAAAATTCATCTTCTAATTCCCAAATTAGTTACTATTTCCAAAGCAAGATATTTTATCTCTTTGGAATAGATTACACAGAAACCTGCAATACACATGGGATATAATTATTAAATGTGAAAGCAGTGTAATGCAATATTTAGCATATTGTAATACAATGGTACATATGTAACACACACATAATATACATAGGGTCTATTAAAGTCTATTCTATTAATAGAATTTAAAGGAACACTAAAGTCACTCAGACCACTTCTTCTCAATGAAGTGGTCTGGGTGCTGAGGTTCTGTAGTTTTAACTCTGCGTTGCATTTTGTTTAGAAACTGCACTGTTTACATTGCAGGGTTAAATCCACCTGTCATACTCCCAGCCATTAGAGATGCTTCATGCTGCAGCAACCAAGTAAAACTTGGGCACGTGACTGCATTGATTCAATGCTTTCCAATGGGGAAATTTGATGTGTGTGTGTTTGCCACACATACGTATCACGTCATCATGGATCCTCTGTGAGAAGAATTGACTTGGACCAACTCCAGAGGAAGCCATGCCTAGTCTGTGACACTGTGGGAGAGGGATCCTTGAATCTGGAAAAAAAGCACGTAAAAACCTGGTTTTGTTTTTGTATTCCTAACACTATAGTGTCCCTACATGTATTCTCCCCACTCGCCCCCATGTGTTCTTTAACCGCTTCCCAACCGCGGAGGTACCTGGTACTCACCCTTGTACTCACCTGGACTAGCGATCCGCAGCGATCCCGGTCGGGGGATGGGGGGGAGGAACTGGTGTCTGAATTCACGCACCTCCAAGTGCACTTGTGGGCTCCCCTGAATATAACAAAGATCACATTGGATCTATATCACCTGCCTGACAACACAGGCAGACAGTCCAGAGAATCTAATTGCCAAGCCCTATGTATAACCCTGTAACTTTCCATAACACCATAAAACCTGTACATGGGGGGTATTGTTATACTTGGGATATTCCGCTGAACACAAATATGAGTGTTTTAAAAAGTGAAACTTACCACAATGATGAGATCACCAGTAAAAGTGCAGTTTTTGTTTAAAAAAAATGCAAAAAACAAATATAAACGCTAACTTTGGCCAGCGTTTGTGACTAAGTGGCTACTACAAAAGACTGGAAATACCCTATTTTGTATACCC